GGGGGGGGGGGCGTAGATTATTAAAACAAAATCTACACCTAATTAAAAGTAAACATTGTAAATATTAATGCTGAAATCAAGCTGAAATGGGTGACAAAAAGAACCGTATTGGAAAAGCGATTTCAGTTATTGTTAAAACACAAAAATGTTAAAAATTTATTTGGCTAGGGACAAAAATTTTGGACTTGCATTTACATGTTAATGGGCAAACAATTTTCATTTTTACCTTTATGAGAGCTCAGTTCACCCATTTTAAAAGTCCAGTGTCCATTTCCCAAATTTTTCTTGAAGATACTTTCCCCCCCAAAAAATAATTATTACCTCTAAAAATCATTTATATTTCTTAATTTAGAAAACCCTAAATAAATACCTAACATTGAAAAAAAAAAATTCCAACAAGGGGGAATGATTTTTAGAGAAAATATACAGTTAACACCCCTGAATCAATTTATAGTGTCTAATAGTCTATTGTAATGTTGGAGCATTGTATTAAGAAAAACAAAGCTGCTGATAGTTGATCCTACCTGTGACAAAGCTGCTGATAGTTGATCCTACTTGTGGTACAGCTGCTGATAGTTGATCCTACCTGTGGCAAAGCTGCTGATAGTTGCTCCTACCTGTGGCACAGCTGCTGATAGTTGATCCTACCTGTGGCAAAGGATCCAGATCAGATAGGAAATTATACTCTTCAGAAGCAATGGAGCAGGAGTCCTCAACAGAATGTTCGGATACAATAACATTTCATATAATAACATACAATATAATTTAACACACAAATCATGCCTATCCTGATACCAATCACCTTTTTCTGATACTAATTATCTTTACCCAGATACTAACTATCTCTACTCAGGCACTAATTATCTCTACCCTAATACTAATTATCTCTACCCTGATACTAATTATCTCTACCCAGATACTAATTATCATTAACCAGATACTAATTATCTCTACCCAGATACTAATTATATCTACCCAGATACTAATTATCATTACCCAGATACTAATTATCTATACCCAGATACAAATTATTTCTACCCAGATACTAATTATCTCTACCCTGATACTAATTATCTCTACCCAGATACTAATTATCTCTACCCTGATACTAATTATCTCTACCCAGATACTAATCATTTATACCCAGATACTAATTATCTATACCCAGATACTAATTATCTATACCCAGATACTAATTATCTCTACCCAGATACTAATTATCTCCCGGATACTAATTATCTCCCATTTACAATTATCTCTACCCAGATACTAATTAGCTCAACCCAGATAATAATCATCTCTACCCAGATACTAATTATTTCTACCCTAATACTAATTATCTCTACCCAGTTACTAATTATCTCTACCCAGATACTAATTATCTCTACCCAGATACTAATTATCTCCCAATTACAATTATCTCTACCCAGAAACTATTTATCTCTAACCAAAGATACTAATTATCTCTACCCAGATACTAATTATCTCTACCCAGATACTAATTATCTCCCAATTACAATTATCTCTACCGAGAAACTATTTATCTAACCAAAGATACTAATTTTCTCAACCCAGATACTACTAAGCTCTACCTAGATACTAATTTTCTCAACCCAGATACTACAAAGCTCTACCTGGATACTAATTTTCTCAACCCAGATACTACTAAGCTCTACCTGGATACTAATTACCTCCCAATTACCTGATTATAATTATGATCCGCAAGACCAGAATATTCTATTAATCGTATCATTAAGGTTAAAATGTATAAAATACAACATGTTAATACATATTTGTGTAATGAGTAAAAATATCGCACAGTAAAACATTATTGTAAATTTTTGTAGTTTCTTGTACTTATTTTATTTCATAGTAATTCATCGTACTTGTAACTTAGTTGCAAAATAATATAATCTTAATGGGTTGGCCTGGTTCTGATTTAGAAAGAGAAGAAGTAACTGCTCTGGTTGATGGAGTGAAAGGTCTAAACGAAATTATTATTCAAATCATAATTTATAATATTTTGTGTACTGTATAGAGTTACATACTTCAGTACATTTAACTATAGCTTTTAATTCTACTACAAAAGTGTATACATTGGGGATGTGGGTAAAAGGATTGCCCCCCCCCCCCTCAGGAAAAGTGCGACTGTAGTTTCTGGGGGTTTTAGTACCGAAAGGGGTCTGTTCACCCCCCTCCCCCTGAAGATTTAAGTCCCTCCCACCTAGATAAATTTCTTCTTCTACTTGTTCTTGCAGAACAACATTGTCTTGCCATGAGGAGTAACGCAAGTTTTAAACAGAGGTGTTATTTTCAAAAATGATTTTCAACCCTATAGAAGAAACAAGAAGTTAAATTGGACTTCTTAGAAGACTTTCCAACACTTTTGACACTTATTACCTAAGATTTAATTTAAACAGTGGGGGGGGGGGATAATAGTTTAAGAATGTTTTTTACCTTACATCTATTAATATACCTGGAGTTCGGATCCAAAGTGGATTCAGCAACACTTACTCTCCTTAATAAATGATGAGCTTAGAACTAAATAAATGATGAGCTTAGAACTAAAATATAAACAATAAACATACAAACTAGGCACTGTACAATTCAAATGACACTGCCTAAGGTATCACCTACATAAAACTACCAAGATATAATGTACAATTAACGGTGTACAATTAACATTGTAAACAACACTAACCACTGTACAAAATAATTTATCTACCTGAAAGTGATAGGACGAGAGGATGGTTTTAGATTAGCATTCTCACAAACACTTTCACTGCAAAATGATTATCATATTATTCATCATATTTAGGTAAATCTGTAGTCTTTCAACAGAAAAGACCTAAGGATATGTTGCCCTAAAAATAGAAAAATCCCTAAAATATTGGGACAGGTTTCAAGTTAGTAAAAAATATTAAAATTTGGAGAGTGTTACTTGGGAACAGTAGGAAGTTGTCACTTGGGAACAGTAGGAAGTTGTCACTTGGGAAACAGTAGGAAGTTGTCAATTGGGAAACCGTAGGAAGTTGTAACTTGGGAACAGTAGGAAGTTGTCACTTGGGAACAGTAGGAAGTTGTCACTTGGGAACAGTAGGAAGTTGTCACTTGGGAACAGTAGGAAGTTGTCACTTGGGAAACAGTAGGAAGTTGTCACTTGGGAAACCGTAGGAAGTTGTCATTTGGGAACAGTAGGAAGTTGTCACTTAGAAATTAACATAACTTATGAGATTTCCACTAATGAAACATCCTGCCGATTTTCAAGTACCTGTATTGAGCAGACTTGAGGTTTAAATAATCCTCCCCAAAGAATGCTTGATTATTATCATTGATATAATCAAGTCTATAATCACATTCTCCCATGGATGAGGTCTCATCCTTCTCCCCAGTTGGTCTGCATGAATTAGAATATATTAAATGTGGAATATTAGGAGAACTAAGGGACATGTGGTAGGGTTTATCTAAATTTTACCGTGACATTTTAGGACATCTTGCTGAATAACTTTGATTAAAATAAAACCCATTCTAGGACTGCCTTAATAACTAAGACTAAACGTGTCTGGCACTTGGCTTGACTTCTTGACATACTGGATGTTAATTCTTAATCATAATAGTATTTCTCAGTTCAAATACCTGGATTCCTGTGGTTCTGAATCTTGCCTGGGTATTTCTATGAGGGTCCTTGGCCTATTGGAGGGTCTACTGCTGAAGTAGGATAAGGAAGGGGAGGGGGGAGGAACACAGAAAGAAAGGGAGGGAGAGGGTGGTGGAGGAAAACAAGGGATGGATGGCGAGGATGGGAGGTAGGAGAAGGAGGGGGAAGAATGTCTTCCTCTTGGAGAAACTGATTTGTAGCCTGAATGTTGCATATCTACCACATCTATCACATGCTTCAAAACAGTCAAGTATATAATAAGTATATCAGAACTATCAATTCTATCAATTATCAACTATCAATTATGATAAAAGCATTAGATATAAAGGCTGGAACCTTTTTATTGGAATTGTGACAGAATCTGATATATCTCAGATTATCACTGGTAAGAAAGCCCTTACCAGCCAACAACAGAATGAGACCTACAATTCAATCAGATAATGAAGTGAATGCAACTGTCTTCATGACTTTTAAGATAGTAGAAAATCACAATATAAAAATTCAGGAGACAGTCCTCCAGAGTCTCTCAGGAAATTCATACTGCTGTCTTCAAGAAAATTTTCTCAACTGTATGATTTAAGACAAGGAGAAAATTTTTAATTTTACGTTTTCAACAGATTTTTTTACTCAGGGTCTTAATGTCTGTAACAGAAAACTTTAAGCCTGTTGCAATAATTAACTTTGAGGCTGAGCTATAGAATGAGATGTTCATTGTTAAAAGAAATAAAATTTGAAACTCCTATTATTAAAGTTCTCTCTGATGATTTAATAAAGTTTGTGGCTAAGGAAAGAGATAAAAGTTTGTTAAAAAAAGAGGACTGTCAAAGGTAAAATTTGTATTTTGACTGGAATGCTTCATTTGAACCTTGCTTTAATGGTTTGTTAAATCTATTATTGACCTTATTAAAACCTAAAAATATAATCAATTCTATCAAGTACATCTTATTTTCATCTCAGAAAGGCTAGACAGTACTTGCAAGAAAATAAGATCCTCTTTGAGGTTTACCTTGCTATAGCTGCATATAAAGAAATACAATAGACTTTCTATAAGGTGGATTAGAAGGATAAGAGACTATTGTGTAGTCTTCCACAATAAATGTAAGTGATTTTATTACTCAAGAAAGGTTCACATATGAAAGTCTGCTAATGGCAGCCAAGAAGCCAGCTACACACATTAGGGTAATTGTAGGTTGAAAGAACTAGCACCGACTGATAGAGATGAAAAAAGAGGAAATTATAGTTAAGCTTCCCATAATTTTGATGTACTGTGGGGCATGTCGTCAACTATGAGTATTGTAAATATGCAGGTGGGAACAAATTAAAGATTTTGTTAAAAATGAGAAAAAAGTAAAAACATTTTTAAGTTTCCAGCTCAGAGCAAAGATTTAAGCAAACTTCAAGACAAGACATATTGTCAGTCAAATAACATTAATTGCTGAAAAAATTCATATCATCTGAGGTCAGTCAGGGTAAATACAATAAGAATGATAGATTTTAAGATCAAGATATGGTGCCTGAAGATACTGGTTCCAAAGTCTGAATGCCTCCTAACATTCAAAATTCTTTGATTAAAATATTTTTTGTTTAGAATTTGACCAAAAATAGACTTATGAACTGTTGAGATTTCTTTCTGCTTGGAAAATCTAAAATGTTGCCATGACATCTTTTTATAATAAATCTAGTCCTAATCCATTTAACATCATTCCCCCTTCCAAGACACCAATTGTGATTAAGAAAACTTTGCAGCAAAATTCAAAACCAAATCCTATGACCAACTTTTAAATTGTGGTCAAATTCCCCATAACGTTAATAAATTATCATTTAGAATTATTCCTTTAGCTGATAGAAGGTTGTATGAGGGATTCAGATGGTTCCGAGCAGTTTGAAGATGAGACATCTGAAGAGAATGTATAACATGAGCCTGGAGATGGGGATGAGTCTTATGGCTAGGTCTAGATGTACGAGGGATGTATAATTATAAATCAGCTCAAATTAGATACTGAACAGTGGGGTCAGGCGGAATCCTAGACAGTTAATAACTCAATTAAATTTAAAACTGATCATTTAGATGTTACAGTTCATAAATTCTCGATTTTTTTTAAATCATTACTATGTAGTTTAATATTTTATAATACTTCTTATTTTATATGATTCGTGTATTACTTTTGAGAATATTTTAGAACATTTCTTGAAAAATACACTTTAAGTAGAATGGCGCAATTAATTAGTGAACTTGTATGCGTATTCAATCATTTTATCCTATAGATGCAACAGACAAAAGTAAGGTTATTATCAATCGAATACAACTCCAAGGATTCAGCCTTTTAATTTTTCATCCTTTTCGGAATTATCTGAATCTAATTGGTTAACCAGGCAAAAAATACTTTTTCGGTTTAAGCAGGTCCAGACTAAAGGAAACTGTTTAAATTCCTAATACATCATCATTGTGCTTCTGATAAAAAACAAGTCTCTTAAAATGCCCCAATTAATTTACCATCAATTTAGATAAAACGTCAGATTGTCTATCTGGCCTGGTACTACTGGTACAGGGCCAAAAAAGGAAAAAAGGCGGAAATTGAATTGTGCATTTTAATTTACAATTTAACATTATTGTTTTAATCAATGATTTTGCATAATTTTTCAAACCGGTGTGTTAATCATTTTAAAAATTTTTATTGGGTTTAGAAGCACCAATTGTTATGGTTTAAGTTTTAAAAAAACCTGTGATAAAACATTATACAGTACACCCCTTATTGGAGGGTGCAGGTGGTTGCCAGCAGGTACTGGAGGTGGAAGAGTAAACTCATTTCTACCCAGGCCATTAAACACCTTGGCAGAATACTTCCCTTCCTAAAGGTGTCGTAATAATTATTTCAAAATTAAGTAACAACATCAGGATTTTTAGGGTTCCTCAGCTTCAATGATTTTTTGGCAGTTTTAACTCTGACAATATGCAAGATGGGAAAATAAGCTGAGAGAATCTGAATCTAATGTTGTGTGTAAAACATGAAATTAAAATTTAAAAATAGATAGGACTAGATTTAATCTAACATAATTTACAAAATAAAATATCAAAAGTTTACACTCTAGCTCATCAGGTTGCCAATATTTAAGAACTAGAAAAATAAGAGTTTGAGGCAAATGTTCATTGTTCAGTTCCTTACTCATTTGCTGAAAATATAATATTTTAAGCTTGTAATTATTACTCAGTCAAGTTTTTGGTATTGTTGTTCAGATTTTGAAAACAAACATTTCATATTTCATACATATCGTCTAGTAATGTTGAATTTTAGAATACTTTTTTACCCAAATGCATCAACATATTCATGACATTTCTAAGAAAATTATCATAATCAAAATTTTAAATTTTGCACAAGAACTTAACACTCTCTTCTCTGGTTTTTAAAAGTTTGCAGTCTGCTGATGAAAACCTTTTCATTTTTATAATTGACTTATAAATCTAACATAAGTCAGTTTGGAATATCAAAGCAAATTAGAGTTTGTTGCGAAAGTTCAGTCATTTATCATTTGCAGAAAAAAAACATTTTCAAGCTAGCAACAATTAATTAGTTTCCAGTAGCATCAATGGATAGTTTAAATAATATGAAAAAGTGCACGGTCAGATTTAGTAAGTAGCAAGATCTAGTCTAACTAAGTTTAATTTATCATTTTAAAACAAAGGAGTTCTAACTATGTGTACATAATTACACTACTTCTCCCTAATCATTTATTTAGATCAACTAGAAAAACTACATTTTACCTGAATTGGAGGAATGTTCTCATATCTCTGTTCCTCCGATTTAAAATATCGTTCCAGATTTAGCTGATCCCGACCCAGAGACTTCGACTCCTGGGGCCCAACTCCCTCGGAGTGCCTCAAAGGTCGGGAACGAGGGATGAATGCAGGTGGAAACATTTTTCTTACCTAAGCTTTGCACATGTACATCTGAAGAACAAGTGTTTATAAACATAAGAGTTTACAGTACAGTACAATGATACATAATAAATATATTTCGGTACAATCCAGGGTTCACTGCAAGTTTAAATGCCTGGTCAGGAATGATGTACAATTGGATAAATGAAAACTTTAATCATTGATACTAAAAGAAGAAGATTGCCATGTTTTGACTTTTGTCAACATTCATTTTTACTAATTGGCAAATTTTTGTAGAAAATGGGTATATTTTCTCACACACATTGGCAAACTTGTGAATTCGGGTAAGAAGCCCTGGCCAAAATTGTCTTAATTGAAGAAACCCTGGCGCGACCTTGAGAAATACCATTTGATACAAAATTGTATATTATTGTACTAATTTAATTTATTATTTTCAGGTTTATGCACAGGCATAAGTTACAATTTTGTTGTTATTTTTAATTATATAATATAAAATTTGAAAAAAGGAGCATGTATATTGTACAATGGACATTGCGTAAGGACTTAGTACAATATCAATCAGTTCTAATCATTTTAAATCTATCAATCATAAAAATGATTCTTGTGCATTTAGTATATTCAGAACATTAGGAAAATGTAATAATGGAAATTCTTAAACGAGATGAAATAATCTTGATGTAGCCTTCGTTAAGTGCATCAAGATTATTTCATCTCATTTTAGAAATCCATTATTACATTTTTTTCCTCATAAGATTATTATTATATCATATTTGTGAGGTTCTATGGGCACATATCCAAGAAATTATATTAAAAAATAATTCTGGTGAAATCAGACTATTTCAAGTTGGAACAGTTAACATTATGAAAGGTTGCAAATAAGTTTCATGCTCTTGTTCTGACTATCACTGTTTTTTATTCTTCTAATGTTAAAATGTTAAAAACCATTTTATAAGTAAAAATTGGTTATTAATTTGAAAGTAATGCATGTGGTGTGATTGTTTCCTTAGTTTAGTTTGTTTGTTAACCAATTTCTAATGATTTTACTTGTTTTTTCAAGTTGATACTACATTTAGACACAGCATGAATTGAATGTGCCCTTAGTTTTTTTAGATGGGGAGAAGTTATAGTAGTGGGTTGTCTTAATCTACTGAACAAAATCGTGCTTTCATTTACAGAAGAAATCATTTCCTGGATATAAGATCCTAAATCTTCCAAAAAGAGGAGATAAAAAGCAGGTTATCTAATCAGTTCGACATAAACTGATCTTTGTCTTTTATTCATGAAGCAAGATTTACTGGTTTGTTCGCATTGCTATGGAGTGCTAAGACCCCAATAAAAGTTTGTGACACTAGTATTTCAATGATAAGTTTTTATAAAATTAACTATTTTTGGTTTTGATTGTGGTTTCACTTTATCATCTTGAGCTATGCGAGATATGGTGACAACTGACAGAGACTGAGGTACTTAAAAATTAGTTGTAGCTGTAGGGTGGGAGGCAAATCGACCTTTTTATTCTGTCTAATTTTTTTAATGATTACAAATGAATTTGGAATTTTGGAAACCCTTTTAAATATAAAGTGAAAAAAACAATTGATTGAAATTGTGAAGACATGACAACCTTTCCATTTTTGAAAAGCTCTGACTGTACTTTTATAAGTATGCAGAGATTTGCAAAATCTCGCCAAATCTGGTTTGCAATGAAGATAAACTAAAAAAAATTAATACAGTCGGCAGTTGGATGAAAATATCCAATGTAAGGCTTAAAGCATTTTGCATTTTTATTTTGGAAAGGTCAGAATTTCAGAAAATGTTAATTAAACACAGTACTAGGGTTGAGATTTAAATGGATATTACTGAATTAAGGTATATCAATACTTCAAAAAACGAAAAAGGTAAGTGAGCATGACAAGGTAAGTGAGCATGATTTACTAAAGTAAAAAAGGTAAGTTTGCATGTTTTAATATTAAAGAAAAAGGTAAGTGAGCATGTCATTTTAAATTATAAAAAGGTAAGTTTGCATGTATTAATGTAAAAGAAAAAGTCGAGTGTGCCCTGTGCATGTTGTCAGTACAAACAAAATAATTACGTTATTTTCAATATTAGTCTATGTTGAAAAGATCATTATTAGGAGCGTGTAAGAATGAATATTCTTCAACTAGTGTAATAATTTCCATTCTTTAATGCTTGGAGCGTGTAAGAATATACATTCTTTCACGCTCTGACCGTGTAACAATTTCCATTCTTACACGGTCTGAGCGTTAAAGAATGAAAATTCTACACCTTCAGTGTAAGAATAAGCATTCTTAAACGCGAGGAAGCGAACAATATTAAAATTGTTCCTGCTGAACCGTGCAATAATGGCAATTCTTACACGATAGGTTTACTACTATGGAACCGAACAGATATGATATAATACTTAATATACAATCATTGATTTCAGAAAGACAAGTTAATCAAGAGATTACAATGTTATCAAATAGTTTTGTACTTATTGGACGGATTTACAAATTTATCTAAAAAAAATTTAGAATTGCAAATGTTTCAAATAAAATTATCCCGCCAACTTTTAATTAAAAAGTTAAATTTTTTTTTCCAAAAGCTACTGAATAAGAAATCGAGAAAACAAAAGTTTTGATATTTTTGCAAGAAAAACAGGGAAACACTTAAAGAATCGTTGAACAAATTTTACGAATTGATTTTCTAGATGGCCGTCTTAAAAATACTTATTAGTTTGCAGTCTTGTAAATTTTTTTCTTTGTTTCGAGTTTTTAAACATTTTCATTGCCTGCAAGATATTTAATGATCATCTTGAAATTCATAAACTTTTTGCAAACTTTTCAGAGATATCCTTGCTGACCATCTTAAACTTTTTCTTTGTTGGCCGTCTTATAACACACTCTTCATGGACGTCTTGTAAATATTTCTTTGTAGGAATGTCATGGAACATATTCTTTGTAGGATATGTCATCGAACATATTCTTTGTAGAATATGTCATGGAACATATTCTTTGTAGGATATCTCATGGAACATATTCTTTGTAGGATATGTCATCGAACATATTCTTTGTAGAATATGTCATGGAACATATTCTTTGTAGGATATCTCATGGAACATATTCTTTGTAGGATATGTCATGAAACATATTCTTTGTGGGATATGTCATGGAACATATTCTTTGTTATCCATTTTTTGCATTATGGGCACAGAATAAAAATGACCTTGCTGGTAAACTTTTAAATTTTCGTCTTGAAACATTTAGTTTTTGGATGTTTTGTAAAAAACTATGTTTAATTAATACGAGCATTTCCAGACGCAAACTGCTAGGCTACCAGCGAAGAACATGTACAACAGCTTCTTTGTCTAAAAAACAAATAGATTTTTTTATATGAGCTTTTAACTGTTTTGATTATCATTGAGCAAAACAATTCAAAATAAAAATGTCTCAAAGGGTGGGTAAAATGCTTACGAAATATAAAAACAAAAGCAAAACAAGAAAATTTCGCTCAAGGTGAAAAAAGACCGAAAAAAATATTCATTTTCCTAATACAGTGGTCACTCAAATAAAGTGAAATTGGAAAAAAATTCATCAAATTATCATGCTTTAAGTCCTCACTTAAATTACCAGGTTTTTGGGACACCCTGTATGTTGTGACATGAATATTCGTCGTTTATCATTTGTATCCGGATTCAGCCAACAGATTGAAGTGACTGTAAGTGAAATTTTTATTGACCCTCCATGCCAAGAAGGCAATGCCCGATTTACAACGAAACCCTTAAGAGCTATGTCTGATCAAGAATGAATTAGATATCCGGCCATGTTTATAATTTGTTAAACTGATTATTTTGAATTGTGGTTTCTCGAGAAATGTGACTTTTCTACTGCAGGAAAACAAGAAGGAATTATCAGAATTAAACAAATTTAAGCTAGTAAAACAACAATATCTTCACATTTTTAATCAGATAACGGTTTCAAGGGTACCTTTGTGAATCATGTATTGCCATCTTTGCAAGGAAGGTCAAGGGTGTATACAGAAAAAAATCTGGGTGGGGTGGGGAAAATATGCGCAATGCACAATTTTTTTTGCCCCCCCCCCTAAGAGCTTCGGGGGGGGGGGGGGCAAAATTTAAACCGAAAATTAAAAACATTTTTACTTCTTGAATACTTTAAAGGTACACATACACTTTACAGTCCAATTACCATACAAGGACGACTTTATCTCTCCATCAAACAAAACTAGCAGAAAAAACAGTAAATTAATGTTTTTAATGTTCTTCCCCAATTTCAGATTTGATAAGTGTGATAGCTCTAGATAGTTTTAGGGAGGGGCTACGTCCCCCTTTACAGGTCTAGGTGGGGGCACTGTACCCCCTCTGTAAACGCCCTTGAGGAAGGTCACTTGAAATTGTGCGTGAAGTATCCATCCGGATCCTATGCACAGCTTTCATTCCGTTAAAATCAAGGCTGCCACTTACCTCGTAGCTGATCTCAAAACCGAACCCTTCTCCGACCACGACATGCCAGCTGGGTCCAAATTTCTTGTCAAGAACTTCCTTGATCATCTTTGCACACTAAAAATATCCATTTTAATTATCTTCTTCAAAGATTCTTTAGTATGTGTATATTGCATAGCTGAAGAAAGTAACATTATGATGGAGTTTAAAAATGTAATTCCTATTTTAAAATATAAAAAAAGGTTTTACGTAAGCTTTCAGTGAAGATAAAGAACACCATTTCTGAATTTAATGAATTTTATTGCGCAAATACCCCCCCTCCCTGCAGGTGCATGCTGTGGGGGGGGGGAAATAAAGCTTTTCTTACCAACTCATTGTTAGCCGTATGTCTTTCACAAGCCATTGTACATACATCCATAACATCTTTACGCATTCCCTCGTCCATATCCGTGTACCGTACTAGTGGGTAGCTGTACACAATCGGCTAAAAAAATACAGCGTACATACCTCCTAACGAAACAATTTTTTTAAAGATGTGTAACGTTTGTAGGTTAAAAAATTCATTCCTTTATAATCAGCTGTTTTTTTTCGGTATGCAACAATTTCTATAACGGCAAATGCAATTATTAAAGGACCCCCCCCCCCCGTCTTGTATTCACCTGTTTCCCCCCATTCCCCTTCTCCTCCTCCCCAAACAGTGAAGCTTTCGTACTCTCCTTAGCTGTCAGCATTTTACTGGAAGATATCGTCTTCTTCGACTTAACTATAACCCTTCCTTATTCCTAAAATAAACAAAATTTAGGAGATCAGAGTGTTTTGACACAATACAAAGAAATCTTGCGGCAACGCCATTTCAGAAACAAATACAGAAAAGCGAAAGCATCAACGACCTACATATTTAGTTTTATAAATTCATATTATTAATGCTCAACAAGGTAACGAACAGTCGAAATGATGATGAATCTACTCCAATGTCTAAAACTCCCTGTATAGTAACAAGTAATGAATTATTCTGTTTCCCTGTAAGGTGTAACTAAATAATAAAAATATAAACTTGCATGGTCACTGTATCTACCAGTAAATTGTAGAACTAAAGGGTGTACAAAAAAAACTGATTCATTAAAACAGACATTTATTTATTGCAGTTTTTATTTCTTATTATTTTCATAAAGGGGTTTAAAAGAGTATCAATTCTCCCTTTAGTTAAAATATCCCCCCCCCCCCCTTACACCCTTCAAATCAACTTTATTCCCTACTGAACATTAATCAATAGTTAATTTCTAGAGTTTACTTTTGAGCTAATTGTCTTGATTATAGAAAATTCTATACTTGTGTTACAAAATTAAAAATTGTTATTTGACGTATTTGACTGATTTGGAGATTCAAAACGTTACATCGACTTATTAAAAAATCCATAATAGGAGACAGGAGTTAATATGGATCACGCCAACTGGGTAAGAAGCGCAAACTTTTCCTGGGTCCAGTGCTTAAGGAGGTTTACAGGGGGGGGGGGAAAGGGGGCAGGCCCCTCCATAGAACTCAGAGCTTTCCCACTTTTCAAATCTTAACCTGAAGAGTGAAGAACATTAAAAAAATTAGCTTGCTGTTCATTCAGTGCACTAAGAAGATTGTATACGTGGACCAAGCCACCATGACAGAAGTCCGAATGAAAAATCTATCTAGAATGCACATTTATTCTAATCGGATATTTTGTTTCTTTAATTTAGATTTAATTTACTTTATTCATTGCACCGACGTTTTGTAATCTTTCTTTATATACCCTTCGTGTTCCTCCTTTATTCCCTGAGCTCCTGCTTCCTCCATTGGTCCATCTACTTCTACCCATGGTATTCCTCCATTTAATTCATGAACTCCTACACTTTATATTCCTCCATTTAATTCATGAACTCCTACCCTTTATATTCCTCCATTTAATTCATGAACTCCTACCCTTTATATTCCTCCATTGTTCCATGAACTCCTACCCATTGTATTCCTCCTTTGTTCCATGAACTCCTATCCTTTGTATTCCTCCAATGTTCCATGAATGTATTCCTCTCCACTATTCCCTTAGTAAACTTACATTATTCCAAGCTATCCTATCATATTCCCTGAACTACACTAACTAAAGGGTTTATCGCCTAAGGATTGCATGATACTTGATTTATAATCACAACCTTCTTTACACTGGGTTAACAACTAAAAATAATAAAGTAAGTTGTGTTTCCCTTTTGTGCGATAATTTATTATCTTTAGTGTTACTTAAATTGGAACCTTTTTTCTTCCTTCGTTAAAATTCTAAACAATTTAACAGATTTTTCAATTTTCATTAATTTAAATTACCATTAATTGAAATGATTAGGAGAAAATTTGAAATTTCCCCCAGCCAAAAACCTAGATTTATGTAAATTTCAAAAAGAAACAATTGGGCCAGGTCAGTTTCGGTTTTAAAGTTTTTTAGGATTAAATTAATAATAACCAATCAAACATCATTCCATGGAATTCAAGCAAAGAAAAAAGAAACAACAAACAAACACCCAAACAGAAAACCCAAATATATTTAGTGTACTTATTAGTTTTTTTTAACGGATTATTTTGTGCAAATAGTAAAAAAAACATTTTCTGTATTTTATTCCTTAAATTTCTTATGGTGGGAAGGTCGATTTTTTTCCTAGCGTATTTTTTGGAAGGAGATAATACAGTGGTCACTCAAATAAAGTGAAATTGGAAAAAAATNTCCCCCTCCCCCCCTATCTGTAACACCAGCATTAAGCCGACAATTTGCTGGTACATTATAGTTTACTAACAAACAGAAGTACAATAATGTATTCCTACTACAAAACCATTTCTATTGATAATAATAATAAGATTGGTTGCTTCATGGCAACTTTCCTTGGAGCTACAGCTTTATATCTACGCTACCAGAAGCTGAACAGATTTTGCAACTAATGCACTAAGCTTGCAGCTCCCCTGGTGAAGAGTGAAATGACGACACCTCTGCTCATCTTGATGCTTGCTGGTCTTTTCATTTCGGGATTTGAAGACTACAGAGGAGCAGATATCTAGCGTGGAGGAAAATAATTCAAGCATCAAAGAGGAAGACATCAAACTACCAAACTCTACGAGGAAGGGAAGGTTCTCTATCGAGTAACAAAGCATCGAGAGAAAATTCTCCAAATATTCGATTTTAGAATGTTTTTTTTTTAACGTTACCCCGGATTTCATAAAAGTTTAAAGATTTAGAAAAAAGTTATTTCGCTTAAAGAAATCAATATGTTAAATTAAATTTATTGAGCAAAAAGTATCTTCCTTATCTTATGCCATTGTGTAATTGAACCGAACATGGCTAATTTAACTACCTCTCAAACCTTCATAGATTTTATGCTTGGTAGCTACAAATTGGTATGAAGAGAAATCAGATCTGTTAATATTTGAGTGACAGTGTCACGTTTATCAATGTGTTAATCAGTGCATCAATAATTTGATTATGTGAGAAAAGTGTCCAAATCATTAAGAAGTACCCCACTACCCGGCCATTATCTCACGCCCGGACACTATTTAACGCCACACCGGGATAAGTTAGCGATATTTTGAAAATGCCAGATTTGTAATGACAAAAATATTTACATATGATTTGTTGATTAAACAAGTTAAATAATTAACATAAGCTTACCTAGGGTTTTATTAAACTTAGTGTCTCATATTTTCATTTTGAAAAATTTAATACTACATCTGAAATACATACAAATAATAAGCTTTTTTTGCAAATAGTTATTAAAATATAAATAATTAAATTACAGCCTTTTATTTATTGTCAGTGAGTATAAAATTGAGTTTTGATTTGAAAATTATTCCAGAATATGTATTATATCATATATTAAAATGGTCTTGGTCAATATGGCACTTCAGATTTGGTAAAACTTTACATTTCAGTGAAAGCTAGTTCAGTTGTGTAAAAAATAAACATATGGTAAAGAGTAGCGTATATAGAATATATATAGTAAATCTCCTGTAGGAGTGGCAAGTATTCTACAGATTAAGTAGATAGAAATTTTTCTGTAGGAGTGGTATGTACTCCATAGATTAAATGACAGGTAAAACATAATTAGGAGTGATGATTATATAGCTGGTATATATATATATATTAGGAGTGATGATTATATAGCTGGTATATATATATTAGGAGTGATGATTATATAGCTGGTATATATATATATTAGGAGTGATGATTAAATAGCTGGTATATATATATTCGGAGTGATGATTATATAGCTGGTATATATATATATTAGGAGTGATGATTATATAGCTGGTATATATATATTAGGAATGATGATTATATGGCTGGTATATATATATATTAGGAGTGATGATTATATGGCTGGTATATTTATATTAGGAGTGATGATTATATAGCTGGTGTAACTAAGAGTAGCGATTACTCCATATATTAAATATAGCAATTCTACGGTTGGAGTGACAAGTACTCCATATATTAAATAGCAGGTATAACATAAGTAGGAGTAGTTGCTACTCCACAATTATTTCCCCTCCTCGCCATCAGCACGTATCCATCGTTTCCCCAGTAGGTAGACCAGGAGTTCTTTATCAACCAATAATCCTTAATTATTTTAATATTTTCTTAATGATTTTTATTCTTTAAAAATACTACATTGGTCTAGACAGTTATTGTCTTAAAATTATTTAAAAGATATCTCCCCGCTCCTATAGTAACAGAACTAGTTGAATCAAACTTTAAAGTTTTCCGACATAATAAAAAATTAATTTTCGATAATTCAACTTGTATATTTTGTCCAAACTCCGTCTAATCACTAATATTTCTCTAAATAATTACAGATCAATGTTTCAGGTTGGAATTTGTCTTAGGATTGTCGGAAAACAAATAGTATCGTTTCCACCAGTTTCAATGACTGAGCATCCACCCAACAGATATAAATCCGCAAAAATTACCTGTCCGGCAATGGTTCCGTATCCTACCGCTAGGACAGCATGGTCCAATCCCTCCATGTCACTCCTAAAGATAAAGCAAAATTAACATTGTATTTCTAGTTCTGATTTTGAAACGAATTTAGAAATAAAAAATATTTTGTATATATTTCCTTGAAAAACCTCTCTTTATAAATCAGTGAGAACCTAAACCTAAAATCTGAAACCTTGAAGCTGTTGGCAAATTCCGGCATTTGTGATTGATAAAATATGTATTCGCAGCAGAATTAAACTCTAACTTTTGTGCAAAAATAAATAAATTGTTGAGCAGTTTTCTCCCCAAACCATTTAAAAGTTTTCAATAGTTTACCTGCAATCCTTCTCAAAGTAAACTCCACTGGAGTAAAAACTCAGAGACTAATGGGACAATCAAATTAAAAAAAATTCAATGAAATTAAAAAAAATATCAAGAAACCCTTTAACCAAGAGTTAAGTGGGATATAAAAACGACATATAAAGGGAGTGACCGGCAATGTATGATAGATTAACTGAGATTGCAGTATATTTGAGAAATTTTTAGGATTCATTTGAGAGCTATAAGACGTTTTTACGGTGCATATTTTTTCAGCTAGAACGCAAATTTAATATTCAAAATCCTCATTGAATGTCCAGTTTGGAGGAATGATTTTAAGAATCAGTTTTATAAAAGTTATTCAAAACGGCAAAGAAAAATTTCTACAGTAAACGAATTATATGTTTAGGAACATATTTCTCATTAGAAATTTGTCAATAATCAATTTTAGAATCAATTGTTTCTTTTTCATCATAATATTGATTTTCTTTTTTCTTTCAAATTTGTTCGAAGATTTCTTAAAATTCTTCAAATGTCGCTTTTTCATTAAAATTCCAGGAAATCTACAGAGAATGGTTTTGAACATTGAGACATTATAGAAACCAAAAACTGAAAAAGATAACTTAATTTTGATGATAAAGAGTTAATTTTTATTTTCTCAATCTGTTACTAAACAACTAATTAATTTACTGTAGATTTTTTTGTTATATTTTTCGTCCTCGCCGTTGAATAATTTAAATAAAACCGACTCTCAAAATCATCCCTCCAAAATGGACAATCCATGAGGATTTTAAAGGTTGCGCTCTTGTTGAACAAATATGCAGCGTAAAAACGTCTGATAGGTCTCAAATGAATCCTAAAAAATTTCTCATTAATACTGCAATCTCAGTTTAACTACCATACATACATCTTAAATGTATTTAATGTTGTTAAAAAACCAGCAACAGCTGTTGTTTATTGAACTGTTAATATCATAAATCGAGTCTAGAAGGCGTCAATTTTATCACGGAAATTTAAATAAGGAAATTTTTAGTTTAAAAAAATCAGAAGAAGGGGAAAAGCTTAACTCATCATCATACAAAAACGTAAAAAGTCGTAAAAAAGAACCTTATAAGACTAAGCTCCGACTTGGAGCAAAATGATGAAATGAATTCATTGTCTTCCCTTATGTGAAGCATCAATTGCAACAGAAATAGGACCTTTCGACGCTATAGCAACCTTCAGAGCATCCACATCTCCTAGAAATACGTAATAATAACTTTACAGTACAATTCAGATTATCCAGATATATATAGATAGAATAATACTCTGAAATATTCAAGTCACTTTTTTGGGAAAAACCACATTATAAATATTCAATTTTTCAGCTAGAAATTTAATGATATATTAGACAAAGGTATATATGGTTTTAAACATATGGCACTGTATAAAAGGAGGGAATTACGTCACCAGTCCCTTAAACAAACATATTTGAGGAATGAATTTAAAATTTAAAAGCAAAAAAGAAAAAGCTAACTCAGTTTTCAATTCCAATTGTCTTTCCCCAATAAAATCCCCTTTCCCCCCCCCCCCCCGTCCTACCTGAAGTAACGTTGACAAATCCTTTAATCTTAAGTCCTACAGAGGACTGGTTGAGGTTACAGTATCCGTCCTGTCCTAGATAGGGTCCATACGAGTCCTCTGTAGGGATCCCACCATGCTTTAGCATCCACTAAATACATTTGTTGAAAATTCCATATTTATTTTCATGATTTTTTATTTTCTATCCTTTTGAAACTTTTTTTTGAAAAAAAAAATTTAATTCCTAATTCATACTTAAATTCATCTACTAATTAATAAATGAATAGAAAAATAAAAGTGAATGAAAAATGAATGCATAGATGAAGAAATTAATAAAAGAATGAATGAATGAATAAATGGTAAGGATGAGACACAAGATGAATAAATATGAGGATAAAATGAAGAATGAGGTAATGTATAGATAACTAAAAAGATTTATTGATGAAAGGATGAAAGGATGAAAGGATGAAAGGATGAAAAGATGAAAGGATGAAAGGATGAAAGGATGAAAGGATGACAGGATGACAGGATGACAGGATGAAAGGATGAAAGGATAAAAGGATGTATGGATGAAAGGATGTATGGATGAAAGGATGAAAAGATGAATAGATCAACGAAACAATTAATTGGGTGACTGAACAGGTTTAATGTAAGATGTATGAATGGATGACTGAACAGGTTTAATGTAAGATGTATGAATGATGTATGAATGGATGAATTAATAAACCTGATAAGCTCTGAAATCTTCTCCTCCATCGCATCCATTGTTCCCAAACCCCCAGGAACAGTCGACCAGAGCTTGCTGGCTTAGTCTCACTAGTTGCCCAGTATGCAGGAACAGGGTTCCTTCCAGAGTTCCAACCTAGATTTATACATTTATACAGGAACCTGGAACAGTGCTCCTCACATAGTTCCAACCGTGATGTATACAATGTTAACAGGAACAGTGTTCCTTATAGAGTTCCAACCTAGATGTAGACAATGTTTACATGAACAATGTCCCTTATAGAGTTCAAGAGTACAATATTTACAGGAAAAGTGTTACTTCTAGAGTTTCAACATAGATTTATCCAATGTTTACAGGAACAAGGTTTACAGAACAGTGTTCATTCTAAAGTTCAACCTAGATCTATAGAATGTTTACACAAACATTGTTCCTCCTAGAGTTCCAACCTAGATCTATAACAGGAACAGTGTTCCTTCTTGAGTTCCAACCTAGATCTGTAACAGGAACAGTGTTCCTTCTTAAGTTTCGACCTAGATGATTAGATCTATAGAATGTTTACAGAAACAGTGTGCCTTCTTGAGTTCCAACCTAGATCTATACAATGTTTACAATGTTCCTTCTGGCTTCTAGAGTTCCAATCTAGAATTATTCATACCTACTAGTTGGTTAGAATAAAGAAACAGTGATACTTAAAGAGTTCCGTGTCATCTCTCCAATATAAACCCCGCCTTAAAACCCAACCCGGTCATCTCTCCGATATAAACCCCTCCTTCTAAAACCCAGCCCTGTAATCTCTACGATATAAACCCCTCCTTCTAAAACCAAACCCTGTAATCTCTCCGATATAGACCCCTCCTTCTAAAACCCAACCCTGTCATCTCTCCGATATAAACCCCTCCTTCTAAAACCTAACCCTGTCATCTCTCCGATATAAACCCCTTCTTCTAAAACCCAACCCTGTCATTTCTCCGATATAAACACCTCCTGCTAAAACCCAACCCTGTCATTTCTCCGATATAAACACCTCCTGCTAAAACCCAACCCTGTCATCTCTCCGATATAAACACCTCCTGCTAAAACCTAACCCTGCCAAATCTTCAATATAAACCCCTCCTACTAAAACCCAACCCTGCCATATTTCCAACATAAATTCCTCATACTAAAACCCAACCCTGCCAATTCTCCAATATTAACCTCTCCTACTAAACCCTACCGTACTTAATCTCTAATAAAAACCATCCAAATAAACCCAACAATACCATTACTTCATTTTAACCCCCTCCTTCTAAACCCTACCATGTTATATCAATCCTCCCAACTAAACTCTATTGTGCCATTAGCTTCAATATAAACTTGTGCCCATATCTCCTATAAAACTACAAAAACCTACCGTGCCAAAGCTCCAGCATGAGCCGCAAACGCTCTGATCCTTGACTGGAGTAACGGCTCCGTAAAGTCTCCAGTCCAGAGTATCCGGGGCATCCTGCAGTTCCTTCTCAGTGTACTTGAACTCCTAAATATATTTTCATTCATTTTTTTGGCTTCATTTTGGTTTTCGAGAATAGAAATTGATTTTTAGGAAAATAAATGAATTTTTGAGTAAAATCATCAAACAAGGGTTGGTAAGCCTACTTTTGAAAATAATTTTTTCATTTACCTCTACGATTCTAAAAATCATTTTATGTATGAAATAATCTAATCAGTTACTATACTGTTAAAAAATTACTGAGTATCAATATCGAACAAGGTATAATTTCATCAAATATTTTCCCCTTGAAATTAAGTGATATACTAGAAAAAGTCTTTAGAGTGGGGGGGGGGGGGAAGGGCGAAACGAAGTAAGTACCTGTCCCCCGTTATACTTGAGTTCTGGATCAAACAGGCGCCCACGTAGAGTCTTCATCTCCTCCCCAGAGTAATCAGCTAGGTGGTTCATTGACAGGGTGTAAGGTAGGCCTTGCCTAGATAAATCGAATTAAATTAAATTGTATTTTACAGGGATCGCTTGAGACATCCTTCCCTCGGGTCAGAGTTTCAATTTCTCCCCACATTCCGGATTTTCAGCCCCAACTTTATCATATATTTATTTATAATATTATCAATTGAAGATTTAATCATTATATCCATCATTTATCGATTATTTATCAATTAAATCAGTGATTTACCAATTAAATTGATGATTTATCAATTAAATCAATGATTTATCCATGATTTATCCATAGAATCAATGATTTATTCATGATTTATCTATTCTATGAATTGCAAGATTTATCCACGATTTTTCCATAATATCATCATCAATTAAATCAATAATATATATCCATAATTTAAAATTAAATCAATAATAAATCCATAATGTAAAATTAAATCAATAATTTATCCATAATTTGTCAACGACGTCATCCATAATTAATCTATGATATATACATGATTTTTTCATAATTTACCCACGATTTTTCCATGATATTATCAACAGTTTAATTCATGATTTATCAATGATTTATGTACGATTTTTCTAAGATATATCAAATGAGTATCAATGATTTATCAATGTTTTATTAAAAATTTATTTTTTATAACCCTTAACTAAATGAAGATTTTATTTCATGATTTATCAGTTCATCAACGATTTATGCATATCTAATTTTGCTGATTTATATTGATTATTTAAAAGTATTTATTAAATATATTAATCCTATTCGAAAAAGTGATTTTAAATTAAATAGCTTGCTAAAATATCAAGAATGTATTCCTTGATAGCTAATCTGTATCCCTTCATATCTACCCTGTATCCCTGTAATCTACCCTGTATCCCTGTATATCTACCCTGTATCCCTGTATATCTACCCTGTATCCCTGTATATCTACCCTATATCTCTGGTTCTTATAAATATATAACCCTGTTACTTACTCAACGTGAGCGTCGTGGTTGTGAATAAATTCCTTCATAGGTTCCATCTGATAGATATGTTCTACACAGAGATACAAAATATTTTTAAGATAAAATAAAAATAGAGGTCATAACTTATTAATTTTTAATCCTTTTAAAAAGCACTAATCTGTATCTTATGCAGTACAACGAAACAAGTAAAATCTTGAAATTCGACCAATCAGAAGCTACAAAACATTTGCTCTCGTCCATTAAGACGCCAGCTGGGTTTTTTCTCTGAGAGATCTAGCACGTCATAACTTCCAATTAAAAGTTCCAGTGTGGATATCTAGCTTAGACGTGGTAGATTAGCGTTATGTCATGAAAACGTTCCAATCTATAGCGTCTCAATTTTTAAGCCAAAAAAGAGATACTTTTTATCATGTTACAGAATATAAGAATAAACTATTTTTGATAAAAAATAAAATGTCAAAAAACGTTTCTACAGAAGGGAAAGAAAATCCCCAGACTCTCAAGTGAGCCCTTCAATTAAAATAAATAAAACATCAAAATTTCTTTTTAAAATATTCTGAATTCCTGATCCTGGTCCAGGCCATCCATGACAGGACTTTCCAACGTAGTAATCAAAGACGGAGCTATCAGGGACCTAACAGATAATAGGTAAAAAAACGGAGCTATCAATGGCTTGACAGAAAATAGATTTAAGACGGAACACTTGGGGACCTAATGGAAAATAGATTTAAGACGGAACACTTGGGGACCTAATGGAAAATACATAAAAGACGGAGGTATTTAGGAATCTTACGGAAATAGTTACAAAACGGAGCTATCTGGGACCTAATTAAAAGGAAATAAAGGACAGAGCTATGCCCTAACAGAAACTACAATATATTTCAGTTTTAAAACGACCATAACAGATCTATCACAAAAAATAATAGAAAATGAGTTATTAATGAAAAGGAAACTAACCTCCTCAGAAAAGTTTTCATAAGTAAGGAAGTAATGGTCGTAGTGAGAACCCAGTAGACTGTTGTATCCTCTCATCTCATAGTGTACAGGAATAGTTACACCCTCAACCTCCCGTACCCACATAGTGTACTTGTTCACCTGTGCATATATACTGTACAGTGTACAGGGATAGTTACACCCTCAACCTCCCGTACCCACATAGTGTACTTGTTCACCTGTACATATATACTGTACAGTGTACAGGGATAGTTACACCCTCAACCTCCCGTACCCACATAGTGTACTTGTTCACCTGTACATATATACTGTACAGTATACAGGGATAGTTACACCCTCAACCTCCCGTACCCACATAGTATATATAGTGTACATGTTTATCTATAAATATATATTGTACAGTGTACAGGGAAAGTTGCACCTTCAACCTCCCGTACCCACATAGTATATATAATGTACATGTTTATCTGTACATATATATTTTACAGTGTACAGGGATAGTTACACGTGGTCCTCAACCTCCCGTACCCACATTGTGTACTGTTCACCTGTACACAATATATACTGTACAGTTTATCCCGTACCAACTGTACAATGCGAACCAATAAAACCTATATTACCTTCTCTCCAATGACTTCCTTCTTCTGCCACTTCTGGCACTCCATGTTCATCTTGTACTCGGAGCCGAGGAGCTGGAACCCGGAGAGATCTGGAAGCATAGACTGTGCATCAACCTGGAATACAGATATTTACCAGGTATTCAAACCGCAGCGCTCCCTGAGCTTTGATTACAATCTTTTTTATATTTACAACAATTTAACTAGTATCTGAGCTAGCCTCGTATATCATATTGAATTATATTCAAATTATAACCCCCTCTCCTAAGTTATATTTGGATTTAATTAAGAGAAATATGAAGAAAAAAATACCTGCATATCCTTGGTCCCATTGACTTGAAAACAATCAATTGCATTCACTACAACCTCGTTCGTCATAGGAACTATCTGGAAAAGAATACGCCAATCGATCAATCAATTAATTAATAACTCAATCTGTCAGTATAATCGGGCCGCAGTTCAACTCATGCAAATCAAAATCCCGGCCCATCCCATCTCTGTACAGTCAACTCACCTTAACAAGTGTCCCAAACTCTTGAATATCTCCTCTCTGGAATGTTTTCACCATCCCAGCGTAGAAATCGATCCGGCTTCTCCTGGATCAGTAAAGATTAGATTAGTTTACAAATAGAACAGAGCTCCCTCTCCCTGAAGTGTAAATCACAAGCCCCCCCTAACTATCTGTAGATTACAAGCCCCCTCCTACCTAGCTGTAGATTATAAGCCTCCCCCTACCTAGCTGTAGATTATAAGCCTCCCCCCTCCCTAGTTGTAGATTTAAATTAAATAGCTTGCTAAAATATCAAGAATGTATTCCTTGATAGGTAATCTGTATCCCTTCATATCTACCCTGTATCCCTTCATATCTACCCTGTATCCCTGAATATCTACCCTGTATCCCTGAATATCTACCCTGTATCCCTGAATATCTACCCTGTATCCCTGAATATCTACCTTGTATCCCTAAATATCTACCCTGTATCCCTTAATATCTACCCTGTATCCCTGAATATCAACCTTGTATCCCTAAATATCTACCCTGAATCCCTTAATATCTACCCTGTATCCCTGAATAATACCCTGTATCCCTGAATAACTACACTGTATCCCTAAATATTTAAAATATCATGTATGTATTCTTCAATAGCTAATCTGTATCCCTGAATATCTACCCTGTATCCCTGTAATCTACCCTGTATCCCTGTATATCTATCCTGTATAACTGTATATCTACCCTGTATCCCTGAATATTTACCCTGTATCCCTGAATGTCTGCCCTGTATCCCTGAATACCTACCTTGTATCCCTAAATGTCTGCCCTGTATCCCTGAATATCTACCCTGTATCCCTGAATATCTACCCTGTATCCCTGAATAATACCCTCTATCCCTAAAAATTTAAAATATCAAGTATGTATCCTTCAATAGCTAATCTGTATCCCTGACTGTCTACACTGTATCCCTGACTATATCTACCCTGTATATCTACCCTGTATCCCTGTATCTCTACCCTTTATCCCTGTATATCTACCCTGTATCCCTGTATATCTACCCTGTATCCCTGTATCCCTTATATCTACCCTGTATCTCTACCCTATATCCCTGTATATCTACACTGTATCCCTGTATATCTACCAGCTATATCTATACCCTGTATCCCTGCATATCTACCCTGTATCCCAGTATATCTACCTTGTATCCCTGTATATCTACCAGCTATATCTCTACCCTGTATCCCTGCATATCAACCCTGTATCCCAGTATATCTACACTGTATCCCTGTATATCTACCCTGTATCCCTGTATATCTACCCTGTATCCCTGTATATCTACCCTGTATCCCTTATATCTACCCTGTATCCCAGTATATCTACCCTGTATCTCAGTATGTACGTCTACCTTGTACCGAATAAGTCGAAGACCAAGCAGGGACAGTGTCTCCCAGTGCAAGGGGAAAACAAACTGATAATATTAGAACTAGCATTGCTTATTCTGGAAAAGTAAAGAATTTATAATTAAATAATTCACTTTTATGTTTTAGAAAAAATTGTCATATGCCAGGTTCATAATTGTACAAGGGGACTATGGGATAAATAAAAACTTGAAAATTGATGTAGCTGCAGTCAAATTTGAAGTTAAAAACTTTTAGAAACATGAGAGTAAAGAGAAATGAAGTTAATGGGTTTAAAAAAAAAACGTTATTGAATTTCTTTTATTGATATTTCTAAATGTTGTCACCCAATTGGATTGGAAGTGAACAAAGAATAAAAATGGAAAATTGAAATTGAAAACTGCGCCGCTCACAACACACGGCTTTGTGCTTAGGAGGGCTTTTGAGGAGTAAAAATAAACAATAGATTCATCATTCACACAACCTCGAAATGTCATAATTCCAATTTTTTAAAAGACGACAAAGGGTTAAGGGAGCAAACTTGAAACATCTGACATTTGACAATTGACTTGATTGTTAAAAATAAGGGAAACAACTGAAGCAGCATAAATATTAACTTTCACATTGAAACGCCTTATCAAGTTTGAATTTATCATAAAATAAACAAATTATGTAAATTTCACAAATTCACATGACCTGCAGTCAACTTTTGATGCTTGAAAAAACATAAAAGCATGAATGTACAGGGTGTCCCACGAAAAATGACAGTATGCAAGAGGACTTGAATGTCGTCTTGATTTTTGATATAATTTGCTGTGGTTGTTTGTCAACCTAATTTTAGAAGTAAATTTCTAGAGATAATAATCACAAAATTCCCCTAGTCCTGCCATTTCCAAAATGTGGTCTGCCTTTTTTGTGCTTTCAATATTGCCCGACATATAAAGAATTTCGTTCAGATTTCGACAATTTTGCTTTTATTTTGAAATCTGAATCAAACTCTTTATATCTCCGGTAATATTGAAAGCACAAAAAACGCAGACCAGTTTTTGGAAATGCCAGGGCTAGGAGAATTATGTGATAATTGTTTCAAGAAATCATACATGTTAAAGTAGATAGAAGACTAATGTCACAAATAAATTCATATATCAAAGACGACTTTCAAGTCGTTTTTTTATTGTCATGTTTCGTGGGACACCCTGTATCAAGTGAATCAAGGCGGCTGGGAGGATGGAAAAGGGGATGCGCCATAGGAAAAGTTATATGGCCAGATCTTTAAATTGTCATGGAGATTGGAAAGTTTTAGTTCCCAACAGGGCAAACCCTCGGAAAAGAGGAGAGTAAGTAAACCTCCCTAGATCCAACCCTGTGAACATGCAATAGAAGAATAACGATTTTTTTTGTGAAAATGTTTTTTGGGACCTGATGCTTTAACTGTCGTCTTCGAATTAGAAAGACTAAATGTCGTCGTTGTTCAAGAAAACTTAAATGTCGTATTTCTAGTGAAATGTCCAATTGCCGCAATTTGTTACAAAACTCAGCAGTGTGCTTTGCGTCAGGTTTCGGTAGATAACAGCTTATTACCTTTAAATGAATTGTTTTGGTGTTAATTCTTTTAAATCAAGAATTTTACAAAAAGAAGTAAATTCCTTGTTCATAGCTGCGTAAACTTTAAATATTTTTTTTTCGCAAATTAGCAAAGTTCTGTATTTGTTTGTCAAATTAAGCCTTGTACAAACTATAATTGAACATCTAAAAATATGAATAATATTTATTTGAGGAATAAATTGTGTCTCGAAATATAAAAGTGAAACAGTTCAGTAATCCAGATCAAATAAAAGAGGATTTAGCTAAGGTGAACCTAAACGTTAAAATTTCTTTTTAAAGATCTAAATTAACCTTTTTTTAGTGCTCTTAAATATAAATTTCCATCACATGATTATCCCCAAGCCAAACCCAAACCAAATTCGCTCCAAATATTCATAGAACTTTGCATCTTCTGAAACCAAAATTGTTATAAAGGCCTTTATCAATTAATTAAATTTTGTCGATCTGTTTATAGTTTTTAAAAATTTGCCCGACATAGTTTAATGTGGGACACCCAATGTCTTAAATAACTGATGCTCACAACACATCTTTGATTTGAACCATAATGTGTTTTTAAAGTTTTTATTTAAAAAGTTTTTTGACATAAATTTTATTATAATGTTTTAAGGCAGAGGAGAAGAGGAGATGGAGAGAGGAGCATCCCGATAGTAGCAGCGAAGAGAGTGAAGATGAAGCTCCAGCTAGAGGAGCAGCAGGTTAGTAGGCCTACAATCCCTTCATTGATCAGGAGGTGTTTTAACAACCTCTTTATCATTAAGGAGGAAAGAAGGAGGTTATTAATCTTTCTATTGTTTTGGTTTAGTATTTCAGGAAGTTGGCTTCATATCCCTTTATTGTTATGGTTCAGTAGTTCAGGACGTGGGTTTATATCCCTTTATTGTTTTGGTTTAGTAGATCAGGAAGAGGGTTTATATCCCTTTATTGTTTTGGTTTAGTAGTTCAGGAAGTGGGCTTCATATCCCTTTATTGTTTTGGTTTNCTGGTGTGATCGAGATTGAGAATCCGAACAGAGTGAAACAGAAAATGAAGAAAGCCTCTCAACTTGATACTGTAGCAGGTATTCAAGTTTGAGGGGCATAAGAAAATTGACATTGACACCAACTGAGTCTAAATTTTTCCCTATATATTTATCTAATAAAGGTGAAGTAAATATTGGTTAACCATTAAAGACAAATTTAGATAAGCCCCAGTTGTTCTGGCGTGAACGAGAGGAACTGGATAAACAGAAAGCTAAACTACATTATATTATGTTTAGATAAGCCCCAGTTGTCCCGGCGTGAACGAGAGGAACTGGATAAACAGAAAGCTAAACTACATTATCAAAAAATGCACGCTGCTGGTAAAACAGAAGAAGCAAGAGCAGATTTGGCCAGGCTTGCGATCATAAGGTATTTAGGAATATATATATTATAAAGTAGTAAGCTTCCTGCTTCTTGCGCCTGGAGGCGGTCTGGGGGGTCCATAGCGGGGCCTCTTTTTCAGATTTCATTTCTCTATGTTTCCTTATGTTAGTTTGTTTGCATGTTCGATATAAGTCAAGAAAAATCTATTCCATGCAAGGTTGGTTTCCCAAGCTAGTACTTCATTTAATGTATAACTATAAATATATTAGAAGTTCTAAAATATAAGCTGACCGAAAAATGTATTAAAAAGATTTGCTCAAATCTGAAAAATTTGTTGATGCTTTTTAGTCTCCCCTAATACATAATAACACAATAGAGATTTAACCCATCTTAATTCCTTAAACCGGGGTCGTAAATATTTTCAATTATTTTCCGTGCTAACTGATGAAAAGTCGAGTTTATTTCAGCCCTTTCGGTAGATTTGTTTATCTTTCCTTAAAATAATTTATTTCCAGATAATGATGTCAAAAACTTTTATTATTTTTAGAAAGCAACGCGAGGAAGCTGCATTGAAACGTGAAGCTGATATCAAAGCAAAAGAAGAAGCATCCAAGGCCAAACAAACCGCAACTGCCAAAGCCCTCGGAAAGAAATAATATGTCCGTCTGGACAGACGAATCTATCTCCGGACGGACGAATCTGTTCTCGGTGCTGGACGGACGAATCTATAGAGCCTCGTCTTAAAGGGATTGCTAACGTATTTTTAGTTAAACTCATTTTTAGTAAGATCCATAAAGGATATTCAGAAGTATTCTGTCTGGAAATTGATAAATGTGTGGCCACGCTTTTAAAGAAGTGGGTTGTTTTTCGGTTATAGTTACATTTATATATATATATAGTTAGTTATAGTTAATGAGAATCCTTCATGGCACTGTTTTACTAATGTAACACTAAAAATACTTTGACAGTTATATTTAAGAAAAACTATCTTACAATGTGATTTAATCGCACTCCAGTATAGTTTATTCATCTTGTGTTCATCTTCATTCTTCATCCTGGGTTAGGGTCTTGTATCTTTTAGGCTTATAATAAAACCTTTGAATTTTATCTTACATTTTTTGATACGACAGATGTTCAAGAAACGTGGTCTATTTCTATTAATGTGAAATGGTGAATGCTCCGTGCACTTAGTATAAATAAACTACATCGTTCATATTAACTAACAACTATTCTACATATTTACCCATTAAAAATATTTACGAGTTTCTGCCCCCCCCCCCAATCACCCAATCACCCAATCATCACCATCATGCCAATAGCTCAGAGTCAAGTTATCATAACAATATCTCACATTGTATTCTTAATATTCCTTGTGTTTCAAAATGGTGGCGCCAATTTAACGATTTTCAAAATATTTTCAGATGACATAATGAACCATCTTGCATCTCTCAAATGAAGGTAAGATAGTGTAGCTAGCTTTTGGTTAGTGTTTGTAAAGTGGGTGGAGGGGGGGGGGGATTAGATAATAATGGACTGTAAGCATAATTTTAAGTGACTCTCGATTCCAAACGGTTCCCATTATCTGAGATAAATTGTGAATTGAAATTTGTTTTCATTTTTCCAGGTTTAAAAGTGATTAGATAATTCCTATATGTCAGCCTGCAGTAGAGATGCGCAAGGAGAAACAGTTTAAAATAATCAGTTTTCATAACTATAAATATTGATATCTACTAACTAGTTATTATTTGAGCAGACAAAGCATTGTCATTTGAGGGTTACTTTAAACTACGCTTATAGTCCCTTAAACAGTATTTCGCATCATTGATTTGAGTTAATTTTTTAATTTTTACACAAAAAAGACCGATTAATTTATTATTCGAGAAGGATAATGGCGGAAAGTGAACGGAAAAGACAACTTTCTGAATCTTCCGATTCTGAAGACGACCAAAAGAAAACAGCCAGGTACAACCCCTGTTGTCTTCTGTAACCTATAATCTAGCGCCTTACAAAATTTAAAAGCTTATTATGATGTGGAATTGATTTACAGAGAGTCCAGTGGATTTTTTATAACGAATATTTGATTTGACTGGTTAAATGAATGATGAATGTAAAGAATGATTCTTTAATAGACTGATTGACTGAATGAATGATTGATTGTTTGATAGGCATGATTTATTAAGTGATAAGTTGGTTGAGTGATTGATTTACTCGTTGAGTAATAGTTGAATGATGATTGATTGACTGGTTGATTGATTGATGAATCTAGGATTGATGAAGACAGTTCTGCCTCTGATCTGACCGAAGTAACAGATTCCGAATCATCTTCTGACTCCGACTCCTCCGGATCCAGTTCAAGTTCATCCTCAAGGTAACCATTTTAACTTGTCGTAAAGGGACTGGTAACGGTATTTCAAGTAAACCTTTTAATGGTAAAATGTCTGATTTACTTCAGTACTAAACCTTTTTCTGAGTAAGCTCTGTTTGAGGTTAACGTCTGTTCCCCATTCATAAGTCATACTCTTTTCCCTTCGTTCGGAAAAATCCATTTTTCATATTATATATACATAGATACATAGATACATAGGTACATAGGTACATAGGTACATAGGTACATAGGTACATAGGTACATAGGTACAAAGGTACATAGGTACATAGATATATAGATACATAGATAAATATTCAGTTTAAGTAGTAATCTTATTATGTCGGTTTGTTTGTATGTCTGATCACTAATGAAGATCCCCTTGACTGATTTGCCTCGAACATAGATTGGGGGAGTGTTCTTAGCTAAATTTTGAATTGAGTGGGTTGACATTTTAAGCGGAAGTTTAGTTTCCAGGCAACGCTGGGTTCCCAAGCTAATGTTATTGTATAATTTTTTTTTAATATTTGTAGTAGTTGTCTGATCACTAATGAAGATCCCCTTGACTGATTTGCCTCGAACATAGATTGGGGGAGTGTTCTTAACTAAATTTTGAATTGAGTGGGTTGACATTTTAAGCGGAAGTTTAGTTTCCAGGCAAAGCTGGGTTCCCAAGCTAATGTTATTGTATAATTATTTTTTTAATATTTGTAGTAGTGGAAGCGATGAGACTTCTAAACCGTGCTCCCAGGGCAAAGTTAAATTAGGAAAGCAGAAGAACGGAGATATTGATCCTTCTCCCAACCCTAAACACAGCCATCCTCCTCCTCACAACACTTCAGGAGTTGAACTCACTGATTCTCTTGCTCCGGAACCATCTGAAACCTTGAATCTGAACCCTAATGAATCCTCAGCCAATTCTCAACACAGCATAAAGAAAAATTCTCAGAAGAATTCTCAGTTGGAACAAAATTGCCAGAATTCTTCACTGGTTAGTCGTTTCTTGCACTTTTTATCTGTTAAATGTTAATCTAGTTTTTGGTTTGTAACTTTTTCTCCCTCCTGTTTATTGTTTATTCTCCCTCCTGTTTATTGTATAATCTCCTTCATTTTTACTGTATAATCTCCCTCCTGTTTATTATATAATCTCCCTCCTGTTTATTGTATAATCTCCTTCCTGTTTATTGTATAATCTCCTTCCTGTTTATTGTTTTATCTTCCATCTTCTTATTGTTTAATCTCCCTCCTGTTTATTGTATAATCTCCTTACTGTTGTTTGTTAAATCTTCCATTTTTTTATTGTTTAATCTCCCTCCTGTTTATTTTTTAATCTCCCTCCTGTTTATTGTTTAATCTCCCTCCTGTTTATTACATAATCTCCCTCCTGTTTATTGTATAATCTCCTTCCAGTTTATTGTATAATCTCCTTCCTGTTTATTGTTTTATCTTCCATCTTTCTATTGTTTAATCTCCTTCCTGTTGGTTGTTAAATCTTCCATTTTTTTATTGTTTAATCTCCCTCCTGTTAATTGTTTAATCTTCCTTCTTTTTATTGTTTAATCTTCTTCATGTTGATTGTTTAATCTTCCATCTTTTTATTGTTTAATCTCCCTCCTGTTTATTGTTTAACCCTCATGTTTATTTTTCAATCTCTTTCTGTTTATTGTTTAATCTCCTTCCTATTTTTTGTTTAATCTGCCTCCTGTTCATTGTTTAATCTTCCTCTCTACTATTAATTGTTAATTCTTTCTTCTCAAAAATGATGAATCTGTTTTGTTCAGGCTGCATCTGATACTATGGACAGTAGAACTGACAACGATCTTGAAACTGAAACAGAAAACTGCCTGGACAACACTACAGATAAACAAGTAATGATCACAACAAATAACTCGGCAGATATTCTGTTGGACTCACTATCAGATACTTCTTTTAATACTTTACCAGATAATTCTTCTAAACCAGATACTAAACTAAATAACTGTATGGAAACAGAAGCAGATAACTGTCTGGAAACAGGAGCAGGCAAATGTCTGGAATCAGAAACAGGCAACTGTCTGGGAACAGGAACAGATGGGAATTTTAACCTGGACGAGATTCAGCAGTTTCTAGCTGGAGGAGATGAGGGGTTTGTAGACCCAGTGTTTGTAGATCACGAGGACTCTCAGAATGCTGCAGATCTCGACCAGCTGGTCTTCGAGACAGAGAAGGATAATCAAGAGGAAAATAAATCATATGAGAAACACATATTTTTTTATATTATTTTCATTCGGCATTTTTGTTGGATGTTATAGACGATTTTTTAATCATTGACTTCAATCAGAACCTTTTTTGGTTTAATTTGGTTAGATTTGATCCGAGCTGTTGATTTCCGGTTGATTTTATTACATTTGATCTAATTTGTTTTTGATCCAACAACATTATTTGATTTAATCCAACAATATTGATTGATTTCCAGGAGGTAGATAATTTTTTAAATGATCCCCGTCTCGGGATAATCTGCTCAAATTCAGCATCCCTGGCAACTTCTAAAGAAGGTAATTCCATTTTGATTCATTAATTGATTAATTTTTTATCATCATTTTGTTTGTTTCTGTTAAAAGTAAACTTGGTATGTGAAAATTACAATATTTTACGGTTGAGGAGGTGGGAATTACAATTTTTTACGGTTGAGGTGGAAATTAGAGAAACGGACTTAACATAAATGCTTACATAGTACATACAACTTCCTTTCATTTCACTCATCTGTCTTAGTTCTATTGAGAAATGTATTATTACAAAAGTTGTATGTTTAATTAACTTTATATTTTAAAATTATTTATTTTAAATCAAAATGTCACTAACACTTCTTTTACAGAAAAAATACACAGAGACAATCTCTCTTCATTGTGGGATTTAACAGAATATCCTGCTAACTTTAACAGAATATCCTGCTAACTTTAACAGAATATCCTGCTAACTTTAACAGAATATCCTGCTAACTTTAACAGAATATCCTGCTAACTTTTGATATTTCAGGTTCTGTTAACCTTAATGAATTCGAGGACGGAGAATTAGAAAGTACTCCTGAACCCTGCCTTTCCTTAGGACCTAGTTCTTCTCCGGACCCTAGTCAAGCTCTCCTGACTCCGGACCCTAAACATTCTTTATCCGAGGAACCTAAACCTCTCGCAAACCTTGCTCAGATATCCAGTCAAGAATCCAACCTCAAAAAACCAGATCCGGTCCAACCTGCTCCAAAGGAGTCGGGAGCAGAATCAAAACCCATCCCTGTCGAGGGTTCAGTGTCTTGCAGCAGGTCTCGGAGTAAACCTGAACTCTTGTCCCGTCCTAGTCAATCCTCTCTCAAACCAGCGCTCTCCGAACCTGAATCCGATCATGAACATGATAAATCCAGAAAACGAAAGAAATTGAAGAAACGCCGCGACGTTAAAATTACCGGAAGTGATGAGTCGGACGAAGACGAAATGCCGCGTACAAAGTCCAAGAAAAAGCGGAAAGATAAGAGTCCGAACCATTCTACAGTCGACAAATCTAAAACCAGAGATTCCTATATTAATAGAAACAAGTTAGTTAATAAAGTTACAATTGGCATTTCCGGAACTACGGCACATGGAGTCAAGCCTGGAGCTGTACCCGAACCTGTACCTGGAGTAGTACCTGGAGCTCGGGATCAGAAATCGTCAGGTTCCCACGCGGAGAGAAAGCTTTCCGCCGTATCCGAACCTAAGCCTGGTCGGGATGCAAAGCCAAAGTTTTCATCCCAAACTGTTACATCACGTGATAACAAGTATTCCACGTCTTCCAAACTAGATAAAATTTTACCACCACCGCTGCCGCCTATCGTTGCCGGCCCGTCTCAACCCAAACTCCCTGCCGTACCCGCCGCCATATCAACCTCTCCGACTCGTCCTTCAGAGCCTTCAAGTTCAAACCATCCTAGTTCAAACTCATTGGTGCATATACCTAAACCTTCCAACCGACCTGGAGGATCAAAACTCAAGACGGATCCATGTGATGCATCCTCTCCGGCTTTGAGTGATGATGGATCCTCGGAGAGGGATTGTGTATTGAAGGACCCGGCCGAGAGTATGGAGGAGGAGGGGAAAGTTGAGGTAAAGAAAACTTATTACATCTGCGCAAAATGAATTTAATCGGCAAATTTTCTTTTTATTTGAAACTTTATTGAAAGTGCATCGTCAAAAAAAATAATTGTTTATTTAATACAAATTGAAAAAGTTTCTGAGCAAGATTTTTCCTTTGTTTCTATTGCCTTATTCCTATTGTGACAGATTTTATGGACCAAGATAGTATTTGTGGTAGATTTTATGGACCAAGATACTATTTGTGGTAGATTTTATGGACCAAGATACTATTTGCGACAGATTTTATTGAATAAGATACTGCTAGTGACAGTTTTTGCGGAGTAAGATACTATATGTGGCAAGTTTTATATTCTTAATGCTTTTAAGTTGCATTTTGAGGTTGTAATGGGCTTACAACGTTCACCCAGATTAATCCTAAATGAACCTTTTTCCTAATCCTGAAAATATAAATATTTTGAGTATTTTGAAATAAGTGAACAATCCCTTTATTAATCATATTGTTAGTGTCCACGGAAAAAGTTAAGCTTGAAGGATTACAAGGCTAAGAAGGAAGCTGAACTAGCGAGGAAAAGTGCCGAGGAGGAGGAGAGTAGTTCAGAGCATTTATCACAGGTACACTAAGCATCCCCTATTCACAACTGTACCCTTTATTTCATAGTGTTTCTATATTTATAAATGTGGAATTCCTTTTTGAAGAAGAACTAAAGGAACCTAAATTTTTGATTTTGAGGAGGTTTTAAATAAAATATAAATAAAAATAGTAGTGAACAGTACTTTTCAAAAAGTTGTGTATTAGTTTTGCAGACTTTAAACCTATATTTATACTTTCCCCTGATAAAATCGTCCATTCCAGGCCGACCTAATCATCTTATCACTTTCATCATGGATTAGTTAAGATTTTTACCGTTCATCAAAACATATTTTTCTTATTACTGTTTGGTCAAAAGTGGACCGTATTTGTATCGAGAATATTTTCTGTGGTATTATAATAAATATAATTTATTATTATTATTATTCTTAAGAATGAGACAAGTAAAGAACCGTCTCCTGAGCCCTGCAAGAGGAAAAAGCAAAGTAAAGAGAAGAGAAAGAGAGAAGTGGAAGAAGATAAGAGAGGGGAATACGTAGACGAGAGAATGGAAGAAGAAGAAGAAGAAGGAGAAGGAGAAGAAGAAGAAGAAGATGGAGAAGATGAAGAAGAGGATAATGAATTACAAAATTATACAAATGCCAGAAACAAAAATTCAGAGGTAAGAAAGATAAGATCAGAGGGGAAGTGCAGAAGTCCTCAATGAGCAATAACCGCCAAACAAATGGGTTTTGCGGCATGCGCGCTCCTCAATTGGTAATCAGACAAAAAGGCGTAACAGTAAATCGTTTATTTCTTAAAAATAAGACCATATTGACCTCTGTTAATGGTCCTATGGTGTACAGTGTACACTATTCTTAAAGCTTTCTTTATTGCTCCTCAGTTTTGAAAATAATTCTATAAATTTGCCACATGAAGCGCTAGAAATAAAATTACGTTTTTGAACCTTTGCGCTTGCGCGCTCCTCAATTAGCAATGAAGCGCTAGAAATAATTAGGTAACATAATACTTCATTTTGCTTTTGGTTTTGTTCGAGAATAGCGAGTAATAGTGATGGTTCAGGAGAGCACCGCAGGATTTACTGCAATGTAGACGGATTAACTGAACAAAAACTGAATGAAATAACGGATATAGCTTACTATATATTAATCCAAACATCTTAGTTATCTATCACTAAACAAAGGTTATCCGCATAAACACGCGTATCAAGTCTGGGTATGAAATGGGTATGAAATATTTACCTCATATTAATTCTCTTGGCACAGCCATGTTTTATCCTGCATTTCCATGTCAATGTATCCAACACTTTCTTGGTAAAGCCATGTCTAATCTTTATATAAAATATCTTAATCTCATTCTAGGTTTGTCAAATCATGAATAATTTTTAACCTAATGATTTGATTTGATTTGTTATAGATTTTGAACAGGAGTAGGTGAATACAGAAATTGAAACACTGTAAAGGTTTTTTAAAAAAATATCTTTTAATGGAGATATATATTACTTTGGGCGCGGAGAGATAATTTTTAGTAAACAGGCAGCCCGACCTTTTAGTATCTTAACTTTAATTATGTAATGTAGTCATTAAATCAGCGCATTGGATCCAAGATTTGTCTAATATAAACTTTGCCTTGTTTCTCAGTTGAAACCCCGATAGATCATTAAATTAAAATCTCAGAAAACAAGATTTTACGGTGATTTCTAATTGAGGTTGTGGAGATTACTAATTGAGGAGCGTGCATGCAACAGAACACGTTTGGGTGGTGGTGATTACTTATTGAGAACTTTTGCACTAAAGCCTTACACGAATTTTATTAAACGGAAAACAGCAATTAATTTTCTTTTTCTTTTTTATTAAGTTTGATGATGGTTGTTCCGACTACCTGGGTATAGGATTTGATATCCTGGATCAGATTGAGAACGACTCCGAAACGGACAGCAAGAGCGTCTCTTCCGGTGAGAGCATGGACGAGGAGGTGTACGACCTCCTCGAGCAGGACGTCGTCAAGACGAATGAGAGCATGGAGCACGTGGTTCTGCCGGAGGACAAGTTTATTAAGCTGGTCCTAGAGGACAGAGGTGGAGGACACTTTGATGTTTTGCCTCGAGGTTGGGTTATTGTAGTTCATCATTCAGGGATGCCAGTTTATCTTCACAAGTAAGAATTTATAATAACTGGACATTCAGGGAGCTTCACGCCCCTCTTACAATACTTACTCGATACTTGAGTGTTGATCCTCAGAGTTTCATCTAGGCATATGTAGAGGATATTTTTAGGAACTGATGATCATTTAATGGTAGAATTGTATCTTCTAGGTTTCTCTATAGATCCCAGTGATCATTGTGGAATTAATTTAGTGATCATACTTGTTTTTGAATACATTTACATTTTTGGCAGATTTGATATCTTGTTATTCCAATTCCAATATTAAATCTATTGACGGCAAAAATAAAATTAGTTCCGACACACAGACAAACCAAATATAAACATAATTTTTTAAAAATTTTATATTTCGATAAAAAAAATAAGGCTTGGAACAATTGTTTATCATACTGTTATAATATTGTTTTTAGGGAAACAAGAGTTATAACCTTGTCCCGGCCCTATGACGTTGGTGATGCTAGTGTACGGAGACATAATATTCCAATCTCATCCATCCCCTGCTATGCATACAGGTTCATTCCCATAAAATATATGCGGTCTTAACGTACGTTTGGTTTGGTTCGATTTGGTTCGATTTGGTTTGGTTTGGTTTGGTTTGGTTTGGTTTGGTTTGGTTTGGTTTGATTCGATTTGATTCTATTTGATTCTATTTGATTCGATTCGATTTGATTTGATTTTATTCGGTTTGATTCGATTCGATTTGATTCTACTCGAATATACTTTTAAATAGATTTGATTCGTTTTATTTTCAATGAGTTAGGTATAACGTGTTTATTTATCTCCAGATATAGTTCTGAGGTTCAAGAGAAGCAGCCAAGCAGCTCTGTCACCCAGACGAGCAGCTCAGATACGCAGCAAACGAGCAGATCCGACACACGATCGAGCAGCTCCAATACCCAAACTAGCAGCTCCGTGAGCCAGCCTAAACCTAGCTGTCCGGTGCAGTCTGATCTAGAAACTAATCCCAGCTCAGTAGATAAATTTAGTAAAGGTAAAATAAATAGCAAACAACTTTTAAAATCCAGCCCGGGAAATAAAGTGGTCAGCTGGCTTGATAAAGTTGTCTACAACCAACCGGGACAATAAAGTGAGGTTTGAAAATAATTTAAGCAAATGAGTAAGAATAAGGAATGAAGTGATATGAAAGGGTTAAAATGGAGATCTCCGTTTTTTCCAAAGTAATATTTTCCCGGTTTTGAAACTAAGAAGACGACATATTTTGGCAAACATTTTTTTCATTATAAAATGTTTTTATTTTAAAAATTTAATTTAATGTTTGATAATTTATCTAGGTTATAAAGTATGTCCGTTCCCTGGTGGTGGATACGGGAGGGAAAATGTTTCCCCAGACTCAACTACTATAGATCCTAATAGGTAAAGAATAAATACATTGATTCTAGAACAATCCCCCATGTTGTTGTTGTTGTTTTTTTGTTCTTTTTTTAATTGAAAGCATTTAACATTGACTGTGAAATAATAATAAAAAAATGTCTTTGATGTAGAATACACACAACTTGTATAATAAGTTTCATTATACATTATATCCGATAAAAGAATGAGTTTTGAGGGGAATTGTTAAAAATATTCCAATGTTTGCAAGTTAAAGTGACAATTTAAAACTTGACACAAAATATTTGGAAAAATATTTTTTCTTTTTATCCCTGAATGAAATTCCTTTCAGAATATTTGCAGTAATATTGTTTGTTTAGGGATGAAATGCCAATGGAGACAGATTCTACTGAGACTGAACCTGGCAGCAGTGGTTTACCAGGACCCGGGGTCGGTGAACCTGGCAGCAGTGGTTTACCAGGACCCGGGGTCGGTGAACCTGGCAGCAGTGATTTAGCACCTGGAGATAGAGATAAAGCAACAGGTCCTCAGATGGAAACTATTGAGGAGACTAGACGGGATCTGACCCCCCTGGAGGTGCAAGAGTACTGCAGGAAGGTGTTCACCTTCAAGGAGGTGGAGGTGGCCAGGTTTAAGTCATGGAAGGAGAGAAGGAAGTTTCAACGACAAGAGGGGAAGAGAAGAATGGAACTGGTAGGATTTTTATACAGAAAATACCTAATACCCATTGTCAAACTTTGTACCTTATTGTTTCTTTACGACGGGAGTTGGGTTGGGGGAGACATTTGAAAAAAATAGCTTGCCGGATGTTTTTAACATGAATTATAATAATAATTAATGGCAAACCAGAGATGGAATTTAAAGAATGTGAGCCGCGGTTTAAATCCGCCAAAACCCGGTTTAAATTTAGCGCTGGCTTAAATCTGGAAACATTTGATACAATTTTAAGTGGAACCAACCATATTTAAGCCGCGGCTTAAATTTAAACCGCCGCTCAAATTCTTTAAATTCGGCCACAGGAGTACATATTTTAAAGAATTTAAACATTTGCCAGGTTTTGTCCTTTCTCATACTTTTTAGTAAAGTTTTTGAATAATTAGACTCTACTTTCATTTATTTTACCCATTTCAGCTGAAAAAAAACTTGATGTGAATCCTTACCAACAAAAACGATTAATGGTTTTTAAAGAAAATTTACAACCAAAAGTAAGATAGATAAGATAAAGTTTATTTCTAAATTTCATGTATATTGTATATGTGTACATAACGAGTTTACAATTACGAATGGATGATTATTTTGGCAGTACAAGTAAAAAGCAATTAGGTGTAAAATAGCTTTTGGCTGCTTTAATTTTTTCCTCGCTAATTTCAATTAAATAGATTTGAGGAGTAATATTAGAGACCAGGGTGCGATTTGATCTTGTGCAAAATAGATTAAACTACACTTACTTTTTCCGCGTGCCGCACCCGTAAGTTTTAAAGCAGCGTTTTTATAATAATACCAACCCTCTGTGTAGGAGAGACCCCAGCTACCTGAGGGCACCAAGGTGCTGACCATACCTACGGTTGAGTTGACCAAGATCGATGGAACGGAGGGTGACTCCGCCATGAACCAGCAGGTCGTCAAGAAGTCGAAGAAACAGTGGGTTCTCAACCCTAACGGAAAGAGCATGGTGAGTATTTTAATGTTAAGTTTTATTGTTACTAACATTGTAACCTTCTTAAATATGTTTTTTTTTTAAAGTGAAACATGCTAACTTATTTTATGCATGTTTTTCTTGGGGGGGGGGGAGAGGCTGGGTTTTATAATCTCTGATCCCAGCTTTGATTGTTTGAAGCTTTGAAACTGAATTCGAAAAATATGACATTGTTTTTATTTACAAAAACACTGAACAGTCCCTTAACCTAAATATGTTGTATTGTATACTAGGTATGTATTCTCCACGAGTATGTTCAGCAAAGTTTAAAGTCTTATCCTAACTACAAGTTCGCAGAGCTGGATAACGCCGCCACCCCTTACTCGGCCACCGTTTACATCAACGAGATGGAATACGGCAGGGGAGTAGGTTCCAGCAAGAAGGTTGCAAAATCTAGAGCTGCAAGGTACGAACTTATTCTTATTTTTATGCGATTTTTAAAATCTATTACAATTTTTGATATTATTAATAGTAGCCTGACATATATTGCATTAACAAAAATTTTCTCAACATAAATAATATTAAACCTGCTAGTTGTCAATCAACAAGTTTTAATGATAAAAAAATTCAATAATGAATAATTAACGTCAAAGACTCTAAAGTCTAAAGTAACTGATGACTCGCCTCAAACTCTAATTTTAAACTTGAAAGTTTTGGTGGAGTCGTTAATATTATGCTTTATGCACATAAATATTATGCTGTATGCACATTAATATTATGCTGTATACACATTAATATTATGCTGTATGCACATTAATATTATGCTGTATGCACATTTGTCTCTGAAGGCTCAGAAGAGAATAAACAATTGTTTTCTCTAGACAAACCCTGGAGATGATGCTCCCGACGATCAAGGATAAGCTGCCGGAGGAGCCAGGGGAGAGAGGAGAAGATGAACCTGATCTCAAGTTCTTCAATGATATCCGTGTAGAGGATCCAAGGGTGGCGGAGCTATGCAACCGAGCCAGTGAACCCGGGCCTTTTCATATACTTGTCACGTGTTTACAGAGGTCAGTAATTGAAACCAATATTTTTGAGTACATGCAAAACAAATCAATTTGCTAAACATATCAAACACAAAAAACGTCAAAGTACAAAACAAGTATTTATTTATTTTTCTAAATTTTGTATAAGAAATTTCGTTCGTCTTATTATAGGTTTAAAGGTAACATAAGTTACTTTTCACTTGCACAGTCTTGATGGAACTAATTACTGAAGTTTTATTGAAATTCCATGATTTCTATCCACAAATTAAAACATTTGTTTTTCTCAAATGTTTTCTTACTCATTCATCTTTTGTAATTAATTAGAATTCAATATGTTTGATATATTTTGAATATTTCTGTTATATTTTTTAGTATGTTTTGTTTTTTCCTCATCATTTTTTTTGTAAAATTCTTAAATGAAGTTGCAAATAGAAAAGCTGTTAACAAATATCGGTCATCAGTATTAGACGGAAATATTCTTTTCTAAAACAAGTTTATCCCTATTTATTCTTATCTTTGCATGGTGGGGAATAAAAGATAATTTAATGGTGGAATGAAATAATTTTTCAAGAATTAACAGTTTTATTTAATATCAGAAACTACGGGGTCGGGGATACCGGTATTAAGCAGGACATGAAGCCGGCCAGGAATGGGAGGATGGAGTACATCATGTCCGTCAACAAGAGAGAGGTAAGATATTTAATGTTTCTAGGGTCTCCTCAGCCTGGGGGGGGGGGGGGTAACTTTTTTATTCTTGTAAGTAAGTAAATTTGAACTTATTTTTATTTTTAAATAGCGCTTAACCATGAACCACAAATTTCACCAGAAGCGGATCATTCATTTGATGCTCTGTACTGTTTTGCCTTACACAGTCTGCATTTGTACTGTACAGCTTGCTCTAACTGATTAGAATTCGGTCCTGTACTTGAAATGAGTTTACAATGGAACTGGCTGGGCTTCATTCTAGTTGGTTTGCTATTTTTTTTTATCAAATTAATGTATCTCACCTAAATGCTTACGAAATAAATAATAAAATTTAGATTTCTACGATTATAATTTCTCCAAGGTTTCTGTGATCTGTAAGAATAAAAAGGATGGAAAGCAGTTGGCAGCCCAGAAACTGCTCCAGCAGCTTCATCCTAATATTGGAAATTGGGGAAGCTTACTTAGGTGAGGAATATATATATTCATTATTCAAGGTTATATATTTTGATGCTCGGGGAAAAATTATTAATTTTATTTTGATATTTTTTATCACAAACTTCATTATTTTCCCTTAAAAATCCTATATTTTCCCCAGTTCAACGTATAAACCTCTTAAATAAATAAATAAATAAATAATTCTTACTTGTGATTTTTCAATGGGGTTGGAATTATTTTTTTAAGAAACCCAGCCTGCATATCTAGCTCCTACAGATAGGTTTTCCTAAATTTTTAAAAATTCCCGTTTAACTGAATGGAGAAAAAAGTTAATTCGAGCTTAAAACTGATTTGAACACTGAACAGTAAAGTGAAGATTGAATAATACAAAGTAAATTTACGTTTTACCGTAAACATTAAAATTTTCGTCATTTTTTTAGAAATTTGTTAATTTATAGATTTACAAGAAAGAAAATTTGTGGACTGCTATCATTTTACACCTGTTATTACAGTATTGGTCAAGGCTTAATCATTTCGGATTAAGGGTTGACCGCAATTATTATTTTTATTATTATTAATTCGTGTTTTATCATTTTATTACCATTAAATGTACCTTCAGAATGTACGGAAATAGGGCTTCAAGAAAACAGAAGCAAAAGAAAATGAAAGAAACAGAAGTTTTAGGTAAATCAAAGGATTTTACTCTCCTAACAATTGGTTGAATTATAAAATTTATGAAAAAAAAATATTCTTGGATCCAAATCCCTGTTTTTTATACGGATCCGGTTTAAAACAAAGAATTAAATACCACAATTAGTGGATCCGGAATCCAGATTTAGGGATTGCTAAACTGAATGGAACTATTTTTCAATAAAAGTGGCATGTTCGATTTCCAAGGTTGTCTGGTGAAGAATTCATGAAGTATCCATCAACTTTGCTGTTGATTATTTCCGATTGTGGATTCACTTGAAGTATTTTGCTTCAAAAACATGTGAGAAATTGTCTTAATTAAAAACTTTTCATGATTTCTGATTGTTGAGTGAATAAAGGTTTACAGAGTACTGTTGTGAATCAGGATTGCATCTTCTCTTTAAATGGAAGATCACTTGAAATTGTAACAACACAGTTTATTACCAATAATTAGATATCCTTTAACGTTCTTTAAAGAGAGTGTTCCCGAAAAAAGAAAGGGGGTATAGGCTTAATGCGATAAAAAAAGCGCTTTTGATCGCTACTAATCTTACTTCTATCTGTTGCGTCTATAAGGAGAAAATTGTTCAAAACGACTCACACCGAAGAACGCAGCGTCAATACAAATCAATTTAATTCCAAACATATCATTCAGATATTACATTAGTAGTCATCGATTATTTTTCGGCATTCATATATAGTTAATATTTCATAATATTTTTGATTTTATTTTAAATAATTTTCGCTGGCGCTGTATTTTCGCACATTCCTAGAAAATATGAAACTGTCGTCTTCATTATCAAAAATCCTCGGATTAGGAATAAATGTTTTCGAAAGTAACTCTCAGATCATGAAAAATACAAAATATTTTTAAATTTCAACTATTTACGAATGCGTCGAAAAATAATCGATGACTATTGTTTGTAATATCTGAATGATTTGTTTGGAATCAAAAAAATTTGTTTACGATCCGAATTGAAAGTTACATCTTTCTGATTTTGTATGGACACTACGTTCTTCGGTGTGAGTCGTTTTTAACAATTTTCTCCTTATAGCCGCCAAAGATAGAAGAAAGATTAGTAGCGATCAAAAGCGTCTTTTTATCGCATTAACTCCCTTTAACTAGATTAAAACAGTTGTATTCAGTTGAAACCAATAAAAGTAGAAATTTAATGAGTACGCCGGTTGAAGTTTAAAAGAAGTGGTTTTAATTATTCTACGTGGTTCAGTTAGCTCGCAATAACTAATAAAATATGAATCTTATAATTAATTAATTTTCAGCTCTGCAGAGTAAAAGTTCTGTTCTAAAGACAGGAAGCCATTCCATCGCAATCCTTGCCAAGCTGAAGGATGAGATGCGAAACCTTCGAGATATTCGCAACTCCTTTGTTCCTCTCGGTAAATTCCAGCCACCCGCTGGGGTCCGCCCCTCAGGCCTGGACACCGATCATCTCGATATTTAAATTTTTTTAATGCTCCCTTTTCCTCCTCAGATGGAATTATTGCAACATTCATATTACTGTCATATTGGACAAGCTCATAGAGTGAGACTTCTTTCTGACATTGTCCTGAGATGCTATGGACAATTGTTAGAGTTAGTCCTTGTCCTGACAGTGTTTTGAGATGTTTAGGACAATTTGTTGTTTGTACTGTGTAGCTTTTACTTTATGTAAGCGTACCGTGTACTAAAGTACAATTATCATTCAATAAGTTCCATCGGGGAACGACAGGACGATTATTTTTTTTCTAAATGTATTTTTTGACATTACTTGAAATTATGAATTAGTAAAATGTGTGGATAAATTTGTTCGATGTCAGTAGATACTGTACACAGTAGATACTGTACACAGTTTTTGACATTTGGACGTACAGTGTACTTTGAGTTTATAGTGAAGTACAGGTCCTTATTTAAGTTGTTACGGAGTCCTTTATGTACTGGAATTTATCGGTACTTTTTTACAGTTGTATACTAATACTCAGTATAAACAAGGTTACCCACAAAGGATGAGACTTCAGAGACGACTGTACAGAAATTATACTGTCTGTTTCCTTATATTTATGATTCCCTGCAATCTTATTTCTATCCCTGCTCCATCAATATAATCAACACTCTACTCAACCTTGGAATCTGAGATTTCAGTCTCATCCAACCTTGTAGCTATCTACAACAGTACTCGGGGGCATATTTAATAATTCATTATTTTACTTCAAATTTATAAATGAGTTACAAAAAATAACATTTTCAAACTTTCTTTTGCACGTGTAAATGTTGACATGAAAGAAAGCGTTATGAAAGTTATCTTTGTGCTGATTCAGACGAAATGTTTTCGAAGACCCATTTCTTATTTGAGTTAATTGTCCCGCCAAATGTTTCATTTCTGTTTCTGTGTAAGATGTACATAACTGAAAGGTACCCACCCCAATTACTCATATTAATATATTCGCAAAGGGCATATGTACATATCATGTACATTGTACAGGTTTTAAAGGTCAAATATCATAAATGACTCTAGTACACTGTTCAGGATAAATTAAACTGACGACACACATGGTTATGGTTTATGACCAGTTATATTATGTTCAAATTGTTTAAATAAACATGTATGTGTTGTGATCAAATGTACTTCTTTAATAAATTAGTTTTTATCTTTTAAATGTAGTTACTAGTTAGGTATTTTTCATCAAACAACAAATTCCCAAAATTTCCCAGAGTTCTGTCCCAGCTTCCATAATCTGCATCAGTTTTATTTCAATTAACTTATTTACTCCAAAGAGCTGCTAGTTCGTCTCGCAACAAACCATTGCTCTTAGAAATATGTTTTATTTAATAATTGATGATAATCGTTTGTTTTCTCGTAAAAATTTGACTTTAGAATTTTCACAGTTGAGACAATGACGGAAAAGATCAGAATAATCTAAGATATCACTTACAATCACGTCATCAGTCATTTTAAATTTTTATTTCGAGGAAAGTCTGGATATTTGTTTTTATGTGAAATTACCTAGCAAGTTAAATTTATGTATTCAATAATCTTCTCTTGGGTTTGTATTTTTTCTCAAGATCTCTTTTTCAGATCAAAATGAAAATAAACGATTATTAAAAGGTGTTATTTTAATTTTTTGTGTCGAAATATCAGATGCCACCAACGCCCAACTTGATCCTGAAGAGATATAACAAATGGTTGAGACAAGTATAATCTTGTTTTTACGAAGTAAGTGACCCTCAATAAAAAGATGTCAATCCCTATATCTCAACGGAAATCTGGAAGATGTCGTTGATGTGAAACAGATTCTGGGATAACGCTGGGAATCCAACACATTACTTAAATAAACAATCATTTGAAGTTGCAAATATATTTTCCTTTAAAGTAGAAACTTCTTTAGTCAAAATATTAATATTCAGGAGCAGAACTAGAATTCCCTGAAATTGATTAAGTGTAATTTCAAGTAACCCTCCATGCAAAGATGCTAATGCCCGACTTACAATGGTATCCTTGAAACCTTTATCTGATCAACAACCAGAGCTGGGAACTTTTGAATTTTGGATATCGGGATTAATGCTTGATTTTCTCTTTTTCATAATCTCCAGAGCTGAAAACTTTAGAATGTGATATCCTTAATCCCGATCGGTTAATTAATCTGGAGATTTATAACAAGAGTTTAGAAAATCTAACCAATGAGATAGCTGAACTTATTTACTGGAGAAGTAGTTGAACTAACCGTCTCTTGTTAAACTACATTCTCGTTCAGATTCCATCTAGACCCTCAACTTACAAGTATACTACATTAAAATCAAACCACAGCTAGAGTAGATATATTGTTAGAGGTTCAGTGCACTGCAGAGTACAGTAGTAGGCAAGCTGAGAAAAACTGAATAATTTTAGAAACATTGGGATTGTTTGTTTACGTATTCATCAAAACAATTTTTTTTCCAGTGCCTCCTTTGTTTCCTTTTCTTAGATCATTTAGTATTGATGTGTACGCCGGCAAAATGCATATGATCTGAATATATGCCAAAATCGAAGTTTAAACAAACCCCTGCATACTCTGTTTTATGGGGGGTGGGGGTGATTTTATAGATTGCTCTATGAGTATACTTAATACTGGTGATAAGGGATTACAATTTTATCTTAGTGATATAGCAGTTGTCAGCTTCAGTAAATAACTTAGAATTACATAAATTTAGATAATCGACGTATGCATGTAATAAATTCAACAGTCGTGGGAAATTTTACCTATGTGAAAGTGCTAATTTGAGGAATCCTACGTTTAAAAAGTATCACTTGGGAAATTTTACGTGTGGGAAAAAGCATTTCGAGAAATTCTTTATTAGGGAAGTTGGTCTTTGAAATGAAATTTCTAAAATTTAATTTAGAAATCTCATTTCATTTAGGTCGACTTTGACATTTAAATTGTCTTGGAGTTTGTGGATCTTATACACATATCTTATGAACATAGTTTATGCACATAGCTTATTCACATATCTTATGAACATAGCTTATGCTCATATCTTATGCACATATCTTAAGAACATATCTTATGGACATATCTTATGCAGTATGTACATATCTTATGAACATAGTTTATGCACATAGCTTATTCACATATCTTATGAACATAGCTTATGCTCATATCTTATGCAACATATCTTAAGAACGTATCTTATGGACATATCTTATGCAGTATGTACATATCTTATGAACATAGCTTATGCTCATATCTTATGGACACATCTTATGCACATATCTTATGCACATATCTTAAGAACATATCTTATGCAGCACATTGCACATATCTTATTAACCTTCTTTCAATTCAAATAACTGTTGACGTAATTTCATTTGTTTTACTTGAAATTCATTCCATTTTGAATTGTGCTAATTTTCTAAAAAAAAAACTCGCGGATTTTTGCTTTAGACTTACAGACCATAAAGGAAATTCCATACATTTTAAATATCCGTAATTTTGTAATGTGTGAGATATCTGTAATTTTTCCTGAATATATTGATTATTTTACTGCTGGTATCTCTGTGAAGTGATATACGCATTTATGCTGCAGAAATAATAAGAGAAAACTGTCAGCATTAAACACTTTTTATTATTGAAGTTTTATTAAAGTTTACAGTCCATTTTATATTGAATTCTCTTCAGATGAAGTTAGATCTAGGCTCGGTATGGAGTTTGTTAGGACTAGGGTTTCTAGGTATCTGCTGGGCACTGGCTTCATACTTCAATAGTCTACTTCCTGAACCCAGAAATCAGGTAGGCCTGAGTTATGTTTTTTTTTGTACGCAAAAGTTATGATACAGAGATAATTATAATAAAATAAAACAATTTGATCTTTTTTGGTAACAAACATAGTGTAGATATGTATTATTTAAAATACCGGAAAAGAGGTGTCTTCGTAAATCTTTTTCTGTCTGAAAATGTTCACTGATCAAATATTCGTTTAAATAAATCAATCGCAAATTTTTATGATTTCTAAAGAATGACCATAGACGACAATCGTTACTTTACTACAGTGGTAGGCGTTTATAGCAATACAATGAAGACGAATTTTCTTTTAAAGTTTTGGTTTTTAACAAGCTTTGATCAAATTACACTATTACAAGTAAACAAAGAAATACTGTTAATGGACAGCTTCTCTTTGTTTCTATGTTTCACTGCTGTTTGAAAGCTTTTTAGAAATAAAAAATTTAACTAGAAAGTCCCCTTCATTCTATTGATAAATACGACGACGACTTTAATATTCTTAAAATACCTCTCATACTAAACGTGACTTTTTAAATCGTTTGAATTGAATGTGTTGTTATTGTCCAGGAAACCGGTTTTAACGCATTTGCAGCACAGAGCGTCCTACGTGATTTGACCGGCCTAGGTCCTCGGCCAGCTGGCAGCTACGCTAACCGTGTCCTAGCGGTTAACCTCATCAGATCACAGCTGGAGCTCATTAGGGATTCATCCAGGTAGGTGGAATATGAGGCAGATATTCTTATATCCTCCTTCATTAAAGGGACTGCAGGTAGGTGGAATAGGAGGCAGATATTCTTATATCCCCCTTCATTAAAGGGACTGCAGGTAGGTGGAATAGGAGGCAGATATTCTTATATCCTCCTTCATTAAAGGGACTGCAGGTAGGTGGAATAGGAGGCAGATAGTCTTATATCCCCCTTCATTAAAGGGACTGCAGGTAGGTGGAATATAATGCAGATATTCTTATATCCTCCTTCATTAAAGGGACTGCAGGTAGGTGGAATAGGAGGCAGATATTCTTATATCCTCCTTCATTAAAGGGACTGCAGGCGTAATTTCAAGTTACCCTTCAAGCTAAGATGGCAATGTCCGGTTTACAACGGTACCCCTAGTTTAAAACCTTAATCTGATCAAAAATAAGCAAGAAATCCGGAAAACCCAATGAAGATAAACAGATTACAAAAACAAAATGATGGATATCGACTTCATTTTTGATCAAAGACAAATATTTAAAGGATACCGTTGTAAATGATTGCAGGGCAGGTCCCTTGAAATTACGCTTACAGTCCCGTTAAAACTGTAAAACTGTGAATTTTATATTTTAGTTTTCATTTATTTATGAAATATCCTCTCCTGCTTCAAGGTCTAACCTGGACCTGGAGATTAGTGTACAAAATGCTTCTGGAAGCTTCCAGATTGATATATTTCAAAATGGGCTAGCTCATCATTATTCAGGTATAGTGTACACCGTACACTGTACAATATGCTGTTCAGTGTACAGTGTACAGTCACACTGTATGACGTAGGTAGAACCCTATTTTTATCTTTCTTTTTATTAAACAAAGAAAATAAAACAATTTTTTGAAAAAAACTTTTTATCTGAAGAAAAATCCACGTATTACCCAAATCATTAATCAAAAAACGATTTTTTGAAAAATACAATTTTTAGAATTTTTAAGCCTAAAAAAAATTAAGCCCATTCGGTCCAGCCGTTTGGCCGGCTGTAGGGAATATACCACGAGGGCATGGGCGTTAAAATTTGTGCTCTCGGCCGCTTTGGACTCCAGGCCGCTATCTGCACGGTGGTACGTGGTGCCCTGAAGGCAGTCTTGGGGTTCCACATTGGGTTCCCTTTCAGATTTAAACTTGATTTGATTTGATTTGATACATACGAATGTTTATATATATAGTTTATAAATAGTAAAAATTAATTCATTCACTTTGAACTAAATTCGAAAGTCGCTATAATACACTACAGATTTTAAACATTTAAATTAATTACTAGTTTGGGAACCCAGCTTTGTCCGGAAACTAAACTTTCTCTGTAAAACAGAACCCACTCAACTCAGAATCTTAAAACTGTGGTTCTACTGAGTTCCCCAATCTAAATTTAAGGCGAATCAGTCAACGGGTTCTTATGTTATGAACTGATACACATACAGCAGATCAACAAACGGAGATTACTCCATTATATTAATTCAATTTTATGATGCATTTTTTTGCTTTTAGACGTAATGAATGTTGTTGCTAAAATATCCTCCTCCCCCTCCACTGTGCCTGCGCCACCTGCTGTACTCGTCAATGCACACTTTGATAGTGTTCCACAGGGATCTTGATAACTATACCTCCTCCTCTACCCATCATTTTCTATCCTTATAACATTTTCCCCTCCCCCCCCCCCCATTATTTTTATCCTCATAGTATATCCCCCCTCCCCTTCCCCATTATTTTTTATCCTCATAACATATCCTCCACCCCAACCAAATACCCTTTTTTAATGCGTTTATTAATTTACTAAAGATTTTATGAATGAAAATTTATACTATTAATCTGATAATACAATATATTCACACACATTTTCCGTTTGTAGGATTAATACAGGGTAACTCACAAAGGATGGGACTGTAAAGACGACCTGAAACTCTTAAAATATGACAATAAGGTTGATTTAGGTCTTTTGCTTTGAATCTTTGAATCGCTTATTTATTGATTGGACAAAGAAAGAAACAAGTTTACAGATGTATTTGCTATAAATCATAAATACAAGGAATCAGACAGTATAAATTCCGCAGTCGTCTCTGAAGTCTCATCCTTCAAGATCATTTAATATTGACGTCATTAGTTTGTAAAGATGTTCCACCAATCCTGAACAAAAATAGTTGTAATAAGATGGTTACAAATCCAGGGCCCGGGAGCTTCAGATGATGCCGCAAAGTAAGTTGTAATATTTTTTATACAGGGTTACCCACAAAGAATGAGACCGTAAAGATGACCCAAAACTTTAAAAAATATGACGAATTGATTGAACTTATAAGCTTGATTTTTGGTTTCTGTATTTAATTGAGTATTTTGACGTTTATAGCTAAATGATGAAGCACAGAAATGCCCCAGTTTTGACCTACAGGGAACCCTGAATGAAAGAAAACGGACTAAACAAATTCCGTACAATCGTCTCTTGAAGTCTCATCCTTTGTGGGTAACCCTGTAAGATCATTACAAATTCAGGGCCCGGTAGATTTAGATGATACCGCAAAGGAAGTTAAAAATAAAGGATTTTATTAAGAACGTTTATTTATTGTATTTTTGCTTTAAAAAAGTGAAGAATTTAATATCCTTGTTTTTCTAGCTGAAATTAATTATTTTTAATTATTGTTTTTCTGTTAAAGTAAATTGTGTTTTTATGTATCATGAAATTGTCACATTTCGAAAATACATTTGTAAACAGAGAAGATTTAAAGGGTAGCGTTGATAGTCAGGTCATTCTTTAAATGGAGGGTAACTGAAATTACGTCATTTGCCCTTTTAATACTGAACAGTTTAAACTGTATCTTGTAAGGGGTACACCGTACAGAACATAAATTTATGTTTTTCATAATGTAAACCTTGATAATCTCTCTGTTTCTTTACAGCTGTGCTGTGATGCTTGAGCTGGTGAGGGTGCTGATGAACTCGGAGAACATCAATATCACTAACGACCTGATCTTCCTGTTCAACGGTGCAGAGGAGTCCATCCTCCCCGCCTCTCATGGGTTCATTACAACTCATCCTTGGGCACCAACAATCAAGGTTCATAAAGTTGTGGAGTTTTTCATTCACATGTGTATTTGATGTTTTTATAAAGAAAATTGTTTTGCCAGTAGCTTGAAACTCAATTTATTAGGTGAAAGAGTTTACAATCGTTTTCTTAGTCCACAGTATTATGGGTCCCACTGCATCTTAATATTGTGCTTAGGATTCATTCCGTCATAAAACAACTCATGAATATTTATTAAAGTTTCACTAATGATTTTATCTCAAGCAAAAAATCCGAAATTTTCTCTTTTTATTGAATATTTTTAGTCTGACACACGATTTCAGAGGTCAGAGAGGTTTTTACATAACTCTCATTAGTTGACATTTCAAATTTTTATTTCAGAAGTAACGTGTTTTTTTGGAGGTTTTGGTTTCGGATCTTGGGATCTAAAATGCTGCGGAATAATTGGATCCGGATCTGGATCATAATAAAAAAATTGTTTAGGCTTTTGTAAATCTTGAAGGAGCTGGAGCAGGAGGAAGAGCATTATTGTTTCAATCTGGACCAGCCAACCCATGGCTTGTTAATACTTATATATCTCAGGTCTTTGTCCATATATTAGATATTTTATAAATTAATCACGGTCCAGCCAACCCATGGCTTTTAATACTTATATATCTCAGGTCTTTGTCTATATATTAGATATTTTATAAATTAATCAAGGTCCAGCCAACTCATGGCTTATTAATACTTATATATCTCAGGTCTTTGTCTATATATTTGATATTTTATAGATTAATCACGGTCCAGCCAAATTTGTAATATAGTTGTATTATATCTTTTTAAATTAATCATGGACCAGCCAATCCCTGGCTTATTAAAGGGTGAACATAAAAAAGGTTCCCATTTATATTTTGAAATCTAGAGATCTCTTTACTGGCAATAAAATCTTGTTAATTCATATTTACCTAATATTTGTTATAATGAAACTAGTCCATGCAAAAAAATCGGATCTGGAAATAAGTTAGTAGTTGTTTTTGAACATCTGCGACCCGGCGTTGAAAATTGCAGCTGCCAGCTAGCTGGACAGTAGGAGCATAGACTCTTAACAACCTTCTAAACTCTAGAAAGGTTCTTATTTGTGTCCATCTACTTGTTCTTTTTAATGATGTTTCTCTTCAGGGTTGGCAGGGCAGGGATTATTCTTATCTTAATCTAGTTAGCTTTTTTTATGATACCAGCTATTTAATTGATTTTAAGGTTTCAGTCACAAATGAAAGGTACAGCTGATCCATACATTTGAAGATACTTAGCAGAGCTTAAAACCCTATTTTCGTTGTGATGAACATCTAAAATCAAAGGACTTTGGCTATGCTTCCTTTAAATATCTTTATCACTAAAATTGAACTCCTGGACATGAGAGGAAATCTTTCTTGATTTCTTAGGAATCTTCCTTGGATTGGGTCTGAAATATTTTAAATAAGCTTCCTTCCACTCCCTCCAAAATGCTTAGACAAATAGCGCCATGACTTCATACTTATTCTATTGGCAAATATAAACTTATTAAAGATTCTGAAGATTATTATTTAACAACTTGGCAATCAGTATTCGGCTGGGAAAATATTTTTAGATACTTTCAGCATGCTGGCAAATGGAAACTTTTGAACGAAGTCAACTCTTGGACTTTAAAACCATTTTTTAATACAGGATCTATGCAAACTTCTTCCTTATGTGTATGTCTATGATTTAGAAAATTTTCAGCTTAATATTCGTAAATTTCATAAATTAGAGAAGAACTGGTAGTTGGGAACCTTTTTTAATGTACACCCTTTAATACTTATATATCTAAGATCTTTTCATAATTTCATAATTAATTAATTAATAGACAGGTCGGTTGTGTAAATCTGAGCTAAGCTTCACCTCTTCGTTTTATTTATGAGTATTTATCATGATTATCACAAAAATATTATTACCTAGTTCACCTATTGCTTAAATAGTATTATTATTATGAATTAGTATGAATTTTAGTAAGTTTCAACAACTTTCAAATTGAAAAACCCAGAAAAGCTCAAAATACCAATAAAACCCTAAAAAATACCATTTAAACTCACTGGGCTGGGTTTTTTTTCTCAAAAAAAACCCGGGTTTTTTCCAACCTTGTCTTTTTCAATATTTGCTATTCCATTCCATGCACAGACCGATTTATAATGGTACCCTTGAAGCTTCTGACTGATCATTGAGGTCAAATGTTGTTCAAATTGCTGAAAAACTGGAGTATATGCTAGAGCACAGCGGGAACTTAACACAGCTGACTTTACCAATATTCCTTGGAAATCCATAATATTATATGTCCTACGAGGTTTTCAAATATATCAATATTTCTTAAATATTAAACATCAACAATCAGAAGCGTTCCAGTCAAAGGTTTATAGGGTACTGTTGTGAATCGGACTCACTACTCTTCAAATGGAAGGTCATTTGAAATTACGCCAACAGTCCCTTTAAAAGTGAACTTTTATTTCTAGGCTCCTCATCCGTTTGCATCTGTGATAGGAGAGGAGATATTCCAGAGTGGGCTCATCCCCTCGGATACAGACTTCAGGATATTCAGAGATTTTGGAGATATCCCTGGCCTAGATATAGCATATATCAAGGTACAGGCCTAGATCTAGCATATACAGGCCTAGATATCGCATATATCAAGGTACAGGCCTAGATATAGCATATATATCAAGGTACAGACCTAGATATAGCATATACAGGCCTAGATACAGCATATATCAAGGTACAAGCCTAGATCTAGCATATACAGGCCTAGATATAGCATATATCAAGGTACAGGCCTAGATCTAGCATATACAGGCCTAGATATAGCATATATCAAGGTACAGACCTAGATATAGCATATACAGGCCTAGATATATCATATATCAAGGTACAAGCCTAGATCTAGCATATACAGGCCTAGATATAGCATATATCAAGGTACAGGCCTAGATCTAGCATATATAGGCCTAGATATAGCATATATCAAGGTACAGGCCTAGATCTAGCATATACAGGCCTAGATCTAGCATATATCAAGGTTCAGGCCTAGATCTAGCATATATTAAGGTACAGGCCTAGATCTAGCATATATCAAGGTACAGGCCTTGATCTAGCATATATCAAGGTACAGGCCTAGATCTAGCATATATCAAGGTACATGCCTAGATCTAGCATACATCAAGGTATTCCCTGCATATATTAAGGTACAGACCTAGATCTAGCATATATCTAGGTACAGATCTAGATCTAGCATATATCAAGGTACAAGCCTAGATCTAGCATATATCAAGGTACAGGCCTAGATCTAGCATATATCTAGGTGTCCCCTGGATATATCAAGGTGCATGCCTAGATATAGCATATATCTAGGTACAGACCTAGATCTAGCATATATCAAGGTACAAGCCTAGATCTAGCATATATCAAGGTATTCCCTGCATATATCAAGGTACAGGCCTAGATCTTGCATATATCTAGGTACACAAATTTGTAGGGTTGTTTATGATTACAAATTTTTAAGTGCGCTTAGGCTGTAAAGCTGTGTTTTCCGGTAATTCTTCATAAAACCCTTTCAAGAAAATTTATAATTTCATGGCATTAGGAGGTTAGTTTCGAGGTTTATGGAAACTTTTAGAGTGCTAAGACCCACCAACACTAGAGGAGACCTCGCAATAATTCATGATTATCTAGTAAAGCAGCCAATATCCTGCTAACAGAAAGAAAAGTCTGATTAAACTCAAAGTAAACATAAAAAACGTCTATTGATATGTTTTTACAAATGTAATAGCATGTTGGCCTCATAAATAATAGGTTTAGACCTTTATTTTGTGTTTTTCTTCCTATTTAGAGTGATTTTTAAAAACCTGTAATCCTAGTTGCTGTATTTATTGTATACTTTATAGGACGGATATGTTTATCACACTGAACATGATGACGCTGAACGTGTTCCTGTTGAATCCATCCAGAGGGTTGGTGATAATATTCTAGCTGTAGTTCTCGCTCTAGCAGGTATAACCATTATACCATTGTGTTCCGTGCTCTAGCAGGTACCTTTATACCACTGTGTTTCCTGCTCTAGCAGGTACCTTTGTACCGCTGTGTTCCCTGTTCTAGCAGGTACCTTTATACCACAGTGTTTCCTGTTCTAGCAGGTACCTTTATACCACTGTGTTTCCTGCTCTAGCAGGTACCTTTATACCACTGTGTTTCCTGTTCTAGCAGGTACCTTTATACCACTGTGTTCCCTGCTCTAGCAGGTACCTTTATACCACTGTGTTCCTTGCTCTAGCAGGTACCTTTTTACCACTGTGTTCCTTGCTCTAGCAGATCCCGAACCTTTATACCACTGTGTTGCTTGCTCTAGCAGGTCCCGTACCTCTTTACCACTGTGTTGCTTGCTCTAGCAGGTCCCGTACCTTTATACCACTGTGTTCCTTGCTCTAGCAGGTTCCTTTATACCACTGTGTTCCTTGCTTTAGCAGGTACCTTTATACCACTGTGTTCCTTGCTCTAGCAGGTACCTTTATACCACTGTGTTCCTTGCTCTAGCAGGTTCCTTAATACCACTGTGTTCCTTGCTCTAGCCTGTTCCTTTATACCTCTGCTAGAATGTTGGGAAATCAAATAATTCAGGTAAATGGGTCTGTAATAGATAAACACTGCACAGTGCGCTTTTAAAATCATAAATTAGCTTTAACTGTCGTTTTTCTATTTAACAGTTTTATATGTGTCTCTTCTTGTATTTAACCCGCTCTGTTTGTTTAGGGTTGACCGACCTAGGGTCTGAAGAAACTGGTTCCAAAGTTGTTTTCTTTGATATGTTTGGTTTGTTTATGGTAGCTTATCCACAATGGGCTGGTTCTCTACTCAATATCAGGTAATTGAATTGGGGCTTTTAACGAAGCATAATTTGAAGTAATAATTAATTTGTCCTTTAAATGGATCGTGTTACCTCGTTCGATGTTTAAGTGATTTCATTTAATGGGATTTTTAAACATATTTTTAAGTTACCCTGTCCTTGTCATTAAATGGGAGTGTCAACGGAATTAGATGTTGTTTCGTCATATAAAGGAAAAAAAACGTAATTAAAGTTACCACTTGATTTAAACTGATTTATGTAATTTAAAGTTGATTTGTAAATAAATGGAATGTCACGTGATTTTAAGTTACTTTGAGATTTAAAGACAATCGTTTCTGATCCTGATAATCTAGCTGTATCCTAGTATCCTGTATCCTGATAATCTAGCTTTATCCTGGTATCCTGTATCCTGATAATCTAGTTGTATCCTGGTATCCTGTATCCTGATAATCTAGTTGTATCCTGGTATCCTGTATCCTGATAATCTAGTTGTATCCTGGTATCCTGTATCCTGAAAATCTAGTTGTATCCTGATAATCTAGTTGTATCCCGGTATCCTGTATCCTGATAATCTAGTTGTATCCTGGTATCCTGTATCCTGATAATCTAGTTGTATCCCGGTATCCTGTATCCTGATAATCTAGTTGTATCCTGGTATCCTGTATCCTGACAATCTAGTTGCCTGACAATCTAGTTGTATCCTGGTATCCTGTATCCTGACAATCTAGTTGTATCCTGATAATCTAGTTGTATCCCGGTATCCTGTATCCTTATAATCTAGTTGTATCCTGGTATCCTGTATCCTGATAATTTAGTTGTATCCTGGTATCCTGTATCCTGATAATCTAGTTGTATCCTGGTATCCTGTATCCTGATAATCTAGTTGTATTCTGGTATCCTGTATCCTGATAATCCGTGATATCTGCAGCTGCGCGAAGAAAACTGACCAGCCGGCCGCCAGCCTTAGAAAAATTCTTCTAATCTTAGCAACCAGGGACAAATCAATCAATCAAATTTTATGTTTTTGATTATTTTACAAAAACAATTCAATAAATAAAAAAAATGCCTCAAAAAGACCAATTTTGCATGGAAGAATATTCGCATCAAATATCCTCTGAAGAACAAATTAGAGAGTTTAAAAATATGGGATCATTATTAACTTGCAAATTAGAGAGTTTAAAAATATGGGATCATTATTAACTTGCAAATTAGAGAATTTAAAAATATGGGATCATTATTAACTTGCAAATTACTTTGGGCCGAATTATGTTTCGATTATTCAACAAATCAAATGATGATTTATTTATCTTTCGATTCCTTGATTTCTTTATCGATTGATTAATGGCTAAATCGATTATTTGATTGAATTGATTGATGACCTAGCAATATTATTCTTCTTCTCCTGGTTTTGGGGTTCTCAACTCTCATTGCTGCTCTTCTTGGATTTGCTGGTAAATATTAGAATTCTAAATTCAAAAGTTTTAAAATGAAGACGATATCTACAAAACCCACCAATCATTGGATTTCGGTAATTTACAGTGAAAACTAGAAAACAATGGAATATTAGCCATACTTGAGCAACTAGTTTTTGTAGACACTTACTAAATCACTAATTTAGTGAATTAGGTCTGTTTACAACTCTATATTGCACAATTTCTGTGTCTCATGCTCATTGAACATTTTAAAGTTATAACTTGATTCTGAAAGCCGTCTTCCTATTTTAGAGTTTTCTGTTTATCACTTTATAAAATCATTTCAACTATATTTACTATATAGCGAGGCTAAAAAAACTAAATAAATAAAATAGATTAATGAATATAAAACCAGGAATGGTAGCTGTGTACAATGTACATAGACCTATTACACTATATGCCTTATATCAATTTACATAAAATATTGCTGAAATGTCGTTTTCCTATTCTACAATTTAATGTTTATTCCTGTATCCTTGTAGGTAAAAGTATGAGTTGGTATGGTAAACCCTGGATCCTGGTTCCTCTCTACTCCGTTCCAACCCTGCTCCTCTCCATCCTAGTCGTATACATGGTGCAGTACATTGTATCCAGATTCATGCAGTACATAGAGGATACAAAGGTACACTCAAGGATCATAGAGGTTTTTATATCGTGTATTTATATGCGGATCCACGGATCCGGATCCAAGGGGCAATAGATTCTTCTTCTGTTGAAAAAATCAGTAAATCTCAAAGAAATGTTCATGACTTGGATCCAGATCCGGATCCATTTTTTCCAGTGCGGATCCAGGATCCGGATCCGCATCATAATTAATCAGCACTGATTTCAAGTCTAAATTCTAGTTAAAAGACTAAAGTCGACTTTTAAATCGTAAAGAGTTCATCCTTACTTTGTAACTCTGTATTAAATTTGAAGGTTGAATTTTGTCCTCTGCTTGGTATAGTTTTAATGGTGATTTTCAATGAAATAAAAAAATCATAGGTTTAAAAACCGACGTTGGAAATAAATTATTTGCTGTACATATTGCACTGTCATTGTTTACAATTCCTTGTTTAGAATGACACCATGTTGAGGATGATAATGTTACATGCAGTACAGATATTCTATATACTTCCCTCTCTAGGAAAATCTAAATATATTTCTTGCACTGTACTGTATTTGATGATATTGATGTTATTTTACAATTTTATCATTTACTGGGTATTAATAACAATAACAATGACACTTATAGAACCCTAACCACAGAAAAAAGGTAATTACATAATAGATATATATGTACAGTTTTAACATGTACCGGAAACAGATATCTAGATGTTTATGTACAGTTTTAACACGTACCGGATGCAGATATTCAGATATTTATGTACAGTTTTAACATGTACCGGATGCAGATATTCAGATATTTATGTACAGTTTTAACATGTGCCGGATATAGATCCGGGTTTATATTCTCCATGTCCCTGCTTGGGAACGTGATCTATCTTCTCTACCTTCAAGGAACGCGTTCCAATCGTTTTTTCCGGACCAAGCTGTCTCCAGCATACAAGGAAGAATAATCTTTATTCATCAAGATAAATTTAAGTTTAAAGTTTAAAGGAACTGAGTTTTTGCCACAAACTATATTTATATTTTCCTATCCCTTTATCTTTGCAAGCCTATGTTGTAGACCTTAGAGAGTTAAAACATGAATTCTGTTAGATCAAATAATCTAAGTTTGAAATACACTATCAGGTTGTGAATATAAAGGGATTATAACATTAGAGATTGTGGCAAAGATAATATAATGATCATTTTTTAGCTATAAATAAAGATATCTTGTTCAGACAAAAGATAATTAAGTACCGTTGTGAATAGGACATATCTCTATAAATTAGGAGTTAATTGAAATTACGTCTACAGTCCCTTTAAATGCAAGAACCAAACCAAATCAGTTTATATGAAATGTTTCCCAAAGGAAAAGGATATTTATGAAGGAATGGATTGGGTTCAGTATTTATATCCTAACACAGGTATATCTTCTATACATATATAAAGTTTTGATTTCTGTTTGTTTGTTTGTTTGTTTGTTTGTACGATCATAACTCGTGACACCCTGGACCGATTTGGCTCAAAGCTTGATTGGGGAACTCGGGAATGGTTTTAGTTTGGTTTTGAGATTTTAAGTTGAGTGTGTCGACTTTTAAGTGAAAATCTAATTTCCCTGTAAAAATTGTCCAAGTGCGGGCAATCGGAGGGACAAATTTTGACCCCGGGCAACGCTGGGTTCCCAAGCCAGTACAATATAAGCCAGTTCAGAGATTATTTTTGATAGCTTTCATCTCTCACTAGTGTCAAAATTTGTATATAAAAGTTAAATGACTTGTAAGTTTTCCAAAATGGGATGTACCAGAGGCATACACAGCGTTCAGTAAAATATTTGGTATCAGCTGGTTTTCAGGCCCCAACTTAGATATGTCTTCTGACGTTCCTGTTTTGTTAATATCAACCTGTTTTTAAGGATGAAGCTAGACTCTGAAGTTGCATTAAACTTGGGAGAAATTAAATTTGTTAATTGTTACTTCATATTGAGATTTTTAAAAATTATGATCATAAAAAAATAGTTTTAAAACTTGTATTTAAGTTTGTTCCTCTGACGATGTGGTGTTACATGGTTCAGCTTGTCTTTACCATTTTCATCCCTATCATGGGAAGACGTGGAGCCAGTTCGAACCCTGATATTTTTATAGGTAGGAGTAGGTTCAAACTTTAATAATCTGATAGGTAGGAGTAGGTTAGAACCCTGATATTCTTATAGGTAGGAGTAGGTTCAACCCTTGATATTCATATAGGTAGGAATAGGCTCAAACCTTGATAATCTGATAGGTAGGAATAGGTTGAACCCCTGTTAGGAGGAGTAGATTCAAATCTTGATATTCTTATATGTAGGAGTAGGTTCAAACCTTGATAATCTGATAGGTAGGAGTAGGTTAAAACCCTGATATATTCTTATAGATATATGTAGGTTCAACCCTTAATATTCTAATAGGTAGAAATAAGTTCAAACCTTAATATTCTTATAGGTATAGAAGTAGGTTCAAACCTTAATATTCTTATAGGTATTGAGGTAGGTTCAAACCTTAATATTCTTATAGGTATAGAGGTAGGTTCAAACCTTAATATTCTTATAGGTATAGAAGTAGGTTCAAACCTTAATATTCTTATAGGTATAGAGGTATGTTTAAACCTTAATATTCTTATAGGTATAGAAGTAGGTTTAAACCTTAATATTCTTATAGGTATAGAGGTAGGTTCAAACCTTAATATTCTTATAGGTATGGAAGTATGTTCAAACCTTAATATTCTTATAGGTATAGAAGTAGGTTCAAACCTTGATAACCTGATAGGCAGGTTCCTATAATAAAAGTGGATTGAAATACGATCAAATCGGTTCCTTTATTTGATCCTGATCTAGGTTTAGCTGTATCCGGGTCTACCTATCTCCTGGTTCAGTTTCTCCTACCCCTCCTAGTATTGATGAAACGAACCTATCTCAAGATATTTCTTGGTTTATCTTCTCTACCCTTCATCATTATACTCCTCGTTATCTTAATACAGGTATATAATTATTTCATACACAACCAAGTCTGAATATAACTAAAGTTTTATCCACAATCTGATTGGAAACAAAAGCAGTATTTAAATAAACGGTAATTGCCCAGGGTCGTTAATCCTGCTATACCAGACTTAAACAAAATATTTATTATTCTTTAATTAAGGGATAAAAAATTTATTCTCAGTTTGAAATTAAGTGTCCACAGTGGAATTCAAGTGTTCAAGATTATTGATACTCCATACAAAAGTTCAAACTCTGTTTAAATATGTCACATTAAATTGTAAAGATAACCTCTTTCTATAGTTCTACATATGCTAGAAAAAAATGATTTTTTGCAATAAATGTATCTACAATTTAGTTTTAGTTGGATTTTTAAATTATATCTTAGCATTTCTCAGACATTTTTTTTAGGCTGTAAATCAAAGGTACAAATCTCCAGAGGTATTTCTTTTTTAAAAGGCAAAAAAATTGTGGTGAATCCAAACATCAACAGCCATTTTTTAAGTGAATTGTGAAGTATTCCTTTAATATTTGCAGGGAGGGTTTCCCTACTCCGGAGATACCTCTAGTCCTGCACAGAAGCGGATGCTTGTTTATCACACCAGGTATACCCAGAAAATAGAGATATATAGAGTTTACACACCAGGTATACCCAGAAAATAGAGATATATAGAGTTTACACACCAGGTATACCCAGAAAATAGAGATATAGAGTTTACACACCAGGTATACCCAGAATATAGAGATATATAGAGTTTACACACCAGGTATACCCAGAAAATAGAGATATATAGAGTTTACACACCGCAGGTATACCCAGAAAATAGAGATATATAGAGTTTACACACCAGGTATACCCAGAAAATAGAGATATAGAGTTTACACACCAGGTATACCCAGAATATAGAGATATATAGAGTTTACACACCAGGTATACCCAGAAAATAGAGATATATAGAGTTTACACACCACCCCTTCCCCTATTTCCTGCTTGGGTAAACTGGACCCTCTTTCCCTTGCTTGTGATTGTACTGCTACGTGTGTATTTTAAATAATAATAAATTAAATTAAAATAGTAATTTTAAATAAATTCGGCCACTGATCTCACAAGAAGTTTCGTACTCAGTCCTACACACCTCCTCTCCAACAATTTTGTCATTGCAAATCTTCTTCAACGGTTCATCACAGATCTCAACCTTTTCATCAAAGGCCATTGGCTGATAGGTGATCTTACAATTCTTCATAAAGCTTGTGGAACATTTCTCATTAATAATCAGTGATGAATGTTTTGTGGCATTTCTCTGCAAATGAGTGTGTACATTTCTGAATAGTATCATAAACAGTTTCCTCTACTTGCATCACCTTTTTGATACATTCCACATCATTATTTCCTGTATACCAATAATTTTGTCAAGAAATATTATTTCACATGGTTAGCTTGGTATTTTCTTATCATTTTCAAATTATTTCGATAAAATCTACACAAATGCATCAACCCCAAAAAGGAAACCAGTGGCCGAATTTAAAGAATTTGAGCGGCGGTTTAAATTTAAGCCGCGGTTTAAATATGGTTGGTTCCACTTAAAATTGTATCAAATGTTTCAAGATTTAGGCCGGCGCTTTATTTAAACCGGGTTTTGGCGGATTTAAACCGCGGCTCAAATTCTTTAAATTCCATCTCTGGGAATTTTGTTGGCGTGTTTTTTTAATTAGGTATTTCCTGGTCTATAGTTGTATTTAAAATAAAAGTTTTTATTTGGGTTATAAACATAAAGTTAGGTTATGCTCTTATGCTAGTTGTGTCAAATTAGATTTTTACTGTTTTGATTTAGAGTAAGGGGGAAACGGGGGAAACTATTTCATCGAAAATGTTATATCCTATTTGCAACGTTTTTAGCTAAATTGTAAATGTATGTGCTTAGTTTTGCAATTAACTTTAGGCAGTCCCTGTTTGAAATATTTTTGGTTTCCGATAAAGAAAAATTGTGAAGACCTTTTGCATACATTGTACAATGTACTGTACACTGTACAGTACATTGTACACATACTACATTGTGCATACATTGTACAATGTACTCTACAGTGCAGAGTGCACATACTACATTGTACATACATTGTACAATGTACTGTACACTGTACAGTACTACATTTTTCATACATTGTACAATATACTCCACAGTCTACTTACTACATTGTACTATTTACATTTTTCATGTATTTTAGGAGATATATGAACGGGAGTACAGATGGAGGTTTTCTATTCGCCAGGTAAATAGAAAATTATAAAAAATAGATTTACTTTAGATCATCTATTTAAAGATTGCCAATTTTATTAATCTAAAATCTGTGGCGCAAGAAGAGAGAGATCTTCCAGTTCTTTAATTTTGATTTTCAAGAGAATCAAATCTGATCAGACTTAATTTTTTCCCTAAATTATGGTTTTAAACTATATTGTATTTTTTCTAAAGCCGAATTCAATTAAAAATATTTAAATAAGCTTAGATAGTCGAACTATTCTAGTTAAACCTGAGACTTTCTCCGCTGAGAGTGCATTAGAAAAGTAGATAAACCAACCATATTATCTGTATTTATCAAATCCAACCCTCGATTTAAAAAATGAGTACACAAGTTTTTAGTTTCAGTTTTTTTAACAATCCTTTTATTCTAGATCTGATTACCCTGAGACCTTGGAGCTCAGTTCAGCAGTTCCAGGAAATCTACATAAAAATGATTTTAAATATTTGATTTTACGCTTAAAACAAAAATTTGAGGTGCTGACCATGGGGTCTATTGCCGCATAATCTCTAAACGGAATATTTACTTTAGCTGAAAGGATATTAAAGAGAAATAATTTCAAATTTTTATAGTGGCATGTCCTATTCACAACGTTACACTTTAACCCCATATCTGATCAAGGATCCTTTTTATTCTATAAGCTAAAAACTAAGTATTTTATCCGCAGAAACACATGTAAGCCGCTTGAGATATTTTTGATTGAATCCTAGAATACCGAGATAGTGTTGAGATCTCCGGGGATATGTGTGACCGGATTCTAGGCTGCGGTATACCAGTTTACAAGGAACAGTACAGTACATAACAAACAAATCTTACAATAAGGACTAATAGAACTAAAAAGAGAGTTAAATAGGGTCTGTTTAGTTTTATATTTAGCTGGAACGTACTAAAGTGAGATGCATAGAACTGTGCAAAAGGAAGACGAATTTTAAAACTTTTTGATTTATTTAATGTTAGAGCAAAAAATCATTACTAGTTACTTGAAAAATCAACTTAAATCAATGGGTCTGTTCACACTGCACAATTAATAAGTTTCATTATCATGTTCATTGCAGTTTTTAAGAACAAAACTTGAGTCTAACATTCGTCTTCCTATAACACAATTTTATAGTTCTTTCTTTGTAGAACAACTCAGAAGCTAGTTTGTTTACTGTACTCTTGTCATAGAGAAGTTTAGTTTGTTTACTGTACTCTTGTCATAGAGATGTTTAAATCTTTTACTGTACTCTTGTTATAAAGAAGTTTAGTTTGTTTACTGTACTCTTGTTATAGAGAAGTTTAGTTTGTTTACTGTAACCTTGACATAGAGAAGTTTAGATCGTTTACTGTAATCTTGTTATAGAGAAGTTTAGTTTGTTTACTGTAATCTTGTTATAGAGAAGTTTAGATTGTTTACTGTAATCTTGACACAGAGAAGTTTAAATCGTTTACTGTACTCTTGACATAGATATGTTTAGATCGTTTACTGTAATCTTGTTATAGAGAAGTTTAGATTGTTACTGTACTCATGTCTCGGAGAAGTTTAGATTGTTACTGTTATCTTGTCATGAGAAGTTTAGATCGTTTACTGTATTCTTGTCATAGAGAAGTTTAGATAGTTTACTGTGCTCTTGTCATAGAGAAGTTTAGATTGTTTACTGTATTGTTGTCATTGAGAAGTTTAGATCGTTTACTGTAATCTTAACATAGAGAAGTTTAGTTTCTTCACTGTAATCTTGAAATAGAGATGTTTAGATCGTTTACTGTACTCTTGTCTTGGAGAAGTTTATTTTGTTTACTGTAATCTTGTCATGAGAAGTTTAGATCGTTTACTGTAATCTTGTCATAGAGAAGTTTAGATTGTTACTGTACTCTTGTCATAGAGAAGTTTAGATTGTTTGCTGTAATCTTATCATAGAGAAGTTTAGATTGTTACTGTACTCTTGTCTTAGAGAAGTTTAGATTGTTTACTGTAATTTTATGATAGGGAAGTTTAGATTGTTTACTGTAATTTTATCATAGAGAAGTTTAGTTTCTTCACTGTACTCTTGTCGCAGAGAAGTTTAGAGAACCTCAAGGGAGCAAGATGGTTAGATTCTACTCCTCCAAACATAACTATTAACCCAGGTTTAAATTCATAAAAAGTCGGAGGAAGGGAGACAGGGTCGCATCGAACCCCGCGTGTCTGTATCCGAACTGCAGGATTTGGTATCCGAATCCAGTGAATCAATCAACATTCGGGGTTAATGTTGGCTCAGCAACCTCCCCCCAACCCCTCCCCCATATTTACAAATAACAATCATTTACAATTTTATTATGCGAATTAGTTAAATCCTATGTTTATTGGAACACCCTGTATCAAAGTTCTGTTAAGTTAATGTGGAACTGATCTCCAACATCTTGCAGGGGAACTCCACAAGGAATATAACCCTTAGTGTCTCAGGACCAAGTTGGAGCCTGGTAGTTTTTGCGCCAAAACAAGGTATTCAGGGGGCGGACCCCCTCCCCCCTCCAAATCCACGTTCCTGGAATCATTTTCATTTTATTCTTAATCCAGGTTTAAAGATGACCGGTTGGAGTATCAGTGAGGGAATACTACCTGGAGCACAGTGGGACAATCGGGATACGTTCTTCCTGAATTTTATCCAGGTACAAACCACTGTAGGCTTAGGATACTTTATTAGATTTATTAGTTTAAAACCACTGTATGGTCAGGATACTTTATTAGATTTATCCAGGTTTAAACCACTGTATGGTCAGGATACTTTATTAGATTTATCCAGGTTTAAACCACTGTATGGTCAGGATACTTTATTAGATTTATCCAGGTTTAAACCACTGTATGGTCAGGATACTTTATTAGATTTATCCAGTTTAAAACCACTGTATGGTCAGGATACTTTACTAGATTTATCCAGGCTTAAACCACTGTATGGTCAGGATACTTTATTAGATTTATTAGTTTAAAACCACTCTATGGTCAGGATACTTTCTTAGATTAATCCAGTTTAAAACCACTGTATGGTCAGGATACTTTCTTAAATTTATCCAGTTTAAAACCGCTGTATGGTCAGGATACTTTATTAGATTTATCCAGGTTTAAACCACTGTATGGTGAGGATACTTTTTTAGATATATCCAGTTTAAAACCACTGTATGGTCAGGATACTTTATTAGATCTATCCAGTTTAAAACCACTGTATGGTCAGAATACTTTATTAGATTTATCCAGTTTTAAACCACTGTATGGTCAGGATACTTTATTAGATTTATCCAGNATTATCATTATTTTTATTATTATTATTATTATGCAGGATATGCAGAGTGAAGAGTTATTAACCCTGGAATCTGAATTCCCATCTTGGATTTCTCTCTCAGCCTGGGTAGTGGACCTAGCAGTCTATTCTTTATAAAAGTTTAAGTTTTTTCACGAAAATAGCTCAAAAACCATGAGTTGAATACATGACCAATTAAAAAAAATATCGTCATAACGTTTTGCCTGGCATATGCAATATCTATAATATTTAATTTCTGTCTTTCTGTTTGTTTTTTGTTTGTGTGTCTAATCATAACTCTTGAACCCCTTGACCGATTTGCTTCAAATATTTATTGGGAAACATGGTAGGACCACGGAAATGTGCTTAGTTTGGTTTTGAGATTTTAAAGGGATCATAATTTAAGATCAAGCGGTCAAACTGCGGGAGTAACTATAGAGTACCCTGGGCGACGCTGGATTCTCAAGTTAGTTTCTAAAGAAAAGATTTCTACTGGGAAATTATTGGTTCACAGAACTTCGAAGACTTCGATAGAATGTAAAGAATGGATCTTCTTTTTTTAATGGGTTTTATACCTAAATTTCAGTAATTATAAAGATTTGGTGAATAGTCATAAAATATAAAATAACAGTTTTAAAGGGCTCCATAAGATTATTCAATTGAAAAACTAAATATTTGCAGCATTCTATTTTCATAAGGTAAAGGAAACGAAATTGTAAAAATTCTTTCAATGTCTCCAAAGTACTGGGTTAAACTGTAGCAAAGACGACTTTTCCTCATTTTAATGTCATTTAAACGAATTTTCTCAAATTTGTAATAGCATAATAAAAAATTTAGTAAAGATAATGTAATACAAAGTTATTTTGAAATACAGGGTGTCCCTACAAAAATATTATTTATAAGATATGACGTGTTATGTTTTCGTGAACACGTGTTCAGGGACAACGTAACCTTAAAAGTTTATTTTTATATCATACACAGTGATGCCCATTTAACTGTGGAATAGGAAGACGACATTTAATTATTATTTTATGTATTTTATGTAAAATATAAAAGTTTTACCAGAAGTCTCACAATTAACTTATTCCGTCAATTGGGTTTGTTTACAATGCAAACTAAAATCTAAAAGTCGTCTTCCTATTCCACAGTTTTATAGGTTTTACAGTATATATATATATATATCAATGATGGCACTGATGTGCCCTCTGTTATGTATCAATAAAAACTCAAATCTAAGTCTACAAGGGTAGTGTTTAAAAACTGACGATAAAATTAAGAATAAAGAATTAATTGGTAAAGATTGAGCTGAACCCGGAGTTTGGATGAGACTTGAAACTCAAACCTTCAAAGTATGATTTGATTTGATTTGATTTGATGTAGTGTGTTTGAGATTTATTTAACCCCAAACTTGTTAAGATTAACTTTGGTTGAACTGCTTAAAATGTTTTTAAGTTATAAACAGTCGCCATTAATATTTCCAAATACGGTTGGTTTATATTATATTTATACTATTATTATTCCTCTGCTGGATTACGTAGGATTATTTAGACATTAAAATATCCATTTTTGGCAGGTTAGTAGTGTAGAGGTAGGTACATAAGTCAGGGGGAGAGAGACGGGATGAATGAGTAAAAAAACCATGAGGAGGAAAACTCCCCCCCCCAGTAATGAAAAGGGGGGGGTGGATAAATGTTGAGATGGTGGGAGGGGGTTAATGAACATANAACTTATTTAGTTCTGTGCTAAATCAGTTAATATAAGCTATTTGAAAAATATATTCAAGGCAGAACACTTCGTGTAACCTTGGAATCGTCATAACTTAAGAACTTCAAGTCGTCTTTAACGTCTCATCCATTGTGGGTAACCCTGTCTATAACATGCTGGTCTGCATATTCAATTTAATCATCCTTTTCAGCAGTTTTGTGGAATTTACTGTATTCTTGATTGTTAGTTTCTGAAAACTAAACACTAAAAACTCATTTGAAATACTGGATTTGAAGTACCGGGTTTGAAGTAACGGATTTGAAGTACTGGGTTTGAAGTACCGGATCTGAAGTACCGGATTTGAAGTACCGGATTTGAAGTACCGAATTTGAAGTACCGAATTTGAAGTACCGGATTTGAAGTACCGGATCTTAAGTACCGGATTTGAAGTACCGGATCATCACTTTCTATTTTGGATTTATGTTACAATGTTTCCCTTTTTGTGTCATCAATATAAAATATTCAAGGTCCATTATGCTTATGAAAATAAAATCAATAAAATTATACAATGAAAAATATTTACTAACAAGAGAAAATAGAGTTAACACCAATTTAAGTATCAGATTCCTGACTTTTTTAAGAATTATTAAATTTATATATTACTATTTTTACTGATTCCTTTTGGAATACTAAAAGAATTTGGTCAAAACTCTTGACCTACAAGACAGAAGTTTTCATTTTCATTGTAAATTGAATTGTGATCGAAAGCGTAACTTGTTAAATCAGCTTTCCCAGGAGTACCCGGGGGCAAGAGGACTACTGACTGAACCCTAATTATAATACTGTATGTCAAGTAATTTATATTGTTTTAAATGAATGAGAATGTCAAAATAGAAACTTTTTCTTTTAACGAGAAATTGAGTTCACTGTGTACTTAGTGTTCTTAGGTTCATTTGAAGTACCGACTCGACTTGAAGGCAGCTAGCGCAAATTTTACAATACACATACAGCTTGTAGACGGTAAAACCGGACAGTACAGCCATTGCATCATCACCTTTCGGGAAAATTAATGTGCGTGTAAAATTACTTTTGCAGAAATCGGTTACCGATGATTTTAAAGCTTTGAGTAGGTGGGTTCATTCTTAGATTGGTCAGTCAGTTATACATACCTATTCTTTCCGTCAGTTATACATATCTATTCTTTCCGTTAGTTATACATACCTATTCTTTCCGTCAGTTATACATACCTATTCTTTCCGTCAGTTATACATATCTATTCTTTCCGTCAGTTATACATACCTATTCTTTCCGTCAGTTATACATATCTAGTCTTTCCTTCAGTTATACACACCTATTCTTTCCGTCAGTTATACATACCTATTCTTTCCGTCAGTTATACATATTCTCTTGTCTGTGTAATCCCACCCAAAACAAAGACTACCTCTCTTGTCTGTGTATTCCCATATTAACAGAGATTACTACTTTATAGATATATATATTATATATATATAGATAAAATAAAATCGCATTATAGTGTTATACAATCACAATGAAGAATTGATTTAAAAGAAAACGCCCTGAATTTGTCCACATCTTGTATGAATATTAAACAGTTGTCCTGCCTCTTCAACAAGGTTAACAATGTTTATCTAATAAACATCTATCCATCTATCCCCCCCCGATTAAAAAAAAAGTATGTGACTTCAGATACAATTGTACACGTTTTTTCTCAATCAATCAAGCTTTTAGCAATATGAGTAATTTTTATAACGCAAAGATTTTTTGCTCAATATATTTTATTTATTTTATATGAAAAAAATTCTGGTTCTTCTAGTTTTAAGCTTTTTCCGTATTATGAGTTATTTATTAAAATATATAAATTAAAAATATAAATGATTTCAGATAACTAAAGTATTCTGATCTATGTAAGGAAGGATAAAAGCAAGATGCCGCTTTATCAAACCAGAACCATAGCATCCATTCTGGAACCAGTAGCTCAACAGGTTCTGTATCCGTATCCTGTATTCTGCATTCTGTATCTTGTATTTTGTATCCTGTACGCATCAAATCTTAAGACTGTCTCGACTGTGAAGGGTATCCTGTGTATCCTGTGTATCCTGTGTATCCCTTGTACCCTGTGTATCCTGTGTATCCTGTGTACCCTCTGTACACTGTGTATCCTGTGTACCCTGCACAATTATTGTGTTTTATATTGATTGGACTACTAAAAACCCGACCTTGCGTCTAAAAGTCGTCTTCCTATTCCTTAGTTTTATGTGTCCTACTGTAGGTGAGCAAGCTGATAATCCTGCATGAGGAGGGGGAGGATGGTAACTCTATGCCTAACCTGGAGATACCGGTCCAAGCAGTTAGTAAGGCAGTCTCAAATCTTGTTAGGTAAGTGCTTGCTCTAAAGATCGGACTTATTGTCTTGATATTGTTAATCTTGAATGCTTGAACTTGATATCTTATGTGGGTACTTTTAAACTTGAGGATCAATACTTAAAGGGAGTGTTCGCGAAAACTGAAAGGGGTATAGGGTTACGGCGAAAAATAAGCGCTTTTGATCGCCACTAATCTTACTTCTATATGTTGCGTCTATAAAGAGAAAATTGTTAAAAACGACTCATGCCGAAGAACGTAGCGTCCATACAAATTCAGAAAGTTGCAATATTCGACTCAGATCGTAAAAAAGTCAATTTAATTCCAAACAGATCATTCAGATATTACAACCAATAATCATCGATAATTTTTCGACGCATTCGTATAGTTGATATTTTATAATATTTTTAATTTTTTATGATCTGATAGTTACTTTTGAAAACATTTATTCCTGTTGAGGATTTTTTTTACAATGAAGACGACATTTTTATATTTTCCAGGAATGTTCGAAAATCCAGCACAATTGATATATTATTTTTTAAAAAATCAAAAATATTTTGAAATACTAACACTAACTAAATACAAAAGCGTCGAAAAATAATCGATGACTACTGTTTGTAACATCTGAATGATTTTTTTTTGGAATTTAATTAATTTTTAACGCTTCGAGTTGAATGTTGCAACTTTCTGAATTTGTATGGACGTTACGTTCTTCAGCATGAGTCGTTTTTAACAATTTTCTCCTTATATAGACGCAACAGATAGAAGTAAGATTAGTAGTGATCAAAAGCGCTTATTTTTCGCCGTAACTGTATACCACCTTTTATTTTAGGCGAACACTCCCTTTAAACTCTCAATAATGACTTTCACGGGATATAGAAGAGGAATTAAATTAATCTGTTGATCTGTATAAGATGGAGATCAATGCTTAATCCTGAGATTCACAACATAAAAGTTCTAACGTCTGATTAGGTTTTTTTTTTGGGGGGGGGGGCATAAAAGCAGGGTTCAAAGATAGAACTGCCCCCCCCCCCCCCCCTGAAAATAACTAAGTTACGACCTAAAAGTGTTGAATGTTGAAAATATCTTCTTGACTGTTCAAATTTTAATCTACTTCGACTTCAGGTTTCTGATTTAATCTTAAACAAGATTATAAACAATTAAGTATTTAATGTTTTGAAAAACGTGCTAAAAGAGATTTTTTTTTCATTTATTTTCTCGGTTATTTGAAGGTATCAATTTTCTAAATATCTCCCCAGAGGCTTGAAATTAAATGTTCTAAATATAAAATGATGCCAGCTCGTATTTCATTTTTAATTCAATACAATTGAACACTACTAGACAGAATTAAAAGGAAGAAAGATATATTTACCATTTTAAGCACAATTTGCTTTTATCATTTCATAAATAAAAATCAAGAATACTTCATTTTGATATAAATAAAAAAGTAAGAAAATAATTTTGTATAACAAGAACACATGTTTATTTGTTCTAAAACAATAAAATCCCTCGCAAATATTTTTTTAACATAAAGGAAAAGCTTTAAATTGAGATAATGACGGGGTTATATATTACATAATGTTAAAATATAAGAAATATATATTTCTCAGGGTTGGTAAAGAAACAATTAGCTCTTCTCAAGATATGAAGGTATGTTTAATAAATAAATGGTTACCCATAAAGAATAAGATTGTAAAGACGACCTGAAACTCTAAAAATATGACGACGTGTAGAAATATTAAAACAAGCCTTGAAGATATTCTTTTAATGACTTCAAATAATTTGACAAAGAAATTAATAAATTTAAAGTCGCAAGGAATCATGAATACAACAAAACAAGAACAAGGAAATTCCGTTCAGTCCTCTCTTTGTCTCATTCTTTGTGGTTAACTCTGTATAGTACATTATACAGTGGTAATCAGAAAATCCGTGTAATCTCACCTGAACCAAAGACTACCTCTCTTGTCTGTGTAATCTCACCTAAACCAAAGACTACATCTCTTGTCTGTGTAATCCCACCCAAAACAAAGACTACCTCTCTTGTCTGTGTAATCCCACCTAAAACAAAGACTACCTCTCTTGTCTGTGTAATCCCACCCAAAACAAAGACTACATCTCTTGTCTGTGTAATCCGACCCAAACCAAAGACTACCTCTCTTGTCTGTGTAATCTCACCCAAACCAAAGACTACCTCTCTTGTCTGTGAAATCCGACCCAAACCAAAGACTACCTCTCTCGTCTGTGTAATCCCACCCAAACCAAAGACACCTCTCTTGTCTGTGTAATCCCACCCAAACCAAAGACACCTCTCTTGTCCTAAGTGAGCAATCAGGCCAAAAATAAAACTATAACCTCTCTCCTAACTGTGTCCTATCTGTATAATCTATGGTATCTAGATGAAAAGTGAGATGCCCAAGTCCCTGAGCACTATAGAGAAGGCAGCTAATTGTTTAGAGGAAGCCAGTAATGATCTCAACTCAGACCCATATTCTCAAGTAAACTTTTAGTTTTGAAAATAAAAAAACATAACTTTTTCTAATGATTGCAAAATTTGCCTCCTTTAAAAGTCTTTTGTAATCTTTTAGACTTTTTCTAAAAACAGATTTAATCATAATTCATAACAATTCAGCATAATAATTTTACTGCTATTTTCATTAATGTGTTTACATTGCGTTTCTAAAACTCAATTTCAAAGTTAATTTAACGTAAATTAAAATTAGTTTGTCCGATTGATTTGAGCTTAAAAGAACTATAAACATAATATCAAGTGATTCTCTATTTAAAAAAAGAGTGACATGTCTTGATTCACAACGGCGCCCTTTAAACATTTATCACATCTTCAATAACGGATATATCCGTACACCGTATTTACATTGTCCCAAACCTGGAATGCCTCCCAAGGACTCCTGATTTAAAAAGGCAGTTTAGCTTGATTTCTCCCTCTAACAAGAAGTTGAGTCAAAACCTCTTTGTTATAATTCTCTTATGACGCGTTTTACTCTGCTTTGAAACATTTATCCTTCCTATATAAAGAAGGAAACGTGTGTTCCTAAGGTACCAGGGCCGTTTTGCGACAACTTCCTATCTAAGGAACTCTGGGTGGAAATTACCTCGCTGCCTTAGCACTAGACTTTTAGCTTCCTCTTTGAGGGATTATATTCTGTTTCAACGCAGAGTAAATACGTCATAGGAGAAGTATAGCAAGAAGGTTTAGACTCAACTTCCGTTTAGAGGGAGAAATCAAGCTAAACTCGTTAAACTGCCTTTTTAAATCAGGAGTCCTTACGAGGCATTCCAGGTTTGGAACGATGTAAATAAGTTTACTCTCTAGCTGAAAATTTAGTTCAAAGCAAGGAGAATTGAATACAAGGAGGGGGCAATAGGGTTTCCGTACACTTTGCTGTGACGTTTTTGGGCTGCTGGAGAACTAGTTTTTGCGTAACAACAATAATAAAGATTGTAAAAAATAACACAAATTATAAACAGACATTGGTGCATCTCTGCGTTAGATGAAGATTCACTGTATACTAACTCATGTTTGTTTACATTAGATCGGCTGCCTTTATTATTGTTGTTACGCAAAAACTAGTTCTCCAGCAGCCCAAATACGCCACAGCAAAGTGTATGGAAACCCTATTGCCCCCTCCTTATATTCAATTCTCCTTGGTTCAAAGGGGAAATTAGAGTGTACATGTTTATGCTAACTCCGTGCGAATGACGTCACTTGGACCCCAAAGACACTTTATTTTCAGCTTTACCATTAGGATATCTACTTTGATAGATAATCAGAAACAGGTTTAAAGGTTACCGCTGTTTTGAATCTGACATACAACTCTACAAACGGAGGATTACTTGAAAGTACGACTACAGTTCCTTAAAGGGTAAACTGTAATGACTGATTAGAAAGGGGGAATAATTGCTGATTGAAGGGTCCAGGGAAAACTGATAAAACTGTTGTAACTGATTAAAAGGGGGGGGGGGATAAGCTGATTGAAAGGTCTAGGGGAAATTGTTATAAATGTTGTAACTGATTAGAAAGGGGGGATAAGCTGATGGAAGGGTACCGGGAAAACTGATAAAAATGTTATGACTGATTATTCCTCCCGATAAGCTGATTGAAGGGTCCTGAGAAAACTGATAAAAATGTTATGACTGATTAGAAAGGGGAAAAAAACTGATTGAAGGGTCCAGGGAAAACTGATAAAAATGTTGTAACTGATTAGAGAGGGAGGGATAAGCTGATAGAAGGGTCCAGGGCTATACTGCAGGGAACTACTGCTATGCTGATCAGCTTTGATGCATCCCAAGTAAGGTAGAACATTTTCACTTTATATGCATTGTCACATTTTTGACTTTTTTATTTTTTATTGTTCACTTTAAAAAAACAAAAATATTATTGTATCACTGTATTATCAAAAAGGTGACCAAATATACTTTATTCATTTAGATACTCATTTATTAACTTTTTTATCAATATATATTCAATTTGGTAGTAAATTCTTTTTATAGTCCACAACTGACAATTTACTTTTACTTTTTGTCCATTTATTGATCTTTATTTTCCTTTTTGTTCTATTTTTCTCTAAACTCTTTCTTTTATATGGAATTCTGAATACTCATACGTCTTACACATGAACAATATACATTGTTAATCTTTTTTAATGAAATTCTAACTATACAAAGTAGAGCTAGTGCAGACTCGAATCCGGGACTCGAAGGGTATTCAATTCAGCCCCTGACCAAAAAAAAAAATATTAAAAAATTTACAAATTCTTGTAAACGCCCTTGGCAGAATTGGAGTTTAAGTGTTCTAATTTATTCCGAACTAGCTGAAGTGCCCGGCCTTGCCCGTGCAATTTTAAAAACACATTGGAAAACAAACATCGAATTTTTAAAAAAATGTCGAATTTCTTTTAGCCTATGTTACCCCCAGTTTACACATGGGTTTCCTCAAAAAAGGTAGCCATTTTGGTTTAGCCGTTTGATCAGCTATAGATCACAAATATATATATGAGCGACGAGTTTTTTTATATTGATGGAAACTCTCCTTTTTCAGAAAGTTGTGTCGTGACTGTAAAAAGGTTTTGGACTATCTCGCAATCTCGGAGGTCATTGAGACCATGGAGGACCTCGTGCAATTCGTCAAGGACCTCAGGTAGAAGATGGGAGGGGGGCGGAGTCAGTTCTCCCCACTCCTCTAGGGGGGGGGGGAGTTCCCAAGTAGTAATCTTATTTCATTTCCACCAAAGAACACCAAATTATTCATGTATTCGCCATATAGACTATAGTATCTCAAATATTTAATAGCTATGTCCTTATGTACGTAAGACAAGACAAGACAAGACAAGACAAGACAAGACAAGACAAGACTAGACAAGACAAGACAAGACTAAACAAGACCTATGTGTATTGTGTATACTAGGGATGGATTAGGACAGCACCTTGAACAGATGAAGACCTTGGCCCCAATCCTAATCTGTTCTATGAAAATATTTATTCAAATCTTGAACCAGGTATTTCCTATTTTTGCTAAACATTTTTTAAATTGAGACTAACAGTCGTCTGCCTATTCCACATTTTTATAGGTCACTGTATTTCTACTATAGGAGGGTAAGGGAACGGAGGAGGCTGTTGAAAACAGGAACTACCTGGCTCGGAGGATGACGGAGGAGATATCGGAGGTTATTAAAATATTAGAGGTAAGGTTAACCTCCTTTCCTTCAGGATATCAAGTTCAAACAAACGCCATTTTTATTATTCATTTTAAAGGGACTGTTATCTTTAATTTCAAGTAACCATTACATTTAAAGAGTTGGATGCCCGATTCACAGCGGTACCCTTTAAACCTTCGTCTCAGCAAAACGTATAAATTTATCCTTGTTTTATATATTGCGGATTTATGCGGCAGAGACAAAGTAAGAAATTATTAGAATTTAACCCTTTTTAGATAGAAACGACGATATCTTCCTCTTTGTTTGTTTCTTAAACCAACGTAAAAAGGGTGCAGTTGTAAATCAGGAGTGCACCTCTAATTGCGGAAATAAAGTTTTAAAAAATTCTATCTTTTCTAAAAAACATTTTATCCCGAAACGATTAGAAACTGAACAAGACTTGAACCTACATAATACATTTTCAGGAATCTACCCAAACCGACACCTCTGCCCGGTTACTAAACGGAAATGGAATTAATCTCGCGGATTTATCCTTCCACGAGATTATGAAGAGGGTAAAGAAATAAATAGAAAAGAAGACATTTTGAATTTGTTAAAAATCAAGTAAAAACAATTTTTGTGTCAAAAACAAATTATTTTTATATCTATATATTTTTTTAAATGGAACAGATTTTTTTTTCATCTTTATAAATATTTCTAAGTTTAATTTTCTTTCAGGTAAATAATCTTGTTTCCAACAAAACTGAGATTAGCCGTGATATTGTTCAACATATTCTAGATATGGCACATAAGGTTAGTTTGCCTAGATACAAATACTTTTTTATTAGTTATAATAATTGCAAAGTTAAATCAAGAGGTTTTATTAGTTAAACTGATCACAAAGATAGAATCAGATTTTTTTCATTACCTTTACAGATAACATAGATAGGATAAAAAATTGTATTTTATTTACAGATTACAAAGATAGAACAAGTGTTTTTCATTACTTTTACAGAAAACAGAGACAGTACAAGAATTAGTTTATTATTTATATCGATTCCAAAGATAGGACAAGAGTTTGTTTATTAGTTATACAGATTATAAAAATAGCACAAGAGTTTGTTTTTTAGTTCATAGTGACTAGACAGATTAGACAAGAGTATTGTTCATTACTTATACTGGTTACAAGAATTAACAAGAGTTGTTTAGTAGTTATACAGATCACAAAGACAGGACAAGAGTTTGTTTAATATATATATATATATATATACAAATTACAAAAATAGAGTTTTTCATTACTTTTACAGATTACAGAAAAAGCAAAAGAGTTATTTTATTATTTATGTTGATAACAAAGCTAGGACAAGAACTAGTTATATTGATTACAAAGCTAGGACAAGAGTTATATTGATTACAAAGCTAGGACTAGAGTTTGTTATTTAGTTATATTGATTATAAAGCTAGGAAAAGAGTTTTTAACTATATTTATTACAAAGCTAGGAAAAGAGTTTTTTTTTTTAATTATACTGATTGCACAGCTAGGACAAGAGTTTGTCTTTTAGTTATATTGATTACAAAGCTAGGACAAGAGTTTGTTTTTAGTTATGTTGATTACAAAGTTAAGCAAAAAAATTTTATTACTCACACAGATTACAAAGATAAGACATAGTTTTACTAGTTCTGAAAGTTTTGTATTCAATAACCCATAAAAGTTTGAATTGGTGTCTAATTCCCTGTTTTTAATAATTAAACACTCTAAGCTAATAAAGTACAAATGTCTAAAAATAATACAATTACTGCAAATCTTTTTTATCGTATTTCTGTTGCTTCATTTAACATCAATCAACAAATTCCTTAAGTGTAATTATCTGTTTCATATTATTATTTTATGTTCCCAACCTTTTATATCCTCAAATAATTTTAACTCCGAATTATTTTCATTCCTAAATAATTGTAAACTGTCCTTTTATAATTCAAGTGTTTTGTTTCAGATTGCCGAATGTTTTGATGGTTCAGCTCGAACAGAAATTATTCAGGTAGAAAACTATTTAAACCGTGCCCAGCTTGCCGCGTTAGTTTTCTTATATGAGCGCCATATTGCGTATCTTTAATCTTGCGGATTTTGTCCCATGGCAAATCTCAAATGCATTTTTGCTGCGTCATCTCAAGCTTTTATTACATTTTCATCGACAAACAAGGTTTGCTTTTCTTGTTTTAATCCATTCATTTTGTTATAACGAACTTTCCAGCGTGTTAGTTGCGTAAGATTATGGCGGCTGTTATCTAGGCGTGTAGGGAGGTAGAGAGGTCTGACCGGCAGAATACAGCTACAGCACTGCTCAATCTTGAATTTAGGTAATAGAATATCTCACACCAAACACAAGTAATAAAATATCTCACACCAAACACAAGTAATATAATATCTCACACCAAACACAAGTAATATAATATCTTATACCAAACACAAGTAAAATCAGTCTCGAAAAACAAAACTACAATTAAAAAAAAACCATAAACCTTAAAAATATTCTGCAGAAATATTTGTTCGAATACTTGAAAACTATTTCGATGGGAATGCATACAATAGAATACTTAGAAGAAATTAACGAAAAATTTAAGTATTAAAGGCTTTAAATTGATGAAGCTATAAAAACCTGAAGACTTTAAACATGCTTAACCGAAATATTACAAAGTTTACCGTGAAACTTAATCTTAATGATCATGTTTTTACATTACAGGCCTGAAATACTTTCATTACAGGCCTGAAATACTTTCATTACAGGCCTGAAATACTTTTTAAAGTAATTTTTCTTTCTTTGTTTCTTTATCAAACTTTGTTGTAAAATTTAGCATATTCGCTAAATAAGAATAAGGTGGATTAGTTAATCAAAACATCTTTGCTTTGCTATAAATCAATCTTTATATTTTTAATTAATAACTCGCTTTTCGTAATATAGAAACGTTTAATTTATGTAAACCGTGCCAAAAATTTTGCAAAAATGACACCCCACCTTAGTTTTAAAATTATACAAAATTGCACCACACCCACGTTTATAAATGAAGCAAAATGGCACTCCACACTAGTTTGTATATGATGCAAAATGTTACCCCATCCTTGTTTAAAATTGAAGAAACGTGAAATATATATATTTAGAATTAACGAGGCCGTCATAAACCGAATTATCCAGGATATGGCCGANTTAAATGATTGGGAGCACATGTTTTCAAACCACAAAATACGGATTTGTGCGTCCTGGAGGATTAACAATTCATAAGCTACGGCCTCAGCTGATAATGCATTCTTAGTTATAATTGTTGAGCAGAAAGGTTTTAAAGGGAGTGACCGGCAATTTATTGTAGTTGAACTGAGAATGTAATATTGTGGAGAACCTTTTTAGGAATCATTTGAAACCTATGAGATGTTTTTACGGTGCATATTTGTTCAGCAAGGGTGCAAATTCAATCTTTTAAATCCTCACAGATTGTTCATTTTCAAGGGATGATTTTGAGAATAGGTTTCTAGAAAATCATTCAATAACGACGACAAAAAATGTAGTAAAAATTCTACAGTTAACTAATTAGTTTTTTAGGAACAGGTTGAGCAAATAAAAATTAACTGTTATCATCAAAAATAAGTAATCTTATTCAGTTAATTGTTTCTGTAATGTCTCATTGTTCACAAACACTTTCTGTAAAATTCTTGAAACTTCTATTGAAAAGACGACATTTGAAGAATTTGAAAAAATCTGCTACCAAATTCATAAAGATTATGAAATTCAATAAAATGATAAAAAAGAAATAATTGATTCCAACATTGATTTATTGAGAACATTTCATTTGAGAAATATGTTCCTGAACATCTAATTAATTTACTGAAGACTTTTTTTACAGTTTTTGTCGTCGTTATTTAATTATTTTTAAAAACAAAATTCTCAAACCTTAACCACCCAAATAGATATTTTGAACGTCGATGTTGCGCTCAAACTCAATAATTATACATCATTAAAACGTTGTATATGTCTTAAACTAATCCTAACAAATTTCTTCACAATATTACATTCTCAGTTCAACTACCATACAGTGCTGACTCTCTTTAAGAGTTTAAGGTTGAACCAACTCAATTGAACCGAATTAATCGAATTTCAACATCTCAAAAACAATTCTGTATTTAGTTAAACAGAGAGGATTTGTATTAAAACAGTTCTCCGGAAGACTATCTAAGACTGCAAGCCTAGTGGCTACTATACTATTAATAATCTAGTATTTAGTTGAACAGAGAGGATTTGTATTAAAACAGTTCTCCGGAAGACTATCTAAGACTGCAAGTCTAGTGGCTGCTATACTACTAATAATCTGTATTTAGTTGAACAGAAAGGATTTGTATTAAAACAGTTCTCCGGAAGACTATCTAAGACTGCAAGTCTAGTTGCCGCTGCGAACGCAAGGAATAAGAGAAGATCGGAAAGTTTAGTTCATCTCTCAACACAGGTACATTTCTCTTATAAAGGAACTGTAGACGTATCTTGGGTCTCTATTTTTAGAGTGACATGTCCGATTCACCTCGGTACCCTTTAAACCTTTATCTGAGCAACAATGAGGAAGATATCGTCGTATTTCTCTCTAGAAAAGAAATAAATTCACTTTACGGAGAACCCACCATTCAATAATCAATTTTGAGACAGAAAAAAGGTGATCATTTGAGTTTAAACAAATGTTTGTAGGGTAACGTTGTATCACAGACATTCCACTCTATAAATGGAGAATCACTCGAAATTATATTAACAGTCCCTTTATTTTCATGTGAGCCTTCATTTAAAAACAGGGGTATGTTCAATTCACAACGGTACCCCCGTAACACCATTGAGCAAGCTAGTAACATAATACGTTTGCAATTAATGACCTCGAAGTCACATAATGTGAATTCACGTCATTTCTCTGTGCTTATTCATAATTCATTTAAAAAAATTATCATCTTTTTAAAATGTCAATTTGTTGAATAAATGAAAATTCTTTTAAAACAGCAAAATAAGTTTTAAGATTGTAAAAATTTGTTTAATAAAATATATTCATTGAAACTTAATTGTTTAACAGGTAGAACATTTGACCCCTCAGCTAGTGAACGCTGGAACCATCAAGATGACCTACCCAGAGAATAAAGCAGCTGACGAGAACTTTGAAAATCTACGAAAACAATATGCAGCGGGTGTACAGAGCATTAGGTATATAACGAGGGGAAAATATAAAACGGATCAAAAATATTCATTGGTAACCTTAGTTAGCTGCATTTCTCGTTAATAATAATCTTACCGTATAGAGACAAAAATTCAAAAATGACTGGATACGTAGAGTTTATAGCTTTATGGTTGAAAACAGTATATTTCAAGCTGTATGATGGTACATCTATGCAGATTAAATTTATATTTTTAAAAAGCATTAATAANCATAGGGAAGCTGTCAAAATTAAAAATTTTTGTTTTTAAGATATTATTGTTTTATGACATAGCATGGGATAACTTTAAATGTGTAAGGAAACGTGAAGAAATTTAGGTTTATTTATTAGTTTTATTTTTTGGGATATTTAACCTTGATAGGACACAGCTGGATAAAATATGCCGTATACACACTTTGATTACATGTGTACTGCATGTTTAATTCATATCGATCGTGCTTAAATTCATGATATATACCCACACACAATTTATTTAAGAAAATAATCAGTTAATTTTTAATGTTTCAGCAAATGTAAAACCAATCAATTTTGTGTCATATAAGAAAACATTGTTTTTATAGCTAAGATTATTTACCTGTTAAACTCACAGCTTCCCTCTGTTTACAAAGCTGGATAGAAAGCAAAGCTGCACTATAATGTCGTCTGTTTTATATTAGTAAACAGTCTTACCGCTGTATTAAAATGCAATCATAATTAACGGAGAATTTTTACTATACCATCTCTGATGTTATTTTGTTATCATATCTTTGTTCGAACTCTATATTGTTGTTAATTTTTGTTTAAAACTGTCATTTAATATCAGTTTTGAAACTTTGTAAGTGATTTGAAAAAACTGCCCCTGCATTGTAGACGGTATATAAAGTTCAACCCCTTCCCCTTTACTGATTGTCTTAAACTGATATTTTCAATGATTTAAACCAACCCCCTGCATTGTAGAGTATATATCAATCCTCCCTCTGTATGGATTTTTAAATTGTTATTATTTTACTTCTGTTGCTTGCAATCATTCAAAACTCTGTTACACTGTCCATATCTGTCTAAAACTGACATTTAATATCATTTTTGGAAATTTATCCTTGATTTGAACTAACTGCCCCTGTAATATAGAGGATATATCGCTGAAGAAGGAAGTTAACCAGGCCGCTGACCGACTCAAGGCTGTCATTGCCCCCTTCGTTGAAAGCAGTAAACTCATGGCAATTAATATGTCAGATCAGGTTGGGCATATTTTATTTTTTGAATTTAATGTTATAATTACATATTAGTTTTAATTTTAACATTTTGAACATGATAAATTCTGTCCATTTCTTTCTTATCTCTAGCTGCATGAATCCTCCGGCCACCTAGTTTTAAATAGAAACCGTAATTTGAAGTTGTCAAGTTTCAGACAGAAAAACAAGGAAATCTCCATAATTTTTATAGGTTTACGGCGAAAAATAATCGCTTTTTGATCGCTACTAGTACTAATTTATCTTTCGCCGTAAGCCTATACCCCCTTTCATTTTTCGCGAGCACTCCCTTTAAAAAGGACATTTGTAAATCTTTAAATTACATCGATATTCTCTTTTAAATTGTTAGTTTGCAAAATTTACTTAAAAATATCAAGTTTAAATCTATTTTACTTGAACAACGAAATGCGATGAAATATGAAGAATGTTAGAATTTAAATTAGAAAAACACTAAAATAACTAAACTTCATTCCCCGCATTCATTTATGTTAAACATTGACAATAAAAACAGACTTTAAATTTCATGCAAGAAAAACTAAATTGCAGAAATCCGCTACACTTTTGCAGAAATCCGCTACACTTTTGCAGATTTTACCAAGTTCCCCAATCAAAATTTAAGACAAAAGGTAGTTATGGTCGAACAATGAACATAAAAACAAACAAACAAACAGCATTTTACTAATTTTATATATATATACACTATTATTTTAGAATCAGTACGCTAGATGGCAACAGTGTGCCTCTAACCTTCAAGAAATGGTACAACAGGTACAGCAGTATATTAGAGAATCTGTAATTAATACAACATCAGTCTATACAGTTTGTATGCAAAAATTACTTTTCGGAACTATTTTCAAATAATTTTTTTTCCAGGTTCGAAAACTATTTCTGGACCTGAACATGTTTGGTTTGGACTCGGAGCGGGGCGGAGGCCGAATACCGATCCCTCCGCCACCCGTACCTCCTCTACCCACCTCCGTAGATAACTCCGCCCCACCCCGGCCTCCGCTGCCGCAGGACGTTGTTCCGGCTCCGCCCCGACCTCCTAGGCCGGATACGGATGATGAAGAGGGGTTATTTACCACTGAGCCGGGATCTAACCGGCCGATACATATGGCGGCGCATGGACTTTACCAGGAGGTCAAACAGGTAACATTTGACCCTGTCCACGAAATGTGATCAAAAAGTTTCGCAACATAATAGTATGTCTCAATACGGAATTTGTTTTGAAAGTTCATGAAGACCATACTCATAATTTTCTTGAGGACGGATTGACGTTGATAAAATCTCTGTTGTAATTTAGGAAGCGTTCTCCTCAACAGGGGCGGATACAGGGGGGGCGGGGGGACATTCACCACCCCCTGAATTTGGAATTTTTTGTTCCTATTTTCAGAATAGCTTCTCAATAGTATGCTTAAGGGAAAGAAACCCTAGTGCAAAACAGGAAAAATATCTGTCTCAATAAACTATAATGTGTGAAAAGTTAAAAATCTAGTTTTTTAGTCTTTAGTCATTAATTTTGACTCTTTTTGAGTCAAAAAAATTTTCGCCTGCAGCGCGATTTTTTGTTCCTAATTATGGATTTTTTTGTTCCTAAAAAATCTTGCCCCCCACTCACTTAAATCCTGTATCCGCCCCGGCTCCTCAATGTGAAAAAGCTGCGTTATAGGGAACCTTCAAAAAAAAATTAAAGGGCTACAAATTCCGCAGTACCCCTAAGTTTTCTAGTGAAACTTATTGATCATAAGTTGTATGTTATACTTTTTGCTTAATGTGCTTTTATTCGTTTCATTCTGTTTTGATGGACTTTAACGAAACTTTGAAGTTTTTGACCCTCAATTTATAGAATTGACTGTGCCCTTTAGACCTTAGTTTTGGCAAAACTTGACGAAGACATGTACGTTTTTCTGCTCAATTCGCGGTTATATGTTTTATTATTATTATAGTGGGATCACACGGACAACGAGATCATCGCCGCTGCGAAGAAGATTGCTTACCTCATGGCTCATCTCTCAGAGCTCATCAGGGGAGGGAAGGGGACCAAGAGGGAGCTCATTGCATGCGCTAAAGTAATATTTTTTAAAATATTTTTTTTTTCGTTTGAAAAAATCCATTAATTTGAATGTTAACAATTATTTTTATATAATTTACGTGACCCTAAAAAGTCTGTGACACTTTTTTCCATCAATATTTAAAGAGTAGAAAAAATTATGATATGTAATCTTTGCAACCTGATGATATACACCGTTGATATTTCAAACTTAGATTATATTTGATCTTACAGATTTCATAGTTTGAAATATCTAAGGTGTACAATATCAGGTTGCAAAGATATAGTGATTAGAAAATCAGAGTTTGCAGCAAACTCTCCATTTCTTTCTTAAAGATAGTTTTGACCAAATAGATTCTAGTACAATATATCGCAAAGTAGAATTTATGCACTCTCAGTTCAGCTGTATTTTTACGACTAAAGTGTCAACAGCCTTTTGTGTCCGACAAAATTATTAATAATAGTGATAACTAAGTGCTTATCTTACAGTGTTTTTTATTTTCTGTTTTTACTATATTTGATTTAATCTTTAAAAATATGTTATATTTGACACTTGTGACGTCGTGTACACTTGGTCGATTTCTCTGTTGCCACCTATTGTGCTGACCAATAAAGAAAATTGTTAAAACCCAAAACTAAAAGAAATCGATCTAATGCAAAAATTTGAATAAAAAGATAATTAAAATTTTGAAAAACAATCAAATTTAGGCTATGTTACCCCAAGAGTACCCATGAGTTTCATAAAAAATATTAGCCAATATGGTCCAGCCGTTTGGCCAGCAATAGCTTTGAAAAGATCCCAACCTTGGGAACCCAGCTGCGCGTGTTGTCGACGGTGAAGGCGACAATGATGGGTCAGAACATGGATAGCGAGGAGGATCAGGAGGCCATGGATATGCTCGTATTCAATGCACAGAAACTTAATCAGGTCAAACAAAAAGTTAATTATTTTCAAAAATTAAAATTTTGTTATTTCTGAAAAAGTCCAAGAAAATTACAAAAATCAGAACTTTTTGTTAAAGTTTTGTTTAATAATGACAAATGTTTGAAATAAGCTGTAAGGAGTTTTATATTAATATTAGGCTTCCAGGGAGGGGTCGCTAAACTACTTACCTATGGTTCAAATCCTGAATCATCGATTCAAATTTTTAGCTTTGATTCGATGATTCAGGATTTGGACCTAGCTCAAATTCATAAATTCAATCTCAGAGCGCTTGTATTTTTATCTTGTATTTTGAAAAATGTTGACCGACCATAAACGTACCTTCTTGTTTGAGGTCACTGCAGGGGGGGGGGGAGAAGTCCTCAACTTGTAATCACCGCCAACCAAACGTATTTGGCGGCATGCGCGGTTCTCAATTTGTAATCACCGTAAAATCTTGTTTTCTGAGATTTTAATTTAATGCATTTTTAACACAGTTTTCGACATCTATCGGGGTTTCATGGCATATGTATTGACTTAAACTAAATTTTCAATTTGTTTTCAGATTGGTTTGGTCAACAAAAAATGAGAAACAAGGCATAGTTTATTTTAGCCGAATCTTAGATCCAATTCGCTGATTTGATGACTGCATTTCATGATTGGAGTTAAGATACTAAAAGTCGGGCTGCCTGTGTACTTAAAATTACCTTACCCCGAGGAAAGTAATATTCATTACCATTTAAAGGATATTTTCAAAAAACCTTTACAGTGTTCAGATTTTTGTATTGGCCAACTTGAGTTCAACATCTACAACAAAACTAATTATATGCAGAGAAACAACATAAAATTTAAAAAAAAATCAGTCTCATCCCGACTACTAGTGAAATTGAAGTATTGAGTTCACTAATTATTTCTAGCGCTTCATGTGGCGTACTTACAGATTTATTTTCGAAACTGAGGAGCAATAAAGAAAGCTTTAACAATATTGTACACCATAGGGCCATTAACAGAGGTCGATATGGTCTAATTTCTAAGTAATAAGCGGTTTAATGCTAACATTTTTATTACTGATTACAAATTGAAGTGGTGGAGATTACAAATTGAGAACTTCTGCCCTCCCCCCCTCGTAATTCTGAGATCCTAAACCGATTAGTTTTGACGTTTAATTAAAAAAGCAAACAAAAAAGCCAAGTATTTATATGGATTTTTAGATTAATCGATTGCGGTGTTATCAGGACGCTAAAGTCCTATAATATTATTGTTGCAGGCTGTAAAGGAGACAGTGCGTGCAGCTGAAGCAGCGAGTATACGGGTCAGAAGCGACGCAGGCTTTAAACTCAAGTGGGTCAGGAAGCAGCCTTGGTTCCAATAGGTCTTCTTCACCATCCAAATTCAGCTGATCAGTTAATGATTGGATCACCTGATGATGTTGTTAATCTTATCAGCTGTTAATCAGCTGTTGCGTTCATGGTTGGATCAGCTGATGATGTTGCCAATCTTAATAGCTTTTCAGTTCAAGATTGTATCAGCTTTACAACTGTTGTTTTAAACAGAGTCAGTCAAAACTTAAATTTGAAACAAAATCAAGTTTTTTGTGTAACTGACTGGGAATTTGAATTCTAATAATTTGAATCAGCTGATTTTTATGACTAAATCAAAACTTAATAAAAAAGTAACTTTGTCAAAATTTCTAGTCATCAGCCTTTTCTGTTAGAAACAAAATAAACAAAATTTTTCTAAATGAAATCTGAAATCAGTGATTTTTATTTAATTGCTTAAACCACAAAATGTCTTCCATAACTTTTGTTAGACCTTAACTGTATCAATAAAATAGAAATTTTAATGCATATTCTTTTATTTTCACAGAGCTACTATGTGAGCCAAAAAATATTAATTGTCAACAAAAAATATTCGCTCAAAACGAGATGAAAACGAAAAATGTAAAATTGCTATTAAACATTTTTTTTTTTAAATTTATTTTCAAATGTCTTCATTCAGCTGTTTATTTTATTGAGTCTCTTAGTGTTTTAATATATTGATTTCAAGCAAAAAATGTGCAATATTCATTTATTATATGTCCTTCCCAGTTGCGTTGCTTATATAATCGAACATCTTTTATTTATAAAATGCAGAGGGTCGATGAGCTGAGCTGAGCCGCGAACACATGAACTTATTCAGACAGAGTTTTAAAAACATTTTATGTATATAATATTTAACAATATGCACATAAAGTTGAAAAATTTAAGAATGCGTGATTTTAAACCAGGGTCCATAATTGCACTGTAAACTATTCTGATGCAAAAATCTATTCGAATTTTGATGACCCTTTGAATCTTAGAATAAAGTCTTAGAAATATTTATTAACATTATTGTCATTACTTCTAGATAATTCTCTAAAATAGATTTTCAATTCTGCCCTAACAACAGAGATAGAATGATATCATGTAGTTTAAACTATAATATAGGGGTGAACAAGGAGAACTAGGCCGATTATATGCATTTTCCATGCAGTATGTAAACATGCAAATAATAAAAAAAGAAACTGGGCTAAAAAGCTGGTGAACAATTTTGAAAAAACTGAAAAAGTTTCACAGTGAAATCCAAAAACCTGTGGAAATGTGAAATTTAACAATCTTATTTGTATTTGATGTTTCTATAAAGTAGCTATCTACAGGGTGAGTAAAAAAAAGTGTGATTTGCGGCGCCGTGCAAAATTGTACCTTTTTTGTGCAACTCTCCTGTATGGTGTTTTTTTCAATAATTTTTGAAAATTTGTAATTTTTTTGCTACTCCAATATGACCCAAAAGTAAATCCGCGAACCTTTTTTCTCTCAAAATTAAAAGTTCAGAAAAGCAAAATGTGTATATAAATTATTTCTATCGAAATTTTAAATTTTTAAAGACTGAATCAAAGAATCACAGAAAATGCGTAAAATTGTGACAAGAAAATTCGCAATTTTTAGTTCCGGTCTAATTTTTAAGGAAAAGTTATTTAAATTCTCTAGTTCCTTTCTTCTTAGTATATTCTGAAGTATTAAATATACTTGTTCAGTTGAAACCTTAAGAACCATTACAAAACAATTTTTCCGTAAAAATTATACCAGAACTGAAAATTGCGAATTTTGCATGACTTGGCCAAAAAGTGTTTGACTCATTTTGTTTGGGATTGGATTTCGTTTTGTCCCCAGGACGTCTGAACATAACCTTCATCAAGGATTTAATGCAAGGAAAGATATTTCAGAGGTGTACGCATCTTTTGTACTGCAGTGTACTGTCACTGGGCGGTAATGTAAACACAAGACGGATGTCGAAGCCTGACATGGGATCCATCTTTCACATAAATTATCAATGAAATATTCTGGTCATAGGAAACTATAATGTGAATTATCAAAATTATTAAAATTCAATGCTTTTAACCTCCTCGGATACTAAACGAACACTGAGGCATCTGTTCTTGTTTACAAATTCCGCCCAGAGAAAACTGGTTTCAATTTGTACGCAGAGTAAACGCAACTGCAATTAACTTTCCTTGCATTACATTCTTGACCTTCATGATCATAATTGATTTTGATCAACATATTTATCGGTAAATACAACAACAAAAACGACGTATTACGAGTACTAGAATCTCCCTAGATGGGGCTGATTTCGTTGGTATACCGTCCCATTTTGCCTTATATAGTCAGTATGTGTACTGTACATCTTACTCTAGCTGCTTGAAAGACGGCCCGGTCCGGATCATTCTAGAAATAATGGTATTAAATATTTGGCCAAATATGTGAACAATCCCTTTAAACTCGATAAATATGTGAACTTGCCTATTTATGCATCGCTTAAGCTTTGCCCCTGGTTTATCAGTTATACAATTGCCCTTTTGCCCCCTACTACAGATCTACAGAAGCATATGGATTCAATTTAACAGTGCAAGCCTCCAAAAACACCGCCTAGTAACTGCAGTAAAGCAAAGTCTAGATTATAATTCTTAATCTCTCAGTTCAGCCCAGACAGTTCTCTAGTTCACACAGAAAAGTAATTATACTAGATTTTCCCTTTAAAACCTGAAAAAGACGGCCGATGTAATTTTTAGTGTCTCTCTTTATAACCCCAGGGAAGGTTTTCGGATGCTCAGAATTAACATGTTATATGAACAACGGTATACTGTTTCGTGTTATCTGAACATTTCAGTATACTATTAACATGTTATCTGAACATTTCGGTATACTGTTAACATGGTATCTGAACATTTCGGTATACTGTTAACATGTTATATGAACAACGGTATACTGTTTCGTGTTATCTGAACATTTCAGTATACTATTAACATGTTATCTAAACATTTCGGTATACTGCTAACATGTTATCTGAACATTTCGGTATACTGTTAACATGTTATCTGACCAACCGTATACTGTTAACATGTTATCTGAACATTTCGGTAAACTGTGAACATGTTATCTGACCAACCATATACTTTTAACATGATATCTGACCAACCGTATACTGTTAACATGATATCTAACCAACCGTATACTGTTAACATGATATCTAACCAACCGTATACTGTTAACATGATATCTAACCAACCGTATACTGTTAACATGATATCTAACCAACCGTATACTGTTAACACGATATCTAACCAACCGTATACTGTTAACATGATATCTAACCAATCGTATACTGTTAACATGATATCTAACCAACCGTATACTGTTAACATGATATCTAACCAACCGTATACTGTTAACATGTTAATGTGAATGATACATGCACCACTAAACAAATGAAGAATTACTAAAAATTATGTTTACAGTCCATTTTTCAAAACAAAACATATTTGGCACCTTTTTTTATAAAGTATATATTATGCCTATTTATATGTATACCTGGAGACAAGTATATTGTATCCCTTTGAAGTTATATACCTGGAGACAAGTATATATTATCCCTGTTATTTAGTTGTATACCTGGAGACAAATATATTATCCCTGTGTATTTGTATACCTGGAGACAAGTATATATTATCCCTGTTATTTAGTTGTATACCTGGAGACAAATATATTATCCCTGTTATGTAGTTGTATACCTGGAGACAAATATATTATCCTTGTTATATAGTTGTATACCTGGAGACAAATATATTATCCCTGTTATATAGTTGTATACCTGGAGACAAGTATATATTATCCCTGTTATATAGTTGTATACCTGGAGACAAGTATATATTATCCCTTGTTATATAGTTGTATGCCTGGAGACAAGTATATATTATCCCTGTTATAAAATTAAAATATATAAAATTATAAAGTCCACCTAATTGCTATATACTTGTACTGTTAATATAATCATCAATTTGTAATTGTAAACTCGTTCTGTACACAAATACATGTATTCTAGCAATAAACTTTATCTTATCTTATCTTATCTAGTTGTATAACTGAAGAGTATGGTTCTGTGTTCAACACCTGGGTCCGGAAATTTCAATGCTCAGCCTTTCCTGGATATCAGGGATGGTGATGATGTCCAGAATAAATTAAAATTTGAATCCAACAAACCTAGGTAATTAAGGAAATATGTTAGGCTGTCTGAAAGGAACTGTAATTTTGATTTCAAATGTAGTGGCATACCCGATTTACAACGGAACCCTTAATATCGTTGTCTGATCAAGTAACAATAAGATATCCATGATTATAATTTTCAAAAATTATTATTAAATTGCGCATTTCTTCTGCACAAAAACAGTGTAGGATTTATTAGAATTGGAAGATTTTTAAGAGAAAAAATGACAATATCTTCCACATTATTAATTAAATAAAGGTACCAAGGGTACCGTTGTGAATTGGGCAAACCCCTTTTTGCCAAACTGAGAGAAGTGCAGAAGTTAATATGTTTATACAATTTTTAAATGTTCCTATAAAAGGCATAAATCAAAAATAGTTTTGCAAATATGCATTTAATTATGAAAAAGAATTTATCAAAATACTTGAAACTTGGAGCAACTAAGACTATTATTTGGATGTTCTAAATTTTTAAAGATTCCAATAACAAATTTTTTTTTATTTAGATCTCACGGGAGGGAGACAGAACAACATAAATCGGAGGTTTTGGAGGACCAAAATCTTTCAGAGGCTGCGGGAAGACTGCTGGAGAAGCTGGAGGCTGAGCAAGAAATGTTGGATTTGTGGAGGATGGGGGAGGAGGATGAGGAAGAGGTTGAAAAAGAGACAGATTTTCTACAGAGGTAACTTATCAGAGTTATCTTATATCATAGTTATCTTATATCAGAGTTATCCTTTATCAGAGTTGTCTTATATCAAAGTTATCTATATCATAGTTATCTTATATCAGAGTTATCTTATATCAGAGTTATCTTATATCAGAGTTATATTATATCAGAGTTATCTTATATCAAAGTTATCTTATTTCAGAGTTATCTTAAATCAGAGTTATATTATATCATATTTATCTTACATCAAAGTTATCTTATATCAAAGTTATCTTATATCAGAGTTATCTTATATCAAAGTTATCTTATATCAAAGTTATCTTATATCATAGTTATCTTATATCAGAGTTATCTTATATTAAAGTTATCTTATATCATAGTTATCTTATATTAAAGTTATCTTATATCAAAGTTATCTTATATCAGAGTTATCTTATATCATAGTTATCTTATATCAGAGTTATCTTATATTAAAGTTATCTTATATCATAGTTATCTTATATCATAGTTATCTTATATCAGAGTTATCTTATAGCAAAGTTATCTTATATCAAAGTCATCTTATATCAAAGTTATCTTATATCAGAGTTATCTTATATCAAAGTTATCTGATATCATAGTTATATATCAAAAGTTATCTTATATCATAGTTATCTTATATCATAGTTTTCTTATATCAGAGTTATCTTATATCAAAGGGTGAAAATATGTGACCCTTTTTGATCTGGCCCCAGTTTTAAAGTTTTCATTGATACCATTTGAAAAAATGTTTTGAAATTTTTTTTTTCTTAATTTTCAATTATTCAGATTTTTGCATTTTTTGTGTAAATCAAATCACTGAACGTAAACCAGAACAAAAATTCGTCAAAATAAATCAATGTGGGTATTAAATATCCGTCTTCAAAAAAGTTCGGAAACGTTAAATTTGTAAAATATTAAGAGACAAAAATCGTATTTTTTAAAAGATATTTGTCAAATTATCAGAAAAGCAATTTTTTGTAGCCTAATCAAACAATGTTTAAATTATCGAAAAACGTACAACGTAAAACATACAACGGTTCAAGATGCATCTTTTGATACCCATATCAGCAAGTTTGGAAAAAAAATTTAAAATCGACCTTCCCTTATAAACTTTATTTTTTTTAATCGTTAATTACTGAATGAGTTTTGATTTTTTCTATTTCCTTCTTTCAAAAATGTTGTTTGCTACTGTATAATTTTTTTGTTGGTGCAGATAGAATACATGATAGTACAGTGATAATCAAAAAACTGTAGAATAGATAGATGACATCAAAAGCAATACTGAAGTGCATTTGATGCTGTTACAAAGCAAATGACTTAAATAGTAAGTTATTAAATCACTTATTAAGTGAAATGGGTCTGTGTACATTGCACAATTACTGTGTGTCATGTTGATTAGACTTTTAAAGGTCATAACTTGAGGGTAAAAGTCGACTTACTATTCCAGAGTTTTTTGGTTCGCGAAAAACAAAAGGTTGATGACAAACTTTATTTTTATCTTTTGTTTCCGTAAAGTATTATTTCATTGATAATCTATCTGTACACCGTTCTTTGTCAAGCGTACATTTCAAATTAATAAAAACAATAAAATATTTCACGGATTTTCCACTTCTAACAAAGGACTTTCCAACAATTAAAAAATTTCGAACGTTTTGGCGTTTTTTTCATACAAACAAAAAACATAGAAACAGACAAGTCATATATAAATAAAAGTATATATATACAAACAAAATTATAGATATATATATGTATAAAGTCTGACTTTTTGGTTTTAGGGACAGTAATTACGGTTCTTTTTACGACCATTCCTTGCCACATGAACTTCAATATCAAAGTCGTGATCAACAACATCTACCACCTCATCGTCAATATCATCAAGATCAACAACAATTCCATCATTATCATCATCTTTATCAAGAATCTTTGCTTCTACAGTTTCAAAATCCGCGGGAGCGAAAGATTAGTGAAAATCTGTTTATTATGGACGCATAAAAAACTTACAAAATTAAAATTTTGAAAATTTTTATCTTTTTTTGAGACAAATAAGCATAATCTTAAAAATTATAATTTGTTGATTACAGTTTTTCAAGAATCTAATTACATTTATAATAAGTTTTAATGATAAAAAACATAGTACAAATAAATTTTACACTTAAAATCTGTTATAGCTTATCGTCTAAGTTTGAGATCAGACAGTCAGTAAAAATTTATAATATCAGCTGATTATTAATAAGTTCATATTTATCTGGTTTGGAGATTTGGCTGATTTTTAGCTTTTAACTATTGCTATTTTTGATCAATTATCATAATTTCTTTACAGTACAATTACGCTGTAACAGTTTAACAACGCAATGACAAAGGCGTAACCTTTCTTCTCTCTCTGTTTTATTTACTTAAGCTTTTTCTCCTTTTTTACAATATTGTTACATCGGATATATAAATTTCAACATCCCGCTTCTCTCCTCCTTTATATTAGTTGCAGCAGCCTGATCTGCGACCAGTGTGTGTATCATCAATGATAGTTATATTATTTTGATTCTTGGTTTGAGCACTCCTAAATATATCATCACTTTCATGCCAAATAATCAGTGTGCAGTTTTTTTGATGAATTTTGAACATTTAAATTTTTTTAATTGAACCATCAGACCAATGTTTTGACATTTCTAATTTCAAAGTTGTTTAAAAATGTAAAAATAATCAGATATTTGTGATGATAATAATAATAATAATAATAGCAATATTAATAATAAAATGAGCTGACCTCTATTAAGTTTAGCTGACGTTAGATAATGTTGAGCTCCGACACTTGCCGCGTAGCTTTCTGCATCCTCTCGTTCTTAAAGGGACTGTTTGTTAATTTGAAAACGGAGTTTAGAAAGTCAATAAAAAAGAATAAAGGAAAATGAGGAAAGTAGAAAATACATGTTAAAAGAAAAAAACTGTAAAAAGAAATAGAAAAAGATTAGAAGTTAAGTAGAAGAACCAGAGAATTGAGAAAGAAGAAAATCAAGGAAAACTAGAGAATTGAGTAAGAAGAAAATCTAGGAAAACTAGAGAATTGAGAAAGAAGAAAATCAAGGAAAACTAGAGAATTGAGAAAGAAGAAAATATAGGAAAACTAGAGAATTGAGAAAGAAGAAAATCAAGGAAAACTAGAGAATTGAGAAAAAAGAAAATCTAGGAAAACTAGAGAATTGAGAAAAAGTGAAATCAAGGAAAACCAAAAACCTAAAGGGACATGTAGACGTAAGTTCATTTAAAAAGATATTTGTAAATATTTATCTGAGAGAAAAAATATTCGTTTTGAAGCGTGCTCAATTCTGACAATTTTCTTTAGTGTAACTTGAAATTGCGTCAACAGTCTTTAAGTTAAACTCACTGATAACTCGTTTATTCACTAGATCTGTCTTGTTTCCAACAATAACAATACTAATCTCATCTCCCAGCATCTTCTTCAGTTCACGAACCCAACTCTGAACCTGGAGACAAATATGATCTTTCTCTATTTAACATTTTTCCACACGTGAGCTGTAATTAAGTAGATACATTGTAAAATGAATTCGAGATTTCGCTTTCCGATTAAAAAAAAAAACATAAAAAAACGATTTAACAAAAAAAATTATTAGATTCTATTTGGATTCCTTTTGAAAGCTGTCTTCATCTGTGATGTCATACACTAGGACAGCGCCATTCGCATCCCTGAACACAAATACTGCTGAAGTGCCCGGTGTTGCCAGTGGAATTAAAAAAAATTGCAATTTAAAAAGAAAAATTTCGTATTTTTTTAAGCCAATGTTACCCATTTAGAGTACCTTTCCTTAAAAAATATCAGTCAATTAAATCCAGCTATAGCTGACATAAAAATATATATATACATGAGCTCGAAGAGCTTTATTATATAGATTAAATTAATTTGAAATTAAAAATCATGTTACAGTGATAACTGAAAAACTCTGGAATATAAGGTTCATAAATGATCCAATATATGCTATTTGCTTAGTAAAAACTCTGAAATATAAGGTTCATAAATGATCCAATAAATGCTATTTGTAATAACTCTGGAATATAAGGTTCATAAATGATCCAATAAATGCTATTTGTAAAAACTCTGGAATATAAGGTTCATAAATAATCCAATAAATGCTATTTGTAAAAACTCTGAAATAGGACTTATCTAATCAAGTCAAATTGTGCAGTGTTAACAGACCCATTTCACTAAATTAGTGGTTTAATAAGTGTCTAGCATAAAACTTTGTCTTTGAAACAAAATTAAATACACTTAAATATTGCTTTTATTTGGTCTTCCTATTCCATTGTTTTCTGGTTATCACTGTAATATTACACTCAGGTCTTCTTTATATTGTCATGTTTAGTGGGGCACACTGTAAGCCTGCACCTGTAGTAGATAGGACCAAGCGCATGAAATCTCTCCTGTCCCGCTGTATCCCAGATATTTAAGAATATCGTCTTCTTTCTAGCAACATGAATTCAAATCAAGACTGCGCTCCAATGTACAGAAATGTCGTCACCTAAGTCAGGGGCAGATACAGGAATTTATAAAAGGTGAGCGAAACTTTTATGCGCGAAGTGAACAATTTTTTTGCTCACCCCTTGGGAGGAGCAAGGAGGGATTTTGAACTTAAATTGCACAAAAATGATTTACCTATACGTAAGAATGAATATGAAAAAAACATTATGTTCTCCAATAAAAACAGAAAAAAATGTTTGTTTAACAGTTAACATTAATGTTACAAAATAAATCTGGAATTTCAGTTTTTTTCTGAGAATACGCTCTCTAGTTCTCTAGTTTCCGTAGCTCATCTCTAAAACTTCACTGTCCATTACTTAGGAGACGACATTTTCCGTACTTGGAGCGCATCAAGATTAATCAACTTTCAGAAACAACCTTGATTAAAATAGACTTTAGAATATTTCAAAAGGGAAAAACTCAAATAAACATTTGCAATTATTAGAAAAATTAGATATTTCTAAACAAATGCAATTATTCACAAGAAAATGACAGAGAAGGCTTATTAAAATATTTAATTAAACTATTTAAACTATTTAAAATGACCGGACAAAAAGTTTTGTATTTTCCCTCGAAAATAATCTTTAAGTGATGTAAAAATTATTTGACAAAAAAGAAAAATGTAGGAAATTTGTTGGAAACAACAAATGCAAGAAAAAAGACTAAAGTTTTACTTTCAATACAGTGTAACGGATTGTATGATAAAATAAATATATTCAGTACAAGTAAATATAAAATATTAAAATACAGTGTAACGGATTGTATGATAAAATAAATATATTCAGTACAAGTAAATATAAAATACTCACTGAACTATTATTGTTTTCCGAAGGAAAGATGCCTGCAGCAGAGTTGGCCATTGTTTAGTCAACGAACCAAATATTTAAAAATAAACGATTTTTAAAACAAATTTTAAAAAATTATTCTCGTCTTTATTGAACAAACGGTTTTGCTGAAAGATCACGCTCTCACCTAACGAACTATTTAATTGAGCGAACGAACCAAATTGATTGTAAATAAACGATAATTCTGAAAAGAAATAAATAAATTTTGTTTCTGAACGCCAGAAAAAAAGAAACGATATGGGTCGTTAAAAACCTAATTAAAAAACAAACACGCCCATCTCTAGCCTGAAGAGTTGTGAGATGTTTCTTATTAAATTCGTCCTCCACATAGCGGAGGACACAGGAGGTCTTACCCACACAACCCTCTCCCAGGAGAACCACCTGCATACAGAGGATGCAGAATTATTAAAAAATAAACCGTAACATCTTAATATTTTTTTCTGAAGGGGGAGCTAAGTGATTTGAAAGTCTATATTCTAATGGAATCATATTCCTTATAAACTCTTGATATGATCTATATACAGCTGAATCATCTTTAAAGTAAAGGGATTGTTTGACAGTTCAAAAATCTGTCAATAAAAGAGAAGTCACGTACATAGGAATCTTTCAGCTTCATAGAAATACTGTAAAAACGCGATGGAAATTTTTGCTGAAAGTTTTGATCATTCTTGGCATCAGAAATATCTGTGAGTCCTGAAATTGACTTAAATGGGGGTATTATGAGTACTTTATAATATATTAACAATTCCTTTATAAATTCATTTTTATGTACAATATACTACATATACTTTACTTTAAAGGTAGCCGAATCCGCCATTGCTTGAATATTCACATGTACACTGAATACACTTCACATCTGAAACATGTGAATTATTTTCAATAATTATAAAGACTTAAAAATACGTATATTTGAATTCTATACAAACAGTGAGACCTATTAAACGGTGGAATAGAAAGATTGTGATTTTACAGTAGTATAATAAACATTTAACACAGCATTGTGCAGTGTTCACAGATCTAGTTTACAGTAGTATAATGAACATGAAACACAGCATTGTGCAGTGTTCACAGATCTAGTTTACAGTAGTATAATGAACATGAAACGCAGCATTGTGCAGTGTTCACATATTTAGTTATGAAACACAGCATTGTGCAGTGTTCACAGATTTAGTTTACAGTAGTATAATGAACATGAAACACAGCATTGTGCAGTGTTCACAGATCTAGTTTACAGTAGTACAATAAACATGAAACACAGCATTGTGCAGTGTTCACAGATCTAGTTTACAGTCGTATAATAAACATGAAACCCAGCATTGTGCAGTGTTCACAGATCTAGCTTACAGTAGTATAATGAACATGAAACACAGCATTGTGCAGTGTTCACAGATCTAGTTTACAGTAGTATAATAAACATAAAACACAGCATTGTGCAGTGTTCACAGATCCAGTTTACAGTAGTATAATGAACATGAAACACAGCATTGTGCAGTGTTCACAGACCCAGTTTACTTAATAAATAAGTTAATTATAAGCTACAGTGGTAAGCAAATATATCAATACAATGAAGACGACTTTTGTATTTAAGTTTTAATTGTTTACAAGCTTTTTTTGAATTACAAGTTTACAAGTAATCAAAGATAAACTTTTTTAATCGACAGCTTCTTATTGTTTCCATGTTTATGTGTATCCATGCTGTTTAAAAGCTTGATATAAATAAAAATGTAAATCGAAAGTCGTCTTCATTGTATTGATTTGATCGCCTACCCCCATAATACAACTTTTTGCGATGTAACAACATTGCAGTTAAAAATTTAAATTGACATTGGTTTAACCGGCTCCGAGGAGGGCGAGGCATGAGAATGTCGTTGTTAAAATTCTTAGAATTCAAAGTTATCGCATTACACATAATAATTTGAAATTCGAAACTCAGTAGTTTCTGCGCGCGCAGAAAGTGTTTTACGAAAAAAATTAAGAGTCAGGATAACCCACTTTATGTTCAACAGTGATTAATCACTTTCTTTGGAGAAAGGTTTATTTGGAATTCTCAACACAGGAACATTGGATCGAAGTTATAAAAAACACCAATAATTTTACTATGGGACCTCCTATTTACCCGTTCAATTTATACCAACTCACCCTGTAAGATTTTTTTTTTTTTATTATTTTATATTGATCTTAGTGTGTTCAGATCAAACTGCAGTCGAAAACTGATAAAAATTTGTGGTTTAGAAAAAGGGAGGAACTAGGACAATTTACGTAACAGTTAATATTATGAGAGATTATAATTAAACTGTATTTTTTTCTATTAATGAGAAATTTTTGAATTTTTAACTGCAGCTGTGTTAAAGTATTTGAATCTTGTTCTCTTGAACTGCAGCTGTGTTAAAGTATTTGAATCTTGTTCTCTAGAACTGCAGCTGTGTTAAAGTATTTGAATCTTGTTCTCTAGAACTGCAGCTGTGTTAAAGTATTTGAATCATGCTCTATAGAACTGCAGCTGTGTTAAAGTCTTTGAATCTTGTTCTCTAGAACTGCAGCTGTGTTAAAGTATTTGAATTCAAAACTTAGACCACTAAATCAAGACTCCATGAAAACCCGGATAATTTATTGTATTAATGTGTGCTAAACCCATAGTAACATGGATTACATGGACACTTACTTTATACTATAAACTTTCTGTCGAGGAGGAAAGGTTGGATCTTTGCGCAAATCTACCTCAGTCAAGGTGATAAGGTTTGGAAGGTTTGGAGGATTGAATGTTGCGCAAATCTACCTCAGTCAGGGTGATAAGGTTTGGAGGATTGAATATTGGACAGAGCATACACGGTGGAAAAGTTAGAAAGATACACTAAACTGTTATAGCTAAATAGCTCTATACTCCGTGAAATGACCAAAGACCTATTTTCTTCTATACACTGTGAGCTCAGTTGTATTTCATACTTTGTGAACTGTATTTAGCACGGCTCTGTTTTCTTGTATACTCTGTGAGTTAGAATGACCACTATTGTAGGTGAAGGTGTATAATATTGTATAGTGTACACCAAGTTTAGGTGTTTGACGCCCATGGTTAAGGATAAATAGATGTAATTGTTCCCACTCTTCCATATAAGGAGTTGCAATTACAAGGGATCTTAAAAAAACTTTTAAATTAGTTACATCTTGCCAACATACCCCCACCCTTCCCATCCCTTCCCA